CAAGGAAAACTTTTGATGGTCCTGAAATTGCCATTTCTGATGGATTTTGAAGCCATTTTATGAGCTAGAAGATTTTTACTTGAGATAAGCCAAAAATGTCCTAGAAACGTACTACAAATTTTCCGTAAATGGTAATTTCAGGACCATCAAAAGTTTTCCTTGCCCGGACCTTTCCTCATTGCAAACATGAGGCGGAAATGATTTCTACATATGTTCTTTCAGATGTCCTGAAATGCACCACAAAGTCTTCTGAAACATGAACTCTTTGCCGTACCGAAATGTAGCCATATTGAGTCATTTCAGGTTCATTTCAGGCTACACAAAAATTATCATTTTCCTGCACCGCAAATGGCTACGAAAGTGGTGGTAAATCTATCGTTTTAGGACACCAGAAAGCCCCGGTTAAGTCTCCGAAAATGAAACATTTTTGATGGCTTGACCGGGACATTTCAGGTGATCTGAAATCAGCTCATGCCCGTAGTGCGAGGCCAGTCGGAACTCGACTTGGAATGCCCGCGACATCGAAGGTGATTCTTCGAGCCATTTGCTGCGGAGCCATCCTGACCCGCCTTTCACTCCGTCCCACTGTGACTCATGGGTTAATCAAACGATAATAACACGAAAAAGCGTGTCCACTGACAATGTAACCTCCACCTGTGAGATGCAAACAAGTAAGCGCGAGATGACACCGAGACCGTCGGTCATACATACCGTGCAAGTGGTATATAATCTTTTCTCCCAGCCTGGCCTTCTCATCCGCCCTGCAATCCTTGCCCTTCTTGAACTGCATATAGCCTATCACTCGAGCGGGCTCGACCCCATTCACATCCGCCGCCTCCTTTATCTCACCCGCGACAAACTCCGGTGTCGGGTCAATCCAGATAGTGCCCTTAGCGGGATCCACGGTCTTAGGGTCGATAAACACGGTCGGCAAGGCGAGTGTTGCGAAGAGTGGTATGAAAGTGTACTGGAGTATGTGCATCTGCATCGCGCGCGCAAAGGACCATCTTTTGCGGTGGCGAGTGGCAGGGATCGCGGACACGACGAGCCAGTATGGAAGCCGGATGAGTGCACCAGCGATGACGACGAGTAGGTAGAGGCCTTTGAGGGGCTGTCTGGTGAGCGGCGGCGAGACTGTGCGTTTCACGCGCCAAAATACTTGCGTGGTCATCTTCGGATTTGAGTGGGAGGGTGGAGGCAAAAATTCAGCGTGAGATGGGGCAGGTCCATGCACGGCGAAGATCTTTATAACGCAGCGATATCAGACAAGAAATCTATTGGATATGGAAAAGTTTGAGGAAAGGAAACTCGCCGTGCCAACCCACCCTGAAACGGTCTGGCTTAATACATACGTACTAGTAACGGATCCAAACCGCGATCGCGGTCTGATTTCACACAAAGTCTCGGGAGTACGGCAGGGTCGTGGGATCACGCGATCACGCCTTGCAATCTTTCAAGGCAGAGGCACCCAATTATGTGTGCTGGTAGTGGCGAATCTCACTGTCTCAGCTGGCCTGCTAATGAGAGTTCTCAGGTCGTCTTCGGGCTTATGCTCGTTTGCCAAGATGCGTTATTCCTGGCTGGTGGTGAGAAAGGGAGCTGCGACGATGATCATCTCGATCTGTCGAAGCAAAGCAAAGTGGGCGTGCCAAACACTACAAAGGCCTTGCTGGTATTGTTGAACGATCATCCCCGCCTTGAGCGCTTGAGCTTTTGCCACTACTGGCTGGCATTTAGGCCTAAACGGCACGCGGACGCGTTTCATACACGAGCTAACATCAACAGTGTTCTGTACATGTCTCAGCGCATCGGTTTCGAGCGTGATGTCCGAGAATCCGAGTGTTACGGATCATCCTCTATCTAGCGAGGTACATACTGCACCCGCTGCAGGCTTCCCGAGAACATCGGATCGACTGTGCAGGAGCTCGCGGTACGATCCATGAGCGCTTGAGCTCCCACTCGAGCCGTCCGAGAACATCGGATCGACTGTATAACGGGGCTCATGTATCGTGGCCCGACCCCCCGTGAGCCCTCAGATCTCATATCTCAGAGCGGGATCGGTATGTGTCACTGAGACTGGCACGCTGCTTGTATTTCGCACTCTTCTCTCAATAAACCATAGAGCCAGCAGGCGAAGGCCGTGAAACTAGGCCATCCCGCTCAGTAATGAGCTCGCAGACGCTCGATAGCCGGGAGGCAGTTTGGGGTCTCCTCGTTGCTTAACGAGGCGTGTCATCTCGCGGATCCCGATGGGTACTCGGACGGTATCTCGTTTGCACAGATGCCCCATGGTGTTTCAAACTCTCCCGCCTTGTACGGTCGATTTTCCTGCGGCTTCAAGTTATACCAGCACTCGGAGGATGGTGCTCTTCCTACCGGGGAATCGGCTGACCATGATGTGTCCACGCGTTCTGCAGCGGCGGCCCGGGAATCCACAATATTGCACGTCACAGAGGAGTTATTTCAGGATGGCGGTGATGCAGCGGTGAGTGACGACACCTGGCCACAGTACTTAGTACTACTAGTTTACCTTGCATACTTTTTTCTGGGACAATGCCTCAAACTGTAGCGGCAATGTTCTCTGCTGCAGCTGAACAAGCCCTTTCTTCTCTCGTCAGGAGGGCTTGGTGGAGGTGTTAGGTAGATTTTAGCAACCATGTCGCCTGCTTGCACCGTACACTGCATCTATAAAGGTATTCGCAATGGCCGGCTGTGTTTGCTCGCCACATAGCACGCAAGTAAAAATTTACAGAGTTAAAACAATAATATCAGAGGGTGTTTTATGCGAAGAGGCGGAGCGCAGGTTGGAGGGGGCAGCGTTGTGGACAGAGATGAGACCGAAGGCAACAACGTTTTTATTTATTATTTATTAATTAATTTTTACAGCATCAAGCGGCAAGCGCCGAAGCACGCTCACTGTCCCAAAGGCGCACAAGCGCCCGACAGTCCCAAAGACACGGAGGCTGAGACAAAAATAATAGAAATGTGGGAGAACAGAGTAGCTACAAGTACACGGCCAAAAGAAAGAAGTCAGTGAGAGGAGAGGACCAAGATGAGGGCGAAGAGAGTAGGTATCGGTGACTTCTGGCCCTGGCCTGTATATTTCATCTTGGTGGATCCGAGTCTAGCCGGGAGGCGGGGTTCTCACTAAGGTTAAAAATCTGTTGCTCATGTGCATGAGTAGTCAACTAGTCAACGCGTGGATCTTCAGCTTGTATTTTGTCCCAGTCATACTCGGCCGTGTATCCACCCTCAGCGTCATCGCCAATTTTTATGCCTACTCCACCGTACACCACTGTGTTCCTGAGCGCATCGTCAGAACCGATAACGGGTAGCAGAGAGGGGATTTGCGTGTTGAGAGAGGCCGACATGGTGATGAGCAGACGGGCGGTGACACGCTAGCGGGCGGGGGGCACATAAATTGATCTCATCACTTGAAGGGCGCACCAACGAGTTGGGAGCTTGGCGTCTTACAACCTTACGCAACTCCATCTTGACCTTAGTGTATGCCTGGAAGTACATGCAGGCAGAAACTACCGTATCATTATGAGATTCGCTGGTGTCGCTTGAAACTGACTCCTTCTACACCGTCGCGCAATGTCCCACAATCGGATCACTGGTGTACAGGTCTCTGGGCGCTGAGCTCGTTGTACTGGCTCCTAGCAGCTTCAGATTGACTCCATGATGCTCCACCTTTTTGTGGGATGTACATCGTCCAGCAAGCACTGCGGTCACTTGTTCTATCCTTTCGAGCCAACGCAGTGCTTATTGGGCGCAAAGCTTGTGCCGATGGATGACTGGCCAAGTTGCCCATAAACCGACACGTGAGTAATAGCCTACCCTCTCCGAGTCCTACCTGCATCCCCAACTTTCGCCATGCTGGGACAATATTCAGGTCAGACCCTTGTCCAAGTCTACGTGCTACTGCCAGTGTAAGCATCATTTCTGTTTGCGCTTAGTGAGCCAACGTTCACACCTTTGTTTTCCAGCAACGTCCAACAATACCGCTACCTAGCTGTCTTGTGTAAGTGAATCCTTTGATTTCTAGTGTGCTACTCACGGTATCTGTTTACTGGCACAAATTCTATAGCCACCAGCAGGAGCATACACCATCGTACCGAGCCAAGGAGCACAGCGGATACGGTGACAGGTCTCTTCCAGACAATGTTAATGTTGTAGTATTTGAGGCGCGAGGTGCGCTGACCCGCTGGATGCGCATCCACTGCGGCGAGACACCGACATGATGCGCTAGGCATTTCCCACAGTCACGTGGTTGGCAGGTTTCAGCTGGAGTCACGAGAGAAATTTGGAACTTTTTGGTCGCAAAAAATATGCGAAAACAGCCTGAAAAAATAAGTAAGAAAATGCCATATTTTTCCTCCCGGTATCTGGCGGCCCGGCGACTCGGCAACCCGGCAGCTGAGCCGATTGTCCGCTGGGTGCCGCAGCCACGGGCGCTTTGACAATGGCCTGGCGGACAATCAGCTCAGCTGCCGGGTTGCCGAGTCGCCGGGCCGCCGGATACCGGGAGGAAAAATATGGCATTTTCTTACTTATTTTTTCAGGCTGTTTTCGCATATTTTTTGTAACAAAAAAGTTCCAAATTTCTCTCGTGAGTACCGTTGAAGCCTGCCACCCTATGATGTCATCGCCCTCTTACCAGATTTAGATATGACGCGCGCAGAGCGCACTCGGCTCTGGCGCCCTTTCACTCCCCGCTATGTTTCCCTTAGTCTCAGCTTTCTCAGCGTACATAGTATTGGACTGAATATATTAGGAAGTAGATAAGCTATATAAGGACACGTAGTATTATTCTTAGAATTTACCGTCGATTAGTGTTGCCACGGCTTGGCGCGGCTTGGCTGTGACTTGACTTTGGACGGCTTTTCCTTTTTGGGATCAGCCGAGTCAAGTCAAGCCGCAGTGCAGCCGCGACTATAAGCGACTATGGCTGAGCAGCGGCTTGCAGCCGATCGTCCCTCCCAAAAAGGAAGGTAGTTCACACTGGTACCGCAGAATTCATCGTAACATTGCTTGTCCTACTTGAGTGATGCTAAATATGAACTGAGCTCCTCTGGAGACTCTTCTGCACGGCTCTCCAAGTCTTTGAGCTCCTCTCCAATGTCCAAACCATGTGTGAAAGACAGAGAATGGCCTTGCTTGAACCTGAACTTGAGAATTTGCAGTGCTTCCATGAGTTCTCCACTGATTTTGTTGCGCCGGTCTGTGACTGTTATCTTTCCGGATGAGAAGACACATTCACAGGGCACAGCAGAGGCTTGGATAGGCAGAATATCCATTGCGATAGCATAGATGGTTGGAAACCTGGTCTGAGATGCCTAAAATGTGAAGATAAATCAATATTTCGAAAAAAATGGAGAAAAATGGAGAGAAAAATTATGGCACAAGTTTCAGTAAGTGTACACTCACCTTCCAGTATGTGATAGCATCCACAAATCCATCTGTGGGCTCTGCAATGTATGCATACCACTCTTGCTCTACTGAATGCTCAGCCAATGGACCTTTTCCTTTACCCTTGAATAAAATGTCGTAGGCCTTTTGCTGCTGTGTTCGAATCACTGCAGCTGCCGGAGCCGAGGCCGAAGGGGCCATCTTGGATTTATACTTGCACATCTGTAAAATGAATGTTAATATAGAGAGAAATGAAGATTAAAATATGAGTAAAAGCGCACCTCAGCTAAAAATAGATTCTTTGCTGCAGCTGCTTCTGCTGGTGAAGTGTTTTGCTCAAACCACTCCAGCTTACATGCAGGATTGATGACTAATAAACTTAGCTTCAGATTTCAGCAGCTTTAAAGCTGTGCTTACCAGTGGCCAAAGTATATGCATTACAGCTGCGGTTGCGATCACGATAGTCTTCAAGCTTGTCCAGACCTTGCTGAATAATTCCAGCTGCGTTGGATACTTTTGCCTGTTGCTCCTGCCAGCGTAGCTTCATGGCTTTAAATGCAGGTAAAACACTAATGAGTGTTGGCGTAGATTCTGAAGATAAAAGCTGCTGAAACGCATGTGGAACCTATTCATGTTTAATTTATTACTTGGATAAATAAAGAAAACTAAACTTACCTGAAGGATCTCGTGGAATACTTCCAAAGCTTTCCACTCTTCATTGTTCATGCTATACTTGCAAAGTTCTGCAAACTCTGAACCATAGAGAAATTGTTCAATTGCCTATAAATAAATAAGCCTGAAAGTATACAGTATGCCAAAATAAATTGTTACCTCGCGAAGTAGAATAGCCCGATCTATCATGAGATATGTTGATGACCACCGTGTCTCAACGTCTTTGAGAAGCTGCAGAATGGCCATATCCATGTTGACTAAAATCTGCATAAAATGCTGGCGACGCAGTGCATATGCATGAATCTATACATCGAGGTAAGGCAAATCACTATCTTGTATAGATTAAATTAAACTTACTGCTCTAATGAGAGAACGTAAAGTTGCAATAGGGTCACGTTTGACTGCATCAAGAAAATTGCGTGACAAAAACTTTTCTGGCTCGAAATCTTGCGACGTTTCCTTGACATACTCAAGTTCAGTTATAGCACTAAGAACACTTTGGCATGCTAAGTTGACAACATGTGGAAAGCAGCTACAGTTATTTTGAGCAATAAACTGCAATTGATTTATTGAAATATACACACCGAATGCGACGTTGAAGCTTGTCAAAAGCAATTCCACGCTTTCGCAAGGTTTGCTCAAGAGCCTCCATGCAGGTGTCATTGTTTGCTGCATTGTCCATTGTAATCCAGCCAATCTATATATTTTTAAAGGATAGTAAGTGGTTTAATCATTTTAAGTTGTTAAAATGGCTGTACCTTGTTTGTGATCTTGATACGGTCCAGGATATAAAGGAATGCAGCCGCAAGATGCTCACCGGTGTGTCTGGAGGGGACACGATGAAAGCCAATAAGATCTCCACGAAGTCGAAGCTGCAGCTGAAGTCCGTTACCACGATCTTCAAGAACAAGCTGCAGCCAATGTGCAGTAACCGCCATGTACAGCGATAAGAATGGGTCAGTCCACATATCCGTTGTGAAGGATATGCTGCCAACTGCATTCTATAATTAGGAATTAGAGCAGAATTTTTTTGTAATTTTTTCGCCACTTACCTTTATATCCTGGCTAAGCTCCTTGAGATACTCTTCAAAAACCTCACCAACTCGTGTTCAGATAGTGGTCCGCCCAGGAATATCTTTCTCATGCAGCTCAGAACAAAGCAAAAGAAAGATATTGCGAAGCTGTGGATTTGAAATGACGCGTAAAGGCTGCAAATATTTATTCAGATTTAAAGCACAATAAAATGTAAATTTAAAGCACACCTGATCGTCAGCAACAATCCACTCAGTAATGTAATCCACAAATAGCTCCTTGGTGAACTGTGGCCGGCTGTTATCTGCTTGTGCAACATCTGGTTGTCCACGTTGACGTCGCCTCCAGGCTTCAACTTGTGCCGTAGCACACTTCGCTGTGATTTTGACTTGCGCCTTATCGCACGCCTCCACCCACTCGTCAAGATGAGCACCTCGGAAGTGCTTTCGGGGGTTGTCTGTGCCTGCAGTAGTCCAGGTGGACACATGGTGATGAGGATTCTGTTCATGCATAAACCTGGCGAGTTTTTTTTAGAAATAAGTGCAAAGAAATAGCTGAAAGAAATCCATACAAGCAAAACTTGCATTTCTTGCGTCCATTCTCATCTGTCTCAATAAAGGGCCAGACATCCTTAGCTTGCTTGCCTTGTCTGTTGCCTGCAGGCCCATGAGGCGATTTCTGACGCTGACCGGCAACAGGTGAATTGGGAGGGCCTGCCGGCTTGCGAGTTGGGGTGGCAGGAGCAGGCAGGAGATCACGTGAAGAGCCTGCAGCTGGCGTTGGACTAGTAGGCGAGTCTTCAGAGTCGTCTGCAATATCAATGTTGATATATTCACGACTATCAGCAACTGGAACAGATCTACAAAGATCCAAACATTAGAGCATAGCAATTTGCAGTATTGGTCACCACGCACTTGTCTATCGAGCTCTCCCCACTTGGATTGTGCTGGTGATTGGCACGACCTCTTCGGGGCGACGCGAATGCCATGAGCACCTCTCCTTCAGCAACATCCTGAACTCCTGGACCTTTCCTACCACCTCTCTTCTTTGCTGGGGAACCTTGGACAGCATCCTCAGATGAGAATTCACCTACAGAATTCAAGATGTTATCAGCAGACAACATCAAACTGCACAAAAGCTCAAAAAAAGCGCACCAGACAGCCTAAACTGGGTCATAACAGCTCCATTGTCAAACTCAACATGCTTAGAGGCCACCTTTTGCCTCTTAGGTGTCTTCTGAGAGGTCTCGGCAGCTCTCTTCTTTCCATGGTTGCGAGGAGGCATAGTGGCAAGCAAGGTGACGCGGCGTTTGCCTTTTTGGGACAACTGAACCTGACTGCAAGCCACCGCCGAGTCGCGCCAAGCCGCAGTTAAGCCGCATAACAGCCAAGAGCCAATCAGCAACTTGGCTTGGCTGCCACATGGCTTGACTGCAACGACTAGCGGCTAAGCAGTCAAGCCGTGGCAACACTACCGTCGATTACTCGTAAATCCCCTCCTGCGCGATCCAATTCACAACAGTTAACCTCGTTATTGATGGTAATCATGAGCTCGTAAATGATGAGAGCTGAGGAATCCGAATGTAAGCCTCGAATATATCTGACGATGTGAGATATGTAACAGTATTCCATATAGGAGTAAGCCCGTTCTCTGTGAAACCCATGGGCAACAAACCGCTTACTGGAATTCCGTCACATAGCTGCGGGCCGCTGAGTTATTTGAGTTTGACGCTAACTCTCATCGGAATCGTCCAGACCTCACGTACGCCTCGCGCAACCTATCCGGGTCCAAATTGCTCACTAATTTCCACACGCCAATCTTTGCCGCCCTGCGCGTCTTTGCAATCTGGAACCGAAGCTACATCTGGTCTCTGACAGTGTTCATACTGAGCATGTCGCCCTTTGTGTCACACCTCGTGCGTGTCATCTCTGCTGGATCCTTGCTTGTCCTCGAGTTGACACTGCGGCCGCGATGCAGACTCTTAGGACGATATCGAAGTATAATCCCGTCGTCGACCCGATCTTTGGCCGTACATGCATCCCGAAGGCGCTGTTCACGGCGCGGACAATCGGCATGTGAGTGTGCACATCTCGCCCGTGCCGTTCTTGGGTGCTCATTTGGTGCGATATGAATGTATGTCCCGTGGTCAAAGTTTTAAGGCACCGAAGATACTGACATTACTTGCTCAGTCACGTATATCACCGCGTCTCACTCGTCCTCGCCGACACAACCGTGCTCGTCCTGACCTGGATGAAAACGTTTAGACACTGGAGGGAAGCGCGCCGCATCATCAGAGCGTCGCTGGCGACGTGTCTGCTGCGTGACGGTTAGTAATTCTCTGTGCACCATCGCAATTACCATTGCCGACACCTAGATCTCCATGCAGGCACTATCTATTTCATGTGAGCGCTGCAAGAGAGGCATCCATCCGGAATTTTTTCTCACAGGCAACGGTAAATGTAGAGCTCTGCCAGCAATAAACATAGCGCAGCTGCTGACATACGACTTCTCTGCGGTACGTCTCCGATACGAGTGCGCGGGCAAATGACTGATGTCTTACTTGAGAGCATAGAGCTCCTTGCCCCGTTTGTCGTAATATTTGTGTGTACTCTACTTCTTGCTCGCTCTCTCAACGCTCATAAGCTAGCCGTGCAGCCCCTCGTACTCGTTAACCGTTTCATGATCAACTAGTACTTACGGACGGCGGAGTCGGAGGTGCCGAACTGCCCTGTAAGCATTAGCGATGGACGGCAAGAGCAGTTGACGCTGCAATTCCGAGCATCTACGAGCCGTTTTGGTAGCATTGGGGAGATGTTCCAGGATGGCCGGAACGATGAGTACTGGGACCAAGAAGATATCTGCGACACAGAAGCCGATGAGACCGGACATCGCGAGACTGGCATGGAAGCACGAACAGATTCTGAAGGTTATAGTAGGGCATGCACTGTACCAAGCGAATAGTGACGTCAATAATGTGTGCGGACGGGAAACTCGAAGCTTTGATAGTATTGAATACTTATTCCGGATCGAATCGTGTCGTCAGGCCTCTTGACGTACCCGTCTCTGCGTCAGCCTCAATGACTATGACGGGTCGTCGGCCTACGGTGCGTGGGTTACAGGAGACGACTGGAAATGTAGAAGAAGCTTGGGTCACGTTTGATCACACAGCGTGCAGCTAGCTTACGGAAAGCCCGCATCCCTTAAGTCCCACGGGATATATTCACCCACGTGATTTTACCCTCGAGCTCACGCCATAAAGGGATCAGTCATAGCGTTTCGCAGATTGCTTGACAGTAACCCGAGGAGAGGAAAGGCAGGATGAGCGTCCTTCATCGATTGGTTCGGGACTCTCCGAGCTGCATGACAAAGCAGCCCAGCATAAGCAGCCCAAGAAGTCGTCGTCGTCATCTGGGTGACCACTGCCCCTAGTAAATCATAATAATAATTGTACATACAGCCTTGGTAGACTTGCATTTTATCACAATTTTTTTCACGGACTGTTTGCAGTTGAAGGCGTACTTCCGGTGCCGGCATCACTTTCTCGAGGCATAATTGGCATGTGGAGCCCTGAAGACCTCGACAAAAATTGCTGAGTAGCATATACGTCATCACACGTTTAACATTAAACTCCGAGGTATCCGAAGATGAACAACGCAAGAGAGTGGAGGAGAATACGTGGACTACTTGAGCGAGTCCGCCGAGTTGCTCGGACGCTTATCGAAGGGAGGTAGCCCCTTGACGTTCTCTTCTCTTTCCCTGTCCGCCTACTGTTAAGCTTTTCACAAAATGCTGTAACAATCCTAGCCCTGAGGCAGGCGAATGCCACGTGGTCACTAGTCACCAAACAGATCAATAGCAAACCAACGAAAGCGCGGCCATATTTCAGTACACGTTGAGGATACCACACAAGCGATACAGAACAGAAACGACAGGGCGCACGCTTCTACTACTCAGACTTAGCAACGTACATCGCGAACATACTCAACACAGCGTCCTTGTCCACTCCATCGGAGTTGGTTGAGTGTGCGATATCCGCATACTTCTCTACGTTGGCCAACGTTTCCTTGGCCTTGCCGGCCACAATTACCATACACTCCGTCCCGAGCTGCAGACGAAGCGGCACGTCCGCGAGACCAGCGATCTTGACGAGCGTACGTGCCGCTTTCTGAGGGTCCCCGATCGGTTTCATCGATCCATCGAAGGTCATCTTCCTGAATACAGCGCACGGCGAGTTCGGATCGGCGTACTTGGGGTGTACAGGCATCACCTTGAGCGATTTGCCTCCCCACTCGGTGCGGAAGCCTCCGGGTTCGATGATAGTGGCGGTGATATTCCACGAGGGATCCATCTCCTTCCTCAGCGACTCTGTCAGGCCTTCGAGCGCTACAGATCCCCGTCATAATCAGTGAGCGCATCGAGACATCGATTGTACAAAGAGTCCTCACCAAACTTGGCGCCGTTGTAGACTGACAGTGTCGGGACAGCAGAGTAGCCACCACAGGTGCTGATGTTGAGGATTCTGCCACCGACACCGGCCGGGTTGACGTCTCGCATGAAGGGAATCGCCTACAAGCGGTCAGTTTGTGCTCGACTGCCATGACCTCCACGCTGCGCACGCGAGTCGGGAGGGCGACGTACCCTCTGGCAGATATGAAACGGCCCCCAGAAGCAAGTCTCGAAGCAGTGGCGGCCCTCATCTTCGGGCGTGTTCTCAATCTCCGCAACGAGTGCGTAGCCGGCATTGTTCACGACGACGTCGAGCCGGCCAAAATGCTCCTTGACTTTCGCAAACGCGGTGTCGATCTGCTCTATGGATGTGACGTCGAGGTGAAGGATGAGTAGCTGCGACGCAGGGTACTTGTTCTTGTACTCTGCGAGGACCTCGGGCTTTCTGAGGGTGGCGACCGCGCGTTCGTTGGCCGCAAGGACGGCGTCGAGCAAAGCTCGCCCAAGACCTTGCGAGGCCCCAGTAACTATCGTGACAGTATCAGTGGCTGGAAGTGAGTTGATGAAGAAGATTCTCACTGAGCCATACGCGAGAGTTGTCTTCAGACATCGTTCGAAGTGCAACAGCGGGGGATGACAGTGTACTGAGAGTCCTGCCCCAGGACGGCCGCTTTTATGGCAATCGTCCCTCACTGCGGCAAATTGACTATCCTCCAGTTTTCAGATAACAAATGCCACTCAATAAGCTGCCGTTGGCAGTCGTCAGCCCGGCGGGCTGCTGACACTGTAGTTGACGGTCAACATGGAGAAAAATCGATCTTCGGAGAGTTCTGTATAGGAGCACCTTCCCGTTATATCTGCTTGCGCTCCTGTATCTGGCACAAGTTCAGAAACAACGGGTAGTTTTGCAATTTCTTACCCTTCAGGTGCTTGTCATCTAGGTGAAGTGCAGCGGAGACCGGCGGACCAGATTGATCTAGCTACCCGAATAGGATGCGTGTGGCACATCAAATTCAAATTTGATGAGCCCCGCCGCGCATTTGACTCGCTCAGAGGCCCTGTTGCTTTTCCGCCCTGCAACGGATCTAGTTAATGCTATTCTTGTCTTGATCAATGTGCCGTAAAACGTACTCCAATTTTTCCTTTGTTAATTAGGTACTTCTAGAATCCTGGTCTCAAACGACTGATCGCCGTCAGCAGTCAAGATGCTTCACTGAATCTGGTGTTTGATTTTCTGGAGTTCTCAGGATACGGTAGGAGAGAAAGGTATCACCACGAGCTCTGTAATGCTACAGGAAGCTACATCAACGCGACCCGGACAGCTCGAACGCGCTCTGGAACCGTGCAGCACTTGCCGAGCAGTTAAGAGCGTTGCGTACTTTGTGCATCATTTCGTCCTTATTGGAATGTGATGTGGCGTAGCCGGCGGGATGCTCGCGACTTGCTCAAAGTGCGGAGTCTTCGTAGACGTCGTCTGTAACTGCCATTCCCTTGGTGGAAGCTTTTTCATTGATCACGATAGTCGCGCCAGAATGCAGCAGACGTGTCAATGCATGAGCCAGAGTTGTAGCTGAGGTCCGACATATACGGTGTGAATAAGAGTGGGGAGGTCGCTGAGCTTTCACGACGCTACCTCGTGTCCCTGAGAGTTGCTTGCGCCGCAGTAAAGTTATCTGCGTCAGCCTGGCGCACGATACGGGATCAGGGCGGGAAAAACGAGAAGAAAAAGGGAGCAAGCCTACGGTGGAAAAGATGACGTGCAGGCTCTCGACGAGCTTCTTGGCCTTCTACTCGCTGCGCACGAGTGCGGTAATGTCGAACGTGCTCGCATTGGGACACCCAGCGGCTTGCTGAGGACGGTGTCTCTAACGTATCCTGCGCATCGTTCAGCAAAGAGATTCAGAAATTCACCAAGTTCGCATGCAACTTGCGCAGCATTGTCACTGGGACGTCTGCACAAAGCAATGCAGCGGGCGCATATCGCTGGCCAGGGCTGTACGCGCGTTGAGTATCAAGGCGACGGCTAATGAAAATACTTCACGTGGTTCCCAAAGCCGGCTTTGCAATACGTCTAATCGCATTGTATCGTAAAGTGGGCAGGCACCAAACTGGCGTACTATGATGGCACCCTGGTTTATAAAAATTGAGCAAATCTGCTTCTTGTAGCTTACCACAACCCCTCTTCGTGAGCAGTTTTGCATAAATCGATGTGCGCACACCTTGACTGTGTATTCGCATTTTTGTTGTATTTTATTGAGGTCTTGCAAGAGCTGCGGATCGATTCCGGTGCGCAAAATGGGACCTGCTCCCTCGTTTATTAATTTCGTCACACTAGTGTCACACCAGATGCCGTCGAGCCGTGCTGCTGCCGAGAAGCCGAGCCGTCTCTCCAAGGTCGACCTTGAGTCACGTAGGCACACGCGAGAACATGTATACGGTCAAGTAATCAAGGGATATATACACTAAGGATTAGGTAAACAATCTAGCGGGAATATAAATGCTATGCTATGCTGTAAGTATACTCAAAGACGTGATGCGAATGGTAGGACTCGGGCCACTGAGATGGTCCGGGAACAGAGGGTAGTGTAGGCAGCGCCGACATAATATGACGACGATTCCAGCGCGAGGGCGTAGGGTGGGGTGAGAGTGGAAGCGATGCACGTCGCGGTGTGGTGGGGCGTGATATTTCGTCATTATCGGGCTGCTCTGTCGGGTCTTCGTGCGCGGCCAGTTCATCTGCGGATCTGTTAGCGCATCAGGGATAGTCATAAGCGCCGTTACGTCTTGCTGCTCAGCGCTCAGTGGCTTTACTTTTTTCCCCCGTCCTAAACATATTACTTGGATACTATGATGGCACCCTCGTTTATAAGTGTTCCCTGCTTTATTAATTTGCTTTTGCTACTTCAATTTGCCTCCGGAGGTGCTGGGAATATTTTTTAAGATAGCTCTGTATTCATGTTATAACATGATACCCATATCATGACAGACATAAGGTGAAAGACGGTATGGTATTTTTGTAGATGCTCAGAAGCGGTCTAAAATTGGCTGAAACATGCTACTGATGGCTAGATCCAACCAGATCTCGCTCACCAAATATTCTTGCGACCACATTTATGAACTTGTGCACTTGCACTGAGCCTGGTAGGCTGATATATTTTGTTTTAAAAGTGCTAGGTACATGCACAGAGAAGGAACAGTTGTGGAGTGTTACAATGAACGGGCAAGGTGTGATGAAATTGTCACTCCGCCTGATCTCAGACATGGCAGGCAACGAGGGGCTCTCGACAGCAAGTCGCAACAATCCTACGCTCAGCACAGTGCCACTGGAGGCTGTCAGTAATGCGCATGGGAAACCGGGGAGGACCTGGCAGGCCCCAGGTCCCCTCCGGACCTGTTCCTGATGGACAGAAGAAGGCATTACCGCTCATCTACGCATCTAAACAGGATGACGACCGCAAGACTCTTATCCAGAAGGCTGCCGATGCCTTTCGTGCAGACGTATTCACATCCATAGCTGCCTCCCAGCGACACTACGGCCTGACGGACACAGAGTATCAGAAATTACGACACCGTTTGCACGGCACTCACCAGCCAGCACAGAAAGTGCACGAAGCAGGTGCGTCAAGATAAAGAAAGACGTGCAAAGCTTGTGCTCCCAGACGACGTCACTATCTTCGAAGGCGCGCTGTCAGGGAAGAAGAAGGCCGCCCTCGAAGACATCGCCAGCGCACTACATCTCCAGTACAACGAGAAGGTGCACAAGAAAGACCTCATAGCCATCATTGAGCGGCATCTTGAGGAGTATCAACACACGCTCGTCAAGACCCGTCGGTTTGAAGGCCTCTATACGTCGCTAGATCGAGGCCGTCGATCAGTCGCTAATATAAATGGAAGTACGGCGGGAGCGCGGAAGTTGAGGTGTGCGATGCCCGCGGGCGTCTAAAAGCAGGCAGGTGTGCGCAGCATGTATACTGAACGCCAGGGCGGGGGGCGGAACACGGAGGCGGGTCGTCAGATGACGAAAGATGGGAACTAACACTGACTCCGTCCCATGTGCCTGATCTCGGAGATCGAATTCAACTCCTGCCGAAGGAATAGCCGCTGCAAGAGGCGGCGCGCGTCGGGGCGTGATGCGCCAGTCATCCATGAGAGGTTTGATGCGTAGTGTAGAGAATCACGCAACCATGGGTGCTGCAACATGGGTCTATTAGACGGCGTGCTACAGTGGCCGTAGTAGTCGTAGGAGAAATACGGCCGAGACGACAAAACTAGAGCCAGTATAAACGATACAAGAGTTCGGGGATGGCAAGACCAGTGACTACGGTACAGCAGCAAGAAAGAGCAGAGATCTAGCATCGAATATCTACGCACGTTCACCACGGAGGCGACGAGCGAGGGCAAGATCCTTGGGTTGACTATAAGAAATGGGTCAGCGCCTCTACTAAACTAGGCAGAGACCGACGCAGCGAGCGACACGTACATGGTGACACGCTTGGCATGGATGGCAGCAAGGTTAGTGTCTTCGAAGAGCGAGACGAGGTACGCCTCGGCAGCTTCTTGGAGAGCCATGACGGCAGAGGACTGGAACCGGAGGTCGGTCTAGAGTGCACACGAGCGACGTTAGTGACCGAGTTCAACAGCGGCCGAGCAGCCGCACACAATGCTGACTCACCTTGAAGTCCTGTGCAATCTCACGGACCAACCGTTGGAAGGGCAGCTTCCTGATCAGCAGCTCCGTGGACTTCTGGTAGCGACGGATTTCACGGAGGGCGACAGTTCCAGGGCGGAAACGGTGAGGCTTCTTGACACCACCAGTCGTGGTGGACTGCGCAAATTGAGAAGCAAAGACGATGGTGAGCGACCTACGTACACCGACAGTCGCCAAAAACACGCTTACCGGTGCAGTCTTCCTGGCGGCCTTGGAGGCGAGTTGCTTGCGGGGTGCCTTACCACCGGTGGACTTGCGAGCAGTTTGCTTGGTGCGAGCCATGTCGAAAAATGAGGATTACGAAGAGGAAGTTTGAGCAGTGCTCGAGAAGGCTAAGATGATGGTGGTCGAGGAACAAGGTGCACTGCAAGTCCGAGCTGCACCTTATATACGCCGACGCGTGACGCGGAACACGTGACGTTCAACGAAGGCGCGTTTGGCAGCACTTTGGCTAAGTTTGCGCGTCACGCATTCCCCACGGTAAGCGCCCTAGGCTTTGCGCTTTCACTCACCATCTCCCGGGATTATGCCCCTCTTCGGAACACTGAAAATTGGCCGTTTGTAGAGGAAACACACCTATGTTAGCCTTCTTTAGAAGCCTGGAATTAATCAGAGCCTCCACCTTTGTCGCGGGACCCAGAAACGGTCAGCCCATTCCGCCTCAAAAGGACGGCTAACGCTCCTGCGGCCAGCCACTGTGGATCCAGCCGCGTATCTGTATCTGTCCTAGGATGGTGTGTTCTTGTGTCCTCTTATCGTCGCTCGTTCCGCCAGGCCTTTCTTTGCCATGACCGCGTCTCAGGACAAAACGTGCAAGCCCGTGGCGACGTGGGTGAACGTTTGCCGTCAAGATTTCGCGTGTCTCGGTACGTTTCTGGGATTTTCCTCTACGAATTCACGTACAAGGTTCTGCTTTTAGTTGCCATCGCTTTCCTCGTTCTTTACGTCCTCTTTGGTGTTACGCCAACTCTCAACGCCATCAAGTGGTGTCACCGAATAATTACTGGCAAGCCAAAGGACTTACCAAAAGACATTGAAGACCCTGAGCCGGAATACGGTACGTTGACACGCTTCCCCATCAACTTGAAAGTACTCACCATCTCAAAGAGGGACAGGACCCGTATCACTCACCCACACAGCTGCTGAAGCGATTCATCTCGCGCTACTCGGACGCGCGCACTACCGTACCACCCACAACATACCTCCCCGTTCTTCCAAAAACGTCTTCGCCTTTATCTTATGCTTCATCTCGTCGTCGATCGGTCCCGCTCCACAACAACCCCCAGGACCGCCTCCGGCTCGCGCAATTCCAGTTCCCGGCGACGCGCCGCAGTTCTGTCGCTCCTGCCCTAGAATCTGTCCCCGACTTGTTTTCACCCTCTGTACGGTCCTCGCGGTGCACGACGGACACGGATCTAGAGACGCTCGACGGACTCGTCCTTGGCAATGAAGGTCGGCGCAAGTCTTTCCTCGACGCCAGCGATTACTCTGCCCTGGCATTTGTAGACATCGACCTGCAGGAGAAATCGCCTGCCGGCTCTGAGGCTATGTACTTGCCCAACATCCCACCTCCTGCTCATCTAGATCTTGACTGGCAAATGGAACCTGAACGATTCGAGTATAACTCTGCTTGACTATATGTTGCTCTGCTGTCTCTGTCTTCCATCTGTCCATCGACCGATATATATATTGCTGCTCAGTCCAGATGGTTTCTCCAATCGCATATTGAACAAGTACTTGACTGTACATGACCTCAAGCCCAAGGCTCAGCGCTTCACTTCCCGAGGATTCACTGCAAATGCGTAGTGTCCTCAGATGCGCGCTATTCCGACACAGCATGCATCGGGGAGGGCAACTTCTGGCATCTCAAGGTCCCCGACGCTTTTGCGCGAAATTTCGACGAGCATTTATGCGCCAGAGACGATACGAGACTGACTGACTGAATGATATTGGTACATTAGTTGTGAATGTGCTATATCACAAGGGTTATGGCTACATGTAATCAAAGAGATAGCCACCGACGATACAAGTCTTGCGCCAGAGGTGTCGCGCCTGTCGTGACGTAGATCAGTGACAAGTTGTACGCTGCTTCGCGGGCAAGACCACAGTCAGCCTACAAGCGAAGATCGTCAGCAGCATGTAACGATGGCCGAAAGCACGCTTACCTCTGGATCTGACTGAGTTTTCTTCTCGGCCTGTTCCAAAACGTGTTGGTAATGCTTCGCCGCTAGCGATAGCAGTCCTGTGTTGCTTGTCAGGACTGTCATAATGCCCAAACATCAACGCACCTAAATGGTGGAACGCACGGCCAAAGTTGTACTCGACCTCGCCTGGTGCATCGTCGCCTCGAAGATCGCGGTATTTCGAGAGGAACGCCATGGCCTGCACGATGATGGCTCAGCCTATTCACCTGAGCCACAGTTGGTATGGACATACCTGCACTATGAGGTGATGCCGATTGTCAGCCTGTCGTTGCATTGCCCGTCCCATAGACGCGATTGCAAGCGACAGGCAGATGACGGGATCGTGCGGACAGTAATCGTATGCATGCAAGAGATAGACTACAGGTGGTGGCTCAGAAATATCCGCGAGATTGGACAGCGTAGGACACTCACAGATCGCACTCTGATAACTCTTCGCTGCCAGGCATATCTGCCCATAGATCGTCACGCCGATTGGGCTCTCCTTGGATGGCAGCTTGGGTGCTCCGCTGCCGCCCGCAGATTCGGACTCGTCTCGGCTGGCGCCCTCGAGTACGTCCGCGTCCTCTTCTTCCTCCGCCTTCGTCCCGACGCCGTACCGCTTCAGTATAGGGTTCCAGCGGAGTGCGTCAGGGTTCTTGAGCGCAGAGTCGTAGGAACGCAGCTCGCGGAGCATGTGCTTCGAGAGCGTGGAGGCGAGGAAGCTATCTGTTGCATGATAGCCGCTCGCAAGGGAGGCGAGGAGGATGCGGAGCGGTTCGTTGTTAAACTGGTGCGCGTTAACAAGCTTCCGTGCTTGTTCGACAACCGTGTCGTATCGAGCCGCAGCAATAGAGCACGCTGTCAGAGACGTTGTGTCAGGTGCAATGAAGAGAAAGCGCCAGGTACTGACTGATGAGGGCGCAACGTATCGTGTCCAAGTGTACTCGCTCTTGGAAGGCGTTGGAGTAGAGGATATGCCGAAGAATTTCCTGTGCATCGTCATACTGTCCTCTTCGAGTAAGGTTGAACGAGAACTAAGGAAATATCCCGTGTTAGTGAGATCACGACGATGGCACAGAACAAACCACAAACCTGCATAAATATCCGCAGCCAGTCATCGAACGAAATCTTACGGAAAGAATCGAACTCTTCCCCAGAGGCACCCTTGGCCTTCCTGGCTACCGTCTCGCGACCTGCAGCCAATTCAGCACTTCCGCAGACTGAGATACGCATCCCCACTTACCAAGATCCAACTGCAGCCGTGACGCCATACTCTCTTCATTCGCCTCCTCGCTTTGCTTCCGTCTCCTGCTCCTGCGAAAGACACCATGGAAGCCCTCCTTGCGCGAGGTCAGGAACAACGCCCGCGTCTCGCGGAAAGACTCGACTAGCATCTCCGCCTGCTGCATCCACTCACGGTCTGCCTCTTCGTCACCGGCGAGCATGCGCGTCCAGAGCTCCTTGACTCTCCCAAACGCCATGACCGCCTCCTGCTCCTTTTCTTGCTCGAGCTTGCGCAACTGCGTCGGCGACAGTTTATCGGGGCGCATAGTCTTGACAGGTTTGTCCTTGCCTGGACGAGGCTTCTCTTCGAAGAGCGAGGCGCCCTGGCCCGCCTCAGAGGTTTGAACGTCGTCGTTGTCTTGCCCTTGCCGACTCTTGCGACGGCGCGAGTCGATGACTGACGCGTTATATTTATATGAGTATGTATTTGATTCGGGAACAGAAAAGGGCCAACCTTGCAGGACCAAGTCCAAAGCCTTCCTTGGTTCATTAAGAATCTCGTATATCTCCGCGAGTTTCATCTTGGCGTCATTGTGAGTCGGGTCAGCTTGGATGACTGCACAGCTCACCAAGTAAGTAACAGTTTCACAGGAAGCGGTACATAATAACATACCGTGCTCGTAGATATCAACAGCTTCCTTGAGATCGCCCACCATCCGACGACAAGCCGCTGCTTGTAGTAAGACATACAGACTGCTGGTCTAATCTGAACAATGAGGGAGTGTACAGGTTACGTGTGAAGGTGACATACCCCAGCATCCCCACCCAGCATCTCGTAGATGTGTCCGGCATCCGCATACATCTCTCGTTCAAAGTATGCGTCCGCAATCTCCGTGAACAGTGCCGCATAGTCAGCGATTTCTTGTGACAGGATGATGTCAGCATGCATCTGCAGGCGACATTGAACGCATACGATCGACAGAATATGCACACGAAAGCTGACCTTTCCCTCGCCAATGTCGCCCATCTTGATCCTCGCAACCGCGAGACGGTGTCTCGCATTGACGTCGAGCGGGTACATACCCGGCTGGACCTCGCCGTGGGGCACGGTCCTCCAGCTCTCGCCGTTCGGTCCGACGGGCTCGTCCCACTCCCTGTCGTCCTCGTTCGAGTCCCAGAACTTCTGCGCCGCGCGGCCCTGCAGCCAACGGCACCCGCGACGGATCGTCTCGACGGCCTTCTCGCAGCGCCCGAGGATGTTGTATATGTCAGCGAGGACGAGAATTTCCATGAGCCCAAAACCTGCTGTCGGTGAACTGGTTTGCTCGGCGAGTGGGTCTGCTGGGGGTACCTGGCCGTTCGGGTACGTGGCATGGTAATGCGCGAAGGCGTCCTCGAAGAGCTTCGCGCAGAGCTCGAGGTCGTTCAGTTCGATGAGAATAGGGCGCAGTTCTGCGAGTACAGTTAAATCATGCGGAATGCGCTTCAAAATAGCAAGCAGGGAGACGCGAGCCTGGTTTTCGTTAACTTCAGTGCTTATTTTCCGACAAGAATGGTGCGGTACCCACAGTTCGTGGCTCTCCTAATTGCTTGGCGAGGGTTGCACGGTCCCAGAGAGCGTTCAGGTTGTCCGGGTCGAGTTGGTGTAGCTTCCTGTAGCAGTACAGAGCCTGCTGGTGATACCCTTCCCGCCTACCACTATCTGAGGACTCGAAAGAGCTGAACATCAGATCCAGTGACTTACCTCGACTGCTTAGCCAACTGCTCCCACTCTTCCGCCTCCTGGTTCAGATGGGCAGCCATTATCCGTAACTGCAAGGCTTTCCGCGATTCTTCTTTAATTTCACAGCACTGCGCGAGCACCGACCATGCGCGAGGGTCCCGTGGCTCTATGCGTATAACTTCCTGCATAATTCGGGTAGTATCTTCGAATTTGCCGTCGATGAATGCCTGATGGCCTTGGCCGATGAGCACTTCGACATCTGGGGACAGCACAATCCCTTTCCGTCGGCCTGGCTGGCACAAAGCTCGCTATATGCGCGCATGTATGATACTTTAGGCCACACACCTTGCGTCCCCGCTTCTTTCCTACTCCTGACGCCTCTCGTAGATCATCCTTGAACTCTGCCTCCCGGTCTTTCAAGTCAAAATCCCAGACCTTGCTGAGGGCTCCGCCGCTACTGTCGCCTTCGCGTATCTCACGTACAAGACGGCTGTTGACACATACACGTGATTATTAGTAGCATGGATGCAACTGTTTTTGACGCGTACTCAAAGTCCTGGTCGACATGCTCCGGCTCCGGATCGTCTCGCGCTTTTCCCTTGCCCTTCACGGAGACCGGACGCTCCTCTTCCTCGTCTTCTTCACTCACTTCTTCACTCACTTCTTCCAAATCGCTGCTATCCTCATCTTCGCTATGGTCGCTATCTTCTGTAAGTTCCGGGTATAAGGTGTGCTCGCAAGGAACGGGCATGCGACGTACCGGAGTCGTCGTGCACCCAGCTCTCAGCGAGCGACATGACCAAGCTCAAAAACAGCTACGAAAGTAGTGTGTTGCAGAGTCCGTCGAACTGTGACTGCGTAGTATAGAGATCAAGGGGCGAGTTGCCAACCGGTGTTGGATGTCGGAGGCAAGAGAGATGGCTCAGTCTCGCCGAGCGCCCGACGCCACAAAGGCGGCGTTCTGGCATTTGTTCGAGCCTGGTACTATCCACAGAAGTTGAAAAGGCGCACTGTAGACATGTATTTTTCGGTAAATGCCACTATCAAAAAGACCTTGTGGCGTGGCACGAACAAGTTCGGGAAGACGTATAGAACTCTCTTCGCCGTCGCCCGCCTGATGCAGTGGAGGACGCTCTCAGAAACAATTTAAGTCCACTCAGCTTCGTGATACAGCGCAAAGTGCCTCTTACACACAAAAGAAAGCGAAAACGCAAGAATGTGGACCTTAACACTCGAAGGGAGCTTTCGCGAAGAAGTCAAAATCTATGTCACGAGCAAGCGGATCGCAGTACAGGCCAGCCGAGCTCATAGCGTCAAGATTTTGTCCAGCAGGATCGCCCACTCCATGACCGTGACACCTCTCTTCAGCGCGGGATCCCGCAGCTCGCGATCTCTTGTCGAGGGACTTAGCCGCGCGACGGCGCGCAGGTGTTCCATCTTGACGACGCCGAGCTCCGACAGGACCGGACCGATGTGCACGAGAGACGGCTCGCACGACGACAGGATGAGATCGACGGGGGACGTCGCAGTGATGCGCGACACGCCGCCCGTGTCCTGCAGCGGGAGGTACGTCCCGCCCTGCGTCGGCGAGACAGGTGGGCGCTGCACCGAGTTCGACTTGGACGAGCTGTCGGAGCTGCGGGGCGGGGTGTGGAGCTGCGTCATCGAATACTGGGGACAGAGCAGGACGTCAGATAGGGTTCAATATTTCGAGATCGAGAAGCGGGCGAGCTTCTCACCTCGGTGTGCTGGTAGGCCTTCGCGACGGAACGCCGGGGAGAAGCGACCGAGCTCTCGGCAAGGTTCTGGGCTGCGCTCATCCGGCGAGCACGAGGCGATAGTAAACCGATCTCAGATGCAGTGACCGACTGCGCTTGTTGTGCGACAGCTTTACGCGAAGGCTGCTGGTAAGAAATGATAAACTTGGCGGAGATGAGTAAGTTTGAGGAGTAGGTAGCATCGGACACACACCTCAGTGCGTTCGTAGTCTCCGCTCGACCCTTTGGACGTACCCTTGGACTTGCCCCCGTCAGAAGAATGCCGCGCCCCCTTGCTGGGAGACGGCTGTCGGGGAAGTGTGTCAGTCGAGTTCATCTTGCGGTGAGTCGAAACGCTGATGGAGCTGTCCTGTGCGACCCGCTGCCTCCACGCTGCAATTTTGTTATCCGGACCTTGCTCCATTATTGGCCTCTGCGCGAGTCCGGCCGCATTGCTGCGCCCTGGTTTGGGCAGAACGTCCTTGCTTGTGTAGCTCCGCAGGCTTCGCGAGTTGGTGCGTCCAACCTCTGGGCCACGGACAACGTTTGTGGGACTTTCCCGCGAGTTAGAGCGACGAACCGGTCGTTCTATGGGCGGTTCGTGGATCGAATCCTCTTCTTCCATTCTGCGTTCTATATCTCGAATGAAGGGCCCATATCCGGTGATGCTAATTGTGTAGTCTCGGCCCTCGACACCCTCGATGCCAGTGGTATTCCAGTCTGTGGGTGCCTCTGTGGGTGCGTCGAAGCCATCCGTCAGCCCAGTGCTGGTGGGCATGACGTTGTTCCGCCTCGCACGGACATCTGGGCTACGAAGCTGGGAGAGGACTCCAAACGAAGTAGCATCTGCACAGACATAGTTTAGCTCTGGACGCTTGGTTCGAATCGAACGTACCACTCGTCACTTCGTCCACATACATCATTCGCGAATGCACCGTCGTAGAAATTGTTGTTGTTCTGGCCCTATGTCGAGGCTGTCGGACCTGGGTTGACACCGGAGAATGTGCGTCAGAGGACTGTGGGCCTATATCATGTACAACATGCGTTTGCAGCGTGTTGTTGGGACGGGTCCCGTGACAGGGATCGTCGTTCGGTCCATTCGTCCTGTTGGACAGTGTCCGTCGCTACAACAGTTTGCGGGAAGCAGCAGCTTCTCACGTCACAGCTCCTGCGATGTCGGACGTGTACAACCGTGGGAACTGCACAAGCCCAGATGGTCATGGCGCCCACATCGTATCGGCCACTTGGGAGGAGTGGATTTTTCAGAGTGTCCCGGATTCTGATAGGCTTTCGCCGTGGGTCAACTTCTCTATGTCCCAAAGCCACGCAGGAGAGTTATGGTTCACGGTGCGGCTCGGGAGTCCCAGGGCGCCGCCACAGAAGCCAGAGAAGACACCATTCGCATGTGCAACGGTGAGAACGTACTTGGGGAAGTATGTTGTCCCGCTTGGTTTGCGTTGGACGGTCTTTTCAGTAGTTCTGAGAGTGTTCCTGTCCGAAGTCGTGACAACAAAGATTCTGTGCCGTCTGCAGGCGAGGTGAGTGCAGTTATCTAGAGAGTCCAACACTCGAGCTTCGGAAGTCTCAGGAAGCGGGCTCCTTCCGGCGCTAGTGTGCTGCATTAGGGTTAGGGCGGTGCTCAGATTAATGTTTCCTGGAGGCTTTTAAAGGCTTTAGTTCACAGTAACGTCTAGATACTATGTATATTTCGACAAAGCCGTAAGCGATCCATGTTTTCTGCGAAACTTGGCATATTCAGACTAAGTGGCATGCGTATGTGCTATACTTATATGCACTGTAGCATTCTCGGCCCCGAATGCGGTGCCGCCAATGACGGAAGTGCGGTAAGTCATTTTATTGGTCTCGTAAATACTTACGGTGAAAATGCCTCATCAATGTTTACCCGTATGCTACAGAGAGCTAGAAGAGGCAACACGGATTCCGCGACGCGCGTGCGGACCCGGCAGAAATGCATATTATTCCACAAGTGTGCAGCCTCACTGGATACTAGTACACAACGGTACTAGTAAGCCTACCAGTGCTGCCGTACGCAGACTCTAATATCTCCTGTACCTTGGGCTAACGTCGGCTGAGGCACCACCTCTTGAAGTTAAGCCGCGGCCGCCGCGCTCAGGCCCGATAACCATTTGACGCCATATTTGAGGTCCTTGTCGAAGTTACGAGCCAAACGGAAGCCATAAATAGTACCAGAACATCTTCGAAAAAAAGTAAAATCGAGACGCTGAGACGCGAGGAGACAAGCAAGATAAGTTATCTTATATTTCACATCGGGCTAGTACGCCCGGAGCGAAGTCGCCTACAGAATTACGACAGACTGGAGGACTTCATCTGAGAGACGACCCCTAGAAGCTCTCTCTCTGCGTTCTGCGTGGCCCGCAATGTCTTTTTCCAGATTTTCGTGCCATCTAAGTTGCGACTGTAAAAGCTCACAGTCGCCTTCGGGAAGAGGCGTCCCACAAAAATAGCGACTGCTTCGAAGTTCCGAGTGATGTTAGACCAACCTAGGTCCAGCGCCGATAAAGACGTATGCTGGGACACGACGCAAAGCGCGTTTGAGCCAGGGGGGTCAGAAACGTTGACCCCGAGCCGCTTGAGCGTTGGACAACCGGCGGCGATGGCGGCAAGGTGATCGACGGTGAGGTTCGACGATGACTCCCAGCTCTGATCCCCTAATGTCAGCTCGGTTAAGTGAGGCCAAGCCTTCGTCATGAGGTCGAGGTCCGGGTTGCTTGGCACAAAGTACGTCATGTAGGTGTCGAATGTGTGCATGCAAGGGATTTGGAGGAGGGGACTAATGGAGTGGATATCCGTGGCATTGGCAGGCACTTCCATAGAGGGATAGGGATGGAGGTGGTGGAGGTGGAAGGCGCAAGCTGTGAGAAGAGGAGTGAAGGCAGCTATGGATGAGCATATGGAATGCAGAGTTTGTTGTGTCGGTGAGCCTATCAATTCCACGGATAACTCCCTGAGAGGAGTCCCCGCAGTCTTCATCGCCCTCAGGAGGGCGATAGCGTTCCGGATCGGGGGTAAGGTGGTTGCATCGACATCTCTAATTTCGTAGGCTGAGACACCAAGGCAGAGGGCATGGAGAGATGGAAAGAATAACGTCTCGGTTGTACGTGACAGAGCCTTACGGCAGTCGGTTATGACGTCAAAGCGAATGTCGAGGCTCTGCAGACACGGTAAGGCAGACAATTCCATTATCCCCTCTAAGCTCGTTATTTTGGACCGCACGGTCAAGCGTTCGAGCCAACGCACGCTTTTGCAGACCATGCGTATGCCGTCATCGGCAAAAAGGTTTACCTCCAGTCCCCCAGAGAAGGTGATATTGCGCAAAGATGCCGACAGAATAAGAGAGAGGCGTGCGCTGTCATCCATAGACAACTCGTGCATGAGGCTGCGAAGGTTCGGGAAGACAACCGTGCCTTCTAACGGAGCGAGCAGCATATGGAAACATTGCGGATTGATAATCGCTGGGCCTTGTACGCAGAGTCGACTTGGTAGATCTTCAACCGTTAGCTCACGTACACGTGCGCTGTGATGGAGAAATCTTTCGCATTCAGTGAGAGAGGCTAGTCGGTTCAGATTCTGTAGACCGTCATCAGGAGGAGCCACTGCAGTAAATACAAAAGGCGATGACTGACCCACACAGATACCGGGATCCTAGGACCTGTGGGGGGAAGCGGAAAAGTTTGAATCGTTATCATTTCTGGAGGAAGACACTGCAGGAGAGGTGTGAAGTTATCTAAAGTCCACCAACAGATGTTCAGGGCTGGGTCGTAGAATGACCGACATGTCAGAGCCATTTGAACCAAAGACTTGCGACCTTCCACATTTGCCGCGATCCTTTCGAGAATCTCGTCGACATGGAGACAATGATGCATAATAAGATAGCAGGTATAAGGAAGTGGATAGCTTAATGATGCAGATGCCTGAACCCGACGATGGTGGTTGAGCACAGATCTGAAGTCCTCGTGGCGACGGGAAGTGCCGAGACGGCGAACTCCGCATTCAGGAAGAGATGCCAGGCCGCCCTCATGCACTTATGAAACCATCTCTTGCTTACTGGCTATGACCCGGAGATGGTTCACAATTTCGTGCTGAAAAAGGTCGGCATGAAGGCAAGCGGCATCCCACTAGCGGTCTGCCATCTGGCACCATATAAGTACAAAGTTCCGAGAAATTAACCATCAGCTTTCGCGTGCACTAGAGTTCCCCGCTACAGGATTTGGACCGAGTTTCAATACGACTCTGCGTGGTTTCTTCGGTAATGTGTCCGCATTGGCCTCGTCAGCGGACCTTTCTGTATCAGACCGAGATGTTTCTGCTGCTGCCTGCTTGACCAACGCTTTCTCCTTCGGCTTGTTCTTGGCGACTTTTGGCGCTGCGGGCACCGGCGCAGTTGTAGTCTTCTTGTTTGAGCGATCGCGGAGGGACATGATCATCGGTGGTGCAGCAAGCAGAGGATCCGAATTTATCTGTATAAAGTACTCGAGCGTGCGCTCTAGCCAAGGTTCCATCTCGGTGACGGCTTGTTGCCCGCCGCGACGTTTCGCGGTAGCCTTCTCAAGCTGGAAAAAGAGCTCGTTAGGAAAGCTCAAGCCGAATTAAGTGAGTCAGAATTCACAGCGACGAGGTTGTCAAGCGTCCACCACTCAGGGTCGGCTTTGACGTCATCGGTTTCCGCCAGTCCGGAGAGATGTGCAATAGTGCCGCTCGTCAAAGCGCGATCGCTGTAACCACCTTCCAGCACGCTGATAAGCTTCCCCTTCGCCACGGAATCCGCGAACAGACGTGCGTCACGGGCGAAGCGATGGTAGAAAGACGTGGGAACTTTGCGCCCGTGCCTTGACATCGACTCGTACTCGTGCTCGCACGCATCAAATCCACAGCTAATCGGCCATCAAGACACTTTCACAGTTCGACAACGGGTAAACGTACCTGATAAAAACTAAAGTGTCATCTCTGACGCCGCCAGTGTCGTCGATGAAGCTCCGTGCCTTCTGCAGAAGGCGTAAGTACTTCTTCTCGTACAGGCTTTCGAAGAAGTGTTTTTCCGTAGTATATGGCTCAAGATGGATGTTCTCGACGAATTGGCCGTGTGGGCCATGTAGTGAAACAGACGCAGCCTGAACGAGATCCAGCTTGCCATCCTGAGTATTAGATTTCATTAACCGAGGCAATTCGGAGAGACAAATCAGAGTGCGATACCTCGCAAGGGTATGACAGAATGTCGTGCAGACTGCCGTAGAAAACCTGTAACCTTGTCTTGTCCGGAGATTTGCCATCCGGCTCTTCAAGCTGGGCGCGGTATGCCTCCTCGTTTATTTGCCATATTATCGACTGTGTGCCGTTTCCTGATGGTATGTGAGCTTAGCTAGGAGAAGTAAACTAGGCTCCAAACCATGGTGAAGATCAATATCGAATATAGCCACGCGAGTAATGTTGTATTCGAGATGGGCTGTTGGGTATGATTGAGGTATGGGCGAATTACTGACTTGCAGACACTTTACCGTGGGCAGCGGCAATTGCAACATTGTTCACGAAGCAGAAGCCGGAGGGGGTGTCCTGTCGTAATCTTATTTCAGGGACAGAGTTTAGTGCAAGACTTTCGAGCAAACTTCACCTCACCGCAATGATGGCCCGGAGGACGGACAGCAACGAACGCCCTTGATGTGGATGACCACGGGTCCATAACACGGTCCACTACTTCACACATTGTTCCAAGTGCGCCCTGTATCGAGTCTACTGATTCCGGACAAACTAAGAGGCAGGAATCAAAGTAAGCGAAACCCCACGAATGCATAACACTGAGCTTACGGTAGAGGTCACCCTGCGAAAGCCCTCCCGGAATTTCGCTTTCGCCTGCTGCAATCTTATCTCTGCTTTCTTTGGAGAGCTTTATCAGTTTTTCTAGGTAGACATCTCCTTCGATATCTCCGTGAATGAACTTGACCGCAGCGTTGTTCAAGAGATCGACTTTCGCCGAGCTTTTGACTACCTCGATCGGCCCGGCCGCCAAAGTACGGTCATTGACTTGGGCGATGTTAAGTCTACCGATGGCCGAGACCAGTTCGTCCTCGGGCTCGTCTTTGGCATCCTGGCTTACAGGCTCCACTTTGCGACGACCCTGCGACGTCCTGGCCATAACCGCTGCGAGCCCGACATTCACGGCGCGCAGACGCTGTGGCCTCTCTACAACATTTGAAGTCTCCTTCGAGCGAATAAATTGGTGCCGTAAACACGCTTCTTGCAGATACACTCTGAGCATGGTGTGATGAAAGACCAATACTAGCCTAGTCCTTAGAATAAGTGTCTACAGGAAAAATCGAGATGTAGATGAGCATAACATTATTATTTTCAGCGCATAATCACTGCTCACTGCCTGCGTCTCGCCAGAGATTGTGAGACGAGATCGTTGCGCTGGACAAGGTACAAACTTCGCAATGAACGCAAGGAGGTATGTTTGCCGATCACGTGCTCCGGGCGCCCCTGAGAATCTGGTACAGCCTTTCTCGTCCTCCACAACCCCGACAACGACATGAGCAGCGAGCGCACCCAGAATGTCTCCTCTGCAACATACTCCTCTCCCCCCTCAGTGAGAATTCGCTCATCTCAGAATGCACGCTCGGTACCGTCTTCAGCTCTTACGCAGCAGAGACAATCCCAGGCAGCCACGGACGATGATAGCATGCCTTCCCTGTCTGCTCGGTCAGTCGACTCGGATTACGAAGATGACGCGACGAATACCTTGGAACAGACACTACTAGAACCTCTGCTAGAGCATGTAGGGTCTCTCCCTGCTGGCGGCCGTGTGGTCGTTGAGGTCGCTTCCTCGCCACCGTTGGTTTCCCCAGGTGCTGTCCAAGACGTCCCGCTTCCCCCTCTCCCGAGGCCAGGTGCCCGCGGTGGTGGAGAATCGGATGCAGAAAGCTTGCCATCTCTGCAGACCGTGTCTGACTCATCTGACGATGGCTGGACGGATGAAGAGGGCGAGGAGGACGAGGAAAGCGACGAAGACGAGGAGGAGGAGGAAGGTGGGGACGAGGAGGACGAACCGGAGAATGACTCTGCATTCAATTCATTGCCTCATCTCGGTCCCGCCAGTCTTCCCCGTGGTGCAGTGCGGCTAATGCACACGCTGACTAGGGCTGTCGCAGAGGCAGGGGAAGGGTGGGTGGGGATGGACTTCGGGGGCGTAGATCAAAATGGCGATACTTACATCCTTGGAGGCCCTGGGTCTGACTCAGTGAGGCGGATGTTCTCATCACAGACTGAGGATTCACGAAACTTTGGAACCGACATTATGTTCAGCACCATGCGTCAGGTTCTCGACGCGTTGGGCAGTCCTGCTGTCCCGGAACACGACCCAAAGCGCGCACAAACAATCTTGAAAGCGCTCGAAATCGTCCCCGAGGACCTCGTGCGGCGTTATGAGAAGCTCAGAGCCGGTCAGGAGGGCGAGGAGAGTGAAGGGTGCGCAGTATGCCGGGAGAGCTTCCTGGACCCTACAGCCTACGAGACGACGGTGGCTGTTCAGTTTACTGAGCTGCCGTATCCCGGAAGTGATGACAGCAGTTCTATTGAAACTCCATCCATTCTCGCCTTTCCGTGTCCCGGCATGCACCTCTTCCACTCACACTGCATATCACCTTGGCTAGGGCGCAAGACAACTTGTCCGACATGCAGATTTGACGTGGATCCAGATTCCCTTACGTTGACGTTCCTTCGCGATATCAGGCAGCGTTCGAATCACCCACTCGCTGATAAGCAGTGGAGTCCACCGCCACGGAGAAGTTTCAAACGATGGCTGGAGCGGGAAGAGAGGAAGCTGGGAGGCGAGAGCGTGTCCGGTGCGTTGCCTTGCTGATTGCTTTGCGCGCATATAATGACTAAACACTCTAGATTTCGAGTCCGACGTTGTCGAAGAGTGTGCCAATGACTTCACAGACGACGAAAGCGACGATCTCCCTCCCTTGGATGCCGATCAATTCGCTACAGGAAACTCTGCCTCTATCCCCGCTATGTTTCAGAGCAACTTGCCCGGTGCGGAACCACCCCGTGATGTTGCAAGTTTTTATAACATCGACCCGATTACTCGGGAAAGCATGCTAGCGGCCCTGCTTCCCATCATGGACATGACTATAGATCCGACTGGCAGCTTTACACCACCAGGAGGCGATGAGGAATCTGAGGACGAGTGGGAAGATGACGAAGATGACGATGCGCTACCCCCGCTGATTTCGTCTGGCCATGGCCCTGTCGCCTCATCGACGCAATTCCAGGGGTCAGCGCCTCACAGCGGTGACGGTGCCGTCACTGAACTGCCTCCACTGATCAATACCACAATCTATGCCTCATCAGGACCCGCACAACCTGGTCCGCCATCGTGGCCGCCTTACGAGAACGATGACGAGAACGACGAGCTGCCGATCCTCGTACCCGTACGCCCCCGTGCTACACCATCGCGGCCTGCTGTCGTTACAGACGAGGATGACCTTCCCGACCTCGTCGATGAGCCACCGAGCCAGGTGTCAATGGAAGATATTGACTAAATTAAGCTTAATCCTTTCCCTCCAGTAAAGGTAGACCATGTTATCGCCTTTGTACTTTTCATCATCGTTTTGTCGGGTCAGTGGTGAGGATAGGTAATCTGTGATCGTAAGCAATGTAACGGTATCCCTTTCAAATAATAACCTGCATAAGTTCCTGTCAACGCTCGTCTGATTATGTAAGCTGCTTTAGCCACCCGTCCTTATAGCAACGGATACCTAGTGGCTCCGCAAGGCTGCACCACCAGGTAGGTTGGCCATATTCGCTATGTTGAGTTAGCCGCATGACTCTACGGTAGATCAGCCTGGCCTGCCTGCATAATATTGGCTTTTGCATACAAATGACGCGTGACGTGTCATCTCCTAGCGGACCGCGAACTCAAACGAGCTTATCTAGCCAAAGTCGCGTCAGAGCGCGTACATCCGGTCAGTATATACCAAGATGTCTTGTTTTACTTTCTGCAGGCATATATATCCATGCGACTGCTGGTATTGCGTCTATGTATATATGTGGCCGAAATATCTAATTCGTCGTGACGATTTACAGAATGGCGCGCGGAAAAGGAGTGAAGAACCTTTCGACGACGGCAGTGAAAAATCAGCCTATCTTCGCTCGCAAAGAGAAGAAAAGCAAGAAGAAATTTGTTTTCAGGAAGACGCTGTCCCCGGAGATCGTCGATGCTGTCATCTACTACTTGCGCGACGACAAGGAAAGCCTTCGACAATGCTCCGTTGTCAGTAAAATTTGGTCGATAGCGACCGCGCAATATCTCTGCAAGTCGTTTCGGTGGCCTCCTTGCAAACAGTATTGGGGAGAGTTTAATCCAAATGAATGTTCATGCTTAGCTGACGAAGAGGGCCTCGCTACCTTCCTCAACTTCCTCGACCGCTCGGAACGCGTACGCCAAGCTATCCAGTCGCTTCGGTTCTCTTTCTGTCAGGCAAAAGATGAAGAGATCCCGAATAATTGCGGCGGCGTCACTCGCATCTGGTCTCAAACCCCACGGACTTCGACCCCGGACGCTTCTTCAACGTCGTCGAACGGTTACCCAAGCTACACACTTTGTCCCTCTACAGACCCTGCCTGTCGAAGGACACTGCTATCTCAAATCGCCCACACTGTATTCCGTCCATTGAATACCTTGCGTTTGAGGAACTAATCGTCGAAGATGACACTCATCACACCTTCACGGATCTACCCACCGGGTTTGCTCGCATCTCTCGCTTAGTTTTCGAGAGCTGCGTGTATTTTCTTGGTGTAGAAGGTCCCTCGAGCGAGCTGCCACAGTCAATCTTATTACCAACGCGAGTTGACTTTTTGGAGTTCGCTGATCCTCACAAAAAGTACACTACCCCATCATTCCTCGATGTTCTGACCAAGCACCCCATGATCCAACTCTCATCGCTGCAAGGACTCGTCTTGGGCCCTGCAGTACCTGACCGTGACCCTGTAGATGAAGATGGAGACGAAGACGAAGAGAGTGAAGAGGACTCGGATGAAGAAGACAACAAGAAGGACGCCGCCGCTGTAGATGGCTTCTTGCGGGCGACGACCAACCTGCGGTCGCTCTCTCTGGACCTCACTAACTCGAGCTTTATCCCCACCATCTCTCACCTTGCAAAGCTCACCTCCTTAGCTCTTCGTGGTAAAGCTACCACGGCTCCCCTACCGTCGTCGGACCTGCCACGCATGTTGATGCTTTTAGAGCAGGCCCATCCGGTCGCTGAGGATCTTCGTCACGTCTTGGTTCACTTCACGATGGAGACCGAGTTCGGGGTGGTCTACGGGGCGAGGGCCATGAATACGGGCGTTGACAGGCATCTCAAAGCCTGCATGCGCGACATGGAGTGGGAGGAACTGGACGACTTTCTCAGCGTGTGCGATGATCTCGAAGGGGTGGAGATCCGTATCAACCGCGGGTACGCGTTTTGGGAGGTGGACGAGAAGACTTGTTGCAAGCTCATGAATGAAGTCCTATTGCGGCCCTTATCTCCAAGGACATGGAACTTGCTTAAAGTTGTTATCGAACCTGGTGGGTCTCTTTGGCTGCACACGTGGGAAGTGCTGATTTCTCTCCAGATGACTGACCACCAGTTGTCGAACACACGCTACGTCGCTCTCACCTTGTTCGAATTTCTGTATAGACTTGTTAGTAGTCAAAAAGTTACTATCTATGCCTTTTGCTCGGTCCGGCCCGCCTCTCTACGAGCTATTATTCTGTTTTTAAAAGCCGCTGCTAGAGCTCTCTCATATGCATAGGCTCTTGTTTTCGCAGCCGTATTTTCAAACCCCTGTTAGCTGCTATCTTGTTAAATGAGTCTGCCCTGTTGTCCCCCGTGCCATGACCAAATGTTCTGTCACACATATGGGCCGCTTCTTCACATCGAGTCGGCTCACAGGTCTGCTCTTGCCCCGCATACGCCGCTTCTAGCTGATCTCGTGCATTTGTGCGTAGATATAGCATTCTATGCTGTCGCTTTGCCTGCAATCTGACTCAAGTAGATCACCATTGTCATCAATGAACTTAACCGTTGCGTTCCAACTAAGCACTGGTAGGCTCGAATACAGGACGTCATAACAGAACTGAATCGCTTGAAGTGATCATGTACTCCCCCAAAATTCTTTCACCATCTTGACCTTATCGAGGTCGCTCATCATGCGCTGCAATGTGGCTCTCCTTCTCGGCATACGAGCCTGCAGCTCCTCCTCTTCATGTGGAAGGGAATGTCGCCCAAGGATAACGTCCACCGGGACTGCAGTCGGCAAACGGGCCAGGACTGCCTCGACGCCCACCCAATCGACCGCTTCCCAGTGGTCATCGATGAGCACAACAACTTGCGAGAGGGATCCGTATTGCTCCCGACTCGAGCGGGGCGGGCTGACCATAAACCCGAGCACCAGGGAGTCTCGACGCCCGAAGAAGATGGTGAACTGGGAGAGACCTAGACAACACATATATCACCATTAGGCTGTGTGCATGAGCGTGAACTCCGACCTTCCGTCCTGCCCTCGTCCTTGGAAAACAAGACGTAGCTGGATGATGCATCCATTTGTTCCACAAATTGTGTCATCTACGCGACGACACACATGTGCATGTGAACGCCTTTGGTCAAGACATCCTCATCGCCCTGAGAGCTGTGCCAGCCGGTGCTGTATCGCAGCGACGACGATGCGAGCATCCATGCAAAGGGCCAGATCTCAGAGGACCCGACAAGTAAGTGCTTTATGTCAGGGAATGGCGTGGCACACGACGGTGAACGATCCGCAGTGCATGGCACAGACCACTGGGTCTGAGTCAGAGTTAGGCTCTCTAGGGAGCGCAGGGCGCTCAAGGCACGATACAAAACTGAGAAGGATGAGAAGGGGACGTTCTGCAAGGTAAGATCCCTCACGTGGAGTAGTGCACGGGGCAGGGTCGGGACAGTAGAGGACAAGGCGTACGACCAGTACCAAAGCCGGGGTTGAATTCGATCTTCTTGAGGCCGCTGAGATGTCTTGATAGCGATCTCCAAGCTCCTTGGAATTCATATACGGAGAAATCATATTCCTCCCAGTTAAAGCAGAGCACCTGGATGTGGTTCGCAAGCCATGCTGATAGTGGTGAGCTGAGAGTACTAGCCAGAAAACGCATGTCTTGGAGATTCTGAAGGGACAGATCCTGGAAGAGGAGCGGTCTGCAATGGAGCTGCCACTGCCGACAAGTCGTTGCAGCTCGGGAAACGGTGGGCTTGCCAGGATTGTATCTTCCGCGTCTCCCATGTAGGGCCTCAAGGACTGTCCGCATACAGAGGCCGATATGGTCAACCAATTCAAGTGGAAGTTGACTTCCAGAGCCAGCTGCAAGCGGGGGCGGGGCGTTCGGCTGTGGCTCACGGATAGCTATGTAAATGTCGTTGATATCATATCCGTCTGTAGTTCCCAGTGAGCCATAGAAGAATCAAGATAGCTCTATACTTTGTATTACCTTCACCGGCCAATCCATCTTCGTAACCATCAAGATTGACGCACTCATCTCCGATACTACAAGGTTCTGAACCACCTAAGGACAGGGGAGGCCAGGGACGGGAGAGGAGAACATTATGCGCACCAAAACACTGGCGCAAGGGAGGGCCCTTCAGTGCTGGTATAGGGGGTGTGGGCTGCACAATCATTCCATCTTGCGGAGCCCAACTTGGGAGTCCATGAACTGAGTGTTTGATGCATTAGCGGAAAACTCGGTGATGCGGCAGCATTCATTCTTACGGCAGATATCGCGAGGACAGGGATCTTCTAACAGCGCATTGGATGTCATTGAGGATCTGGGAGGCATTACTTGTGGAGCCTGTGAGTGAGGGTGATAGACGTACCACTTTATCGATTTTATTGGTACCTGCCAATGGCGTCAGTTTTAATCATAAGAGCAATCACAGGGTGGTAAGCGCGGTTTTTCTGGCTAAAACTGGGACCAACTCTTCCTTAGCTTCCCTAAGATAAATTGAGGTAAAAGAAAAACGGTGCAAAACTGCTACGGTGTTGGACCACTTCTTGGGACACCCGATCAGTATTTGCTTCTCATTCACACATTTCTCACATATAGATACCAGAAAGACTCAGTTTATATTATAAAAATATGCTGTATGGGCTACTTCTTTGTGGTGACTTACAGCTCGCGAGTCTGCTCCTTGCCCCACGTATCGCAGTTTACCATGGACAAAAATAAAAACTTGCTGCAGAAATCTAAAACTCACTGCACATTATTGACTTCTTATGAAGATGTGAGCATCAACATGAACCTCTGCTCATCACCATGAACAATAATGAACCTAGATGTGTTTATGTGAGCGGTGCAGCATAGGCATGTACTAATGTGCACGTACGTGCACAATTGCCTAACTAAAACTCGCAGCCAAGGTTGTGAAACTCGCTAATGCCTAACTAAAACTCGCTGCCAACATTGTGAAACTCGCTTGGCATTTGTGAAACTCACTCAGCGATTGTAATGGTGCACGAGTCTGTGAAAAAGTGCACCGAATTGCACGCACCTGCACTGAATTGCACGCACCTGCACCAAGGTGACAACTTCAAGCCCAAACTCATGTGGTCTACACTGAAACTCGCGTACCCTAGACATAAACTCACTCGAGCTATAATAAAACTCACATGGAGTGAGCTTAAAGCTGCATAGAGTAGACGCAAACTCGCGAGGGGCTACGATGAAACTCACATGGATAGGACTTAGACTCCCTACCCTACAGATAAACTCGCATGAGCCATAATAAAACTCGCACAGAGTGGACTTAGACTCACTGACCCTAGACATAGATATGTGTGAGCTACAGTAGAACTCACATATAGTGAGCTCAAACTTGCAAGTGCTACATGAAACTCGCATAGCAGGACTCAGATTTGTGTACATTAGAGGTAAACTCACGTGAGCTACAGTAAAACTCGCATGGAGCAAACTCAAACTTGCCTAGAGCTGACCCAAACTCATGGGCGCTACAATGAAACTTGTATACCATGGACCCAAACTCGGTTTCATTCGATTTGATCAAGAACTCGCTCTCTGTACAATGCAAGAGGCATTTTAGTGTACATGAACTAAGCAGTCTAGAGTAAATGGTAGAGGCTGTGGTTGATCATGGCAGACTTAGTTGGCAGGAACAGCAGCGAGTAACCTTCAGGTAGCACTGCGAATGGGTCTTCGTCTTCATTGAGTTTCCGAGTACAAGTAGCTGAGCAGTTTGGCATTGACGAGGATATCAAATGATTGTCCAAGACGCACCAGTGCTCCACACACTTATGACGCTGACACTTGCGTGCATGTGCTGGATGACCGATGTATCTAGGGATGCTATAACAATCCTGCGCAAAGGAGCAGAGTCGATGAGGTCATAGGGGGTAGTTTTTGGCAAGACCTCCATCGAAAACTACCCTCTATGACGTCATTAGCATGCTCATTATAATTTTATGGTGTCTGGTTCGTGCATTGTTACCTTGTTCGCCGGTTCTTATCTTGTTTGCGAGTTGTTACCCAGTTCGCTTGCTGGTTAGTTCGCGCTTTGTTACCTCGTTTGTGCCAATGTCATGTGTGTGTAAGTCTGGCTCATATTGCGTACGAACTGAGCAAGCGTACCAGCATTTGTGTGCGTGTACCTGAAGTTGTGCGCGCGTGCTCAAAGTTGTGTGCATGGTACCCAACTTGGAGCGGATGCAGTCAAAGGTGTGCGTGGAAATTTTTGTGTGATTAGACACCTATCGATTGCTAGGCACCTCGCTCGCTACTCCTGCCGCCTCGTTGCTCTCCTCTCCCTTCCAATCTGTTGCCTTTCACCCTGGGAGAATTCAAGCTTCAAGCTTCAAGCTTCAAGTCTGAGTGGTAGGGTCGGATGCTGGAACAAATGGTGGCAGGTGAGTCAGAATCCCCATCTATTCTTCCAGTCTTGCACTGAGGGCGCTTCTGCGTGTCTGCCGGCCAGATACCGCAGCTGCCCACCCTGCCCCGCCCGGGCGAACACCGGCGGCTGATAGCCGCGTGCTTAAGCTTGCTGTTCCCCCCACTGGGTCGATCCTGGCTCTACAGGCGTGGAACGCGAGCCAGCGCCGACTGAATGCTGTCGTGCGCCGCTCGCACCCTCCAGATGGCTTCGTCTAGACATGCGGATGGACGCGCTGCACAGCCCAGAGCCAAGCCCAGCGCACGCACACACCCAGCAGCGCGCGCATGCACACACCGCGCCATACCACGCCATGCTGCACAATGGTGCCGCAGCCGAAATACACCATTGGCCTCAGCCAGCCGCTCACGACGGACAAGGTGTACGCCTGCGAGGGGCACCCGCGCTTCAATGCGTGCTGCATCTCGCACGTCTCCGATGGCGCGTTCGCGACCGTGCACAGCCTCGCGCTCACGACGCACACTAGCGTGCACATCGACACACCATACCACTTCTTCGCGGACGGCGCACGCGTCGGCGCGCTCAACCTCGTGCTCCTCACCGCCATGCCCGCCGTTGTTGCGGGCCTCCGCGCCAAGGGGCTCCGTGAGAAGATCACGCGAAACAACCCATCAACGCGAAAGGAGGCAGGCGCACGCACGTCGTGAAGGCAGACGTGTCGACAGTCGCGGACGGCACCTGCTCGCGGAGTGCAGGCAGCTCACTGCCATGCTGCCAGACATCCTCGTCCTCAACGCAAGCCTCATGGGCCACCGCCTGCTTGTGGACATGGACATGGCCGAGTTCGACGCGCACATCAACATGAACGTCAAGGGCCCGCTCTTCTTTGTTCAGAGCGCCACGCAGGACATGAAGCCCGGCACGTTGTCTCTCCCCGCGCGTGCGTTCCTGCGTTTTCATCAAGTAGTTTTGCTGACCCGCTAGGCGCTTTCCTTTCCAGGCAGCCAGATTATCTTTGTGTCAACCACGCTGATGCGCGTGTCAAGCATGCAGCTGATGGCGCTCCTGTACGCGTCCTTGAAGGGCGCCGTCAAGCAGCTCGTGCAGGTGCTCGCGCAGGACCTTGGTGTGCGGGGCATGACAGTGAAAGTGATCGTCCCCGGCGCGGTCGACACACCGCTCTTCCGTGCGGGCAAGCCACCACACCTGATCTGCTGGGTGGCGAGCCTGCACTCGCAGAACCGGATCCCGCACCCGGACGAGATAAGCCCCCTGGTGGCATTCGTTGTCTAGGCCCCCACGCCCCGTTAATTAGTGGCCATCTATTTTGTGCTCAGGGACCTGGACCATTCGATTGCTGCATATACCCCTTTATGTCCACCCTCTCCATGCATTCCATACACGCACACTCATAGCCTCTCATCCACCACAGACAATCATCTGCACAAATCTGTATCCCATGTTGGCCCACAACATTGTAGTAAAAAGAAAAGGAGCTACCCTGCTGCAGCGGGGTCGTAATAAACCTGCCTCACCTACTGCTGCCTCCGAGTCATGCTGCTAGACTGTTTCCAGCTGTCCCTGAATGCAGAGCTGGGGTGCATCCACACATTGTCTGTGTAGACCCACCCGTCTTCCAGGTAGTGACACTAAGCATTGTGACGCAGCAGGCACAACAGGCACGAGACCCACCTTGGTCTGCGTGTTTGCACTCTATCCAGAACGCCTCCGAGTCTGGCCGCCAGTCTTCCATCTCGACGAACAGCCACCTGGGCAACAGTGAGAACGTCAGATTGCTGCTGGAGCAAAGGGGAGGCACGAACCCGGATAAAATATGGTGGCGTACAAACCTGACATTCTCGCTCCCGTTGTTGGACACACTGCTCCAGCTGTCCCTGCCCCGGGTCCATGCCTTTTGCTTGTCTGGCTGCCAGTTGTCTTTGCTCCAGCTGGCGTCCTTGTGCCGCTGTCATTTGTTCCCAACACGCCAGCCCACCTCTCGTTCTCCCAAAGCTCCACCTCCCTGAGCTCGGAACACCAGTGCTTGTCTTCCAGGCAGTTGTTATCCACCAGCCATGCAAGGCAGACATGGAGAGTGACCAAGCATCTTGCTGTCACATTGAAAAGTATTGGGTACAGTGTATAAATTGTGAAGAGGTGCGTGAGTGCGAAACATGTGAGCCCCAGTACAAGGAACATTGTCTGCAAGGAGATTAAAGCTACCAAGGGTGCTGAGAAAATGAGCATGGCCACAGTCAAGCTAAATATGACGAGTCTGTACAGAGAAGAGTGATTAAAGTGGGGGACAATGGAGTACACCTGGTCGTGTGCGTCTGAACAACAGACATGAGCAGTCTCAACCAACAGTGGAGGCATGCTCACTTACCACACACCCATCAAATTTTGAATCACCTGCACTTTTGTGAGCCAATCCATACTCCAATCAGGAACCTGGGCCGGTGGTAGGAGTGGTACTTTTGCAGGCTGAGAGCTGGCAGCAACATCTCCTTCATTTTGCAGACATGAATGGGTCATTATGGGTGCCAAGCAGAATATCAACAACAGCAACCATGGGCAACAGCAAAGCAAAGAACCTGGCTCGAAGCCAGAAGAGATGACGATGACTTCCCTAGGGTTGTTGAGGACATTCTGTTCCTTGTCTAAGAAGCTGAAGTCAAACTCAAACTTCGGTACTCACGGATCATTGAGAGCTGGGTCTTGTACAGTGTCATGCTCTGCTGAGGTGCTGTTCAGATTGATGACAATGGGATTGGCAGCAACAAACTCCTTGGCTATGGTGGCTACCACAGGGCAAATTTCAGATGAGAGACATGAGATCATTAATCAAAATCAACCTGTGCGAGATTGAGATACTTACTGGCAAGTTCCATGTTAATCCATGCGAGTTTGAGATTAACCCCTTGTGAGTTTATAATTAACATCAAGTGTGCGAGTTTCAGATGAGGGATTGCGAGATCAAGATTAATCTGTGTGAGATAGAGATGCTTATGAGCAAGTTCCAAGTCAATCTCCACAAGTTTCAGATTTGTTCATGCAACTTCAAGATCACATCTGCGAGTTTCAGTTGAAGGAAGGTGAGATCAGAGTCAGTGTGTGTGAGATTAAGATGCTCACCTGTGAGTTCCATATTGATCCGTGTGAGTTTGAGATTGGCCCATGCAAGTTGAAGACAGTTCATCACGAGTTGAAGATCAACCTGAACGAATTCAAGGTCATGGAGTGCGAGAACAGCAGCAGCATGTATGAGATTAGAATGGAGACTTGCCAGTATAAGAGTTGTCCACACAAATTTATAAACAGCTTGCCACAATTAAAGATCTCTCTCTGCAAGATTGGAGCTAACCCTCGTGAGTTTGGTGTTAGAACACGTGAGTTTTTGACTTTTGAACATATACCAGTTTGAGATCTCACCGGTGCCCTTAGAGACATTGATATGCACCAAAGTGCACGTACGTGCATCAAGGTGCACTTCATAGGCATCATTGTGAGTTCGAGTTTTCTGCACCGGCCCAGTTCCATTTCGGTGATGGTGCACTTCAGTTCACGTGGTAGCATGAGCGTGCACATATGCGCACATATGTGCATATGTGTGTGTGTTCATGCATCCACATGCATCTTCATGCATCCACATGCATCTTCATGCAATCTTATGCATAGTGTTGTGTGATCAAATTGAGATCGAGTTTTTCTGTATCCTGAGTTTGTGATGTCCCTATTTTTGTCCATCACCAACCTTCATACCCGCGTATGCTGCTTCTGGCTGACTCTGTGCGTTTCTGCACAGATGTGGCATCATGTGGCATTTTGTCATTTTGCCTGCTATAACACAAATAGATCACTATTGCTATTAACGAACATTGCCATTGCGTTCCATTCATGTACCGGTAAGCCCGAGTCTACAGGACATCGTACTAAGAGAAGCGAGTCTCTCGAAGCAATCATGCATTCTCCCAAAACTCTTTCACCATCTTGACTTTATCAATGTCGCTCATCACGCGCTGCAGCGTCGCTCTCCTTCCCGGCATACGAGCCTGCAGTTCTTCCTCTTCATGTGAACGAAAATGCCACCCAGGAATAACGTCAACCGGAACTGCGGTTGGTGAATGGACCAGGACTGCCTCGACACCCACCCAATTGACCGCTTCCCAGTGGTCGTCAATGAGGACGACAACTTGCGACAGGGACCTGTACTGCTGTTTCCGACCTGAGCAGGGCGGACTGACCGTAAACCCGAGCACCAACGAGTTTCGTCGCCCGAAGAAGATGGTGATCCGAGAGAGACCTAGGCAGCATGTATCACCGTTAGGCTATGTGCACAGGCATGAACGCTAACCTTCTGTCTTGCCCTTGACTTCGGAAAACGAGACGTAGTCAGATACACGCATCTGTTCTGCAAACTGTGTCATCTCCGCGATGACACGCATGTGCGCGTGCACGTCTTCGGTCGAGACAGCCTCATTGCCCTGAGGGCTGCGCCAGCTGGCGCTGTATCGCAGTGATGACAACGCAAACATCCATGCGGAGGGCCAGAACTTGGAGGATCCTTCGACATGTAAGTGCTTGATGTCGGGAAAGGGTGTGGCACACGACGGTGGGCAATCCATGGTGCAAGGCACAGACCACTGAATCTGGGCCAGCTGCAGGCTCTCTAGAGAGCGCAGAGCGCTCAAGGCACGGTACGGAGCTGAGAAGGACGGGAAGCGGACGTTTCGCAAATCGAGATCTCTCACATGGAGTAATGCGCGAGGGCAGGGTCGGGACAGCAGAGGACAAAATGTGCTGTTGATGGTGGACAGGCCAGAGTCAAAATGGATCTCGCTGAGACCACTAAGATGCCTTGATAGCGACCTCCAAGCTCTTTGAAATTCATAGATGGGGAAACCAGGTTCTTCCGGAACAAATTTGAGCACCTGAACGTGGTTCGCCAGCCATGCTGATAGTGGCGAGCCAAGAGCACCGGCCAAAAACCACACATCTTGGAGGTGGCGAAGGGTCAGATGATGGAAGAGGAGCGGTCTGCAATAGAGCTGCCACTGTCGACAAGTCATTGCAGCCTTGGATATGGAACGCTTGATACCATCGAACCTTCTCTGTTTCGAATTTCCTTGTAGGAGCTCGAAGACTTTCTGAAGACAGAGGCCGATATGATCAACCAATTCGAGTGGAAGTCGACTTCCAGAGCCGGCTTCAAGCCGGGGGATGTTGGGTATTCGCCGGATGCCCAGCTGCAGCTTACAAATAGCTATGTGGAGTTCGTTGATATCGTAGCCATTTGTTCATTCTCGGTGAGCCATCAAAAAATCAAAATAGCCCAATACTTTGCAGTACCTTCACCAGCCAATCCAGATTTGTAATGGCCACGATGGACGAACTCGTCTCCGATATTATAAGGTTCTAAAATATCGAGAGGCAGAGGCGAGGGGGGATGCCAGGGGCAGGAGGAAGGAACCAGGGCCGGATGTACCCTGAGGCTGGTAAGTGATCAACAGTTGGTATATCTAAAGTTGCTTACTTTTCAGTCTAAGCAGACACCTTTTCGCAGCTAATCTCAAGAGTTTCAGTTCGGCGGCCCAGACACGGGAACTTATTAAGTTACACCGGACTAGCCATCCAGAAGCGCCCAAGAGCAGCTAAGACACGCTGAAGAATTTCCGAAAAGCCCAAAAAATGGCACAAGCGGGAATCGAACCTGCAGCCCGAAAGTAACCGCAGCGCACTATACCACTAAGGCATAAGACCTTGCAAGTATAAGGTTGGAATTGACCCATAATACCACTTTTCTACCTCAAAGTCTTAGCTGTAATATTGTAGCCAATTATCAGGTATTAAAGCATTGGAATGTAATTGTACAAATGTATATCCTGATGGCGTGGCTAAGACATTGGAACGTTAAATATTTGCTATTGATTCCACTTGAGTATAGTTCATCTGCTCCGGTGTTTTAGCCACACTGGTGTCTTAGCCACATCAGTGTCTTAGCCACGCTGTCAGGATATACATTTGTACAATAAGCAGAATCAATAGCAAATATTTAATAACTCAATGTCTTAGCCACACTGGTGTCTTAGCCACATCAATGTCTTAGCCATGCCATTAGAATATACCTTTGTACAATTACATTCCAATGCTTTAATACCTGATAATTGGCTACAATATTACAGCTAAGACTTTGAGGTAGAAAAGTGGTACTATAGGGCAACTCCAACCTGATACATGCAAGGTCTTATGCCTTAGTGGTATAGTGCGCTGCGGTTACTTTCGGATTGCGGGTTCGATTCCCGCTTGTGTTGAAGCGCCTAGTGGCTCTGGCTCGGCGTTCCGCCCGGCATGGACTTAAGGTGGACATCTTAGATTAGGCGCTACTAATACGTAGATAGTGATTGGACAATCATATGTAGTGCTCCCACGCACGGACCTCTTTATGGCAGGCTTCCCCATTCTAGCGGACTTTCAATTTTGCTTCCTTTTAGTATATAAGGACTCCTCTCGCATTCCCACTCTGCGCGCTCTTTCCCTTCGCACCCAGAGTAAGTCTCCCTTCGTCGCCCTTGCAGTATGCTTTATGCTTACCACCGCCTGTATAGCTAACCACCGTGTGTATTAGGTTAGACATATACAGCGTGCTCTTTCCCTTCGCACCCAGACTAACCACCGTGTGTATTAGATCGTGCCTGCGTGCCACTCGCCAGTTCGCGCTCGCGCAGCCCAGTAGTCGTATCACGACAATAGGTTATGAGCTCCGGCTTGTAACTGGCCCCCATCTACCCTCCATCCCTCACGAGTCTTCACTCGGAGAGATCCGGCACCAGCCGCACATTAGCTCCATAACACCTCAGGGTCTTTACCCCAAGTGTTACTCCACATCGCACACACGCACACTAGAGTCGTACTCTAGTGTATGTCTAGTCCATCTGCATCACGCCCACCTTCACCAACTGCACCGACACCTGCACCTGCACCGGCACCCCGTCCTACACGTCGCACTCCCGCCGCTCCTGCTACACCCTCTCAATCCGCGTCATCCGCACCACGTCGCACAACAACCATGTCCTCCGCCTCCGCGTTCGCATCAGCCACTGGTCCGCCGTCGATGAAGCTCGACGCGATCGGAAAGCTCAAAGGTTCCAGCGACTACCCACACTGGTCCCTGATGATGCAGCAATACTTCATTGCTGCACGCGCATGGAAGGTCGTCGACGGCACCGAGAGAATCCCCGTCCAAAGCAGCACCATCTCCGCTGCGGACGTCGAAGCATGGGAGACGACGAACGCATACGCGAGGTTTTACATCCTCAGCACGCTCGGTGACGAGCTCCTGCACCTCGCGAACCCAGTGGACATCACAGCCGCCGCGCTGTGGAAGAAGCTGAAGGACAACTACGCCGCCTCCACCACCATGTCAGCATTCGTCAAGTTCCGCGTGTACTTCTCACACGCGATCACGGACAGCGATGACCTCGCTGCCCAACTCGACGAACGCGCCCGACTCTGGCAAGAGGTCAGCGCCTCCGGGATCCTCCAAACCCCGGAGCTCCTGCAGATATTCGGCCTGCTCACGGCCCTCCCCGACTCGTTCAACAACGTCGTGGAGCCCATCCTCGCAGTCACCAAGCCCGCCAACTTGAAGCTCGACGACATCCGCAACCGTCTCCTCGACGAAGCGAAGCGTCGCAGCTCCTCCACCAACGTCGCCGCCTTCCACGCACCGAAGGCGTCTACCTCAGGCAAAGCCAAAGCTGGCAAACCTGAAGGCAAGAAGGGCAAGTGCAACTTCTGCCACTACAAAGGCCACTACGAGCAGGATTGTAGAAAGAAAAAGGCCGCCGCCGAAGAGGCACGGAAGGGCAGCAATGGCAAAGCCCAGGACGGTAAAAGTAATCCGTCCGGTAGTAGTACTGGTCACGCATCTGTACATGTAGTCACTGCCGAAGGAGCAGTTGCTCCCGAGGCCAAAATTCACTCCGCTTCCTGGTATCTCCATGGTGTGAAACGCTGGATGTTAGACTCCGGCTGTATGCGACACATTACGAACGACCTGAACGACTTTGCTGAGTACACCACCTTCGCATCGCCTATATATGCAACACTAGCAGACAAGGTGAAAACGCAAGTAAGCACGCTCGGTTCAGGTGTTGTCGAGGGCACTACGCTCGTCGACAACAAACCAGTAAACATCAGGCTAGAGAACGTCCTCTACAGCCCTGCAATGTCCGGACGGCTAATCTCCGTCTCATGCATCGAAGACAAAGGCTTCGATCTCGTCTTTGGGAAAGGACGAGCCCAAATCAAACGTGGTAACACCACGTTTGGCATAGGCACTAAGTCCCGCGGTCAGTACTGGTTGGACCTTACTCCACCTCCACCCTCTGTCGCGGTTTCCACGCACAACGCCACTTCGCTCGACGTTATCCATCACCAGTTTGGTCACCTGAACTGGGAGGCAGTACGCAAGCTCGCCGCTGCTGATTCCTCTCCGGTCAAAGGCCTCATCGCCGCCGATATGGATAAACCTTCGCATCCCTGCGAAGGCTGCGTCTTGGGCAAAGCACACAGGCGTACATTCCCTACATCGTCCACCTCACGCGCCAACAAACCCTTCGACCTCATTCACTCTGACCTCGACGGACCTATGTCGGTGGTGTCTCTTACAGGCCACCGATACTTCGCTACCTTCATCGACGACTGCTCCAACGTCACATGGGTCTACTATCTGCGAACAAAGGATGAGTTCCTCTCCGCGTTCAAAGACTTCGTAGCCCTCGTCGCGCGACAGTTTGACACGGTCATCAAGGTCTTTCGGTCAGATCGAGGGGGTGAATACCAGTCCAACGAGTTCATCAACTTGTTGAAGAAATCTGGGATCATCCACGAGCGCACGATACCCGGTACCCCACAGCAAAACGGCAAAGCTGAGCGCATAAACCGCGCGCTCGTAGAAGCCGCTAAGTCAATGCTACAAACCGCCGGGTTATCACACGGATTCTGGGAAGAAGCTATTCGCACAGCTGTGCACGTACGCAATAGAGGCCCTAAGAAAGCCATTGCATGGCGTACGCCCCTGGAACGACTCACTGGCACCACACCGGACGTGTCCCACTTCCGAGTCTTCGGTTGCCAGGCCTATTGCCATATACCCGGGGATAAACGCAAGAAACTCGATGCTAACGCTGAGAGCCTAGTGTTTATCGGCTACGAGACGAATTCTAAAGGTTATCATCTATGGAATAAACGTAGCAGAAAGATCACCACGAGTACTGATGTGATATTTGACGAGTCGATCTTCCCTAACAAACTCCTACCCTCACCGTCCTCGACACAACCGACCGGATCTACATCCACGCTGCCGTCATCTGTCGAACTCGAACTACCACCCCTTAACACGCCACCGGCTCCTACGCAGCCGCCACAGCCTGTACCACCTCCTACTCAACCCATCACACCAAAACCGCCTACAGCATCCCAAATACCACGCCTTACACCTCGAACAGAGTTGTATCCAGCTCCGCCAATCCCGCCAAGTGCACCGGTCAAGCCTGAATTCAAAGGCAAGGCCAAAGCCTCACCATCTCGCGTCGTCGCCCCTCCGCCACTCCAGCCAAATCCCAACACTACCTCGTGGGACTACAATCCCTTCACCAACCCTGAGCATGCCACGACGTCATCAGGCGTCCGCCGCGGTACCCGCGAGCGTAAAGCAACTCAGAAATGGACGAGTATTTGGCCCGGAGCGACCGAAGCGGACATCGAGGAAGCACTGAACACAGGCAAGGAACCGGGCGACATCACTGCGATCGTAGGCGACTCCTCCATCGCTGGAGAGCCGCGAACCTACAAGCAAGCAGCCGATGCACTGGACTCAGCGGAGTGGATGACTGCCATGCAGGCCGAAGTCACCGGCCTCCTGGAACAAGGCACTTGGGAACTTGTCGACCTACCAAAGGGTCGCAAAGCGATCAAATGCAAATGGGTATACGTTGTCAAGCGCAACGAGAACGGAGAAGTGGATCGCTACAAGGCAAGGCTCGTAGCCAAGGGGTTCACGCAAGTTCAAGGCATCGATTACGAAGACACCTTCGCTCCCGTCACCCGTCTGGAATCCTGGCGATACCTCATCGCCCTAGCGACTATCCAGGACTGGGAAATCCATCAGATCGACTTTGATAGAGCATATCTGAACGGAGAACTCGACGAGGAGCTATACATGGAGCAACCTGAAGGTTTCGTAACGGACGCAGGCAAAGTATGCCGCCTGCAGAAAGCAATATACGGGTTAAAGCAAGCGGGACGAACATGGTTCCTCACGCTCAAAGCCTGTCTCGAGGACATTGGATTCGCATGCCACGACGCCGGCGACGTATCCATCTTCATTCGCCGTCAACGAGGGGGATCCACTCAAATTTTAGTGGTTTACGTTGACAACCTAACTATGATGGGAAACAGCCTCGATCTCATCCAACAAACGAAAGAGGCACTGAAGGAAAGGTTCCAACTCAAGGACCTTGGCGAACTCAAGTACTACCTCGGCATCCGTGTCACGAGGGATAGGGGGAGTCGAGCTACATACCTCGACCAAGAAACGTACATCAAGTCCGTCCTCAAACGATTCGGATACGAAGACTGCAACCCCGCATCCACACCACTCGGCACTGACATCGTACTCGAGAAGAACGAGGAAGACCCAGCGGACTGCCCACAAGACCGCATCAAGCTCTACCGCTCACTCCTCGGCTCACTCATGTATGCCATGCTCGGGACTCGCCCCGACATCGGCTTCGCCGTCGCCCGACTTTGCCAATACCAGGCAAACCCTTCACCGAAACATGTAGCTGCCGCCTATCGTGTCCTCAAGTACCTCCGCGGCACCTCCAACTATCGACTCTGTCTAGGTCAGAACGACGAGACCGATAGCCGTTTGCTCGGTTACACCGACGCAGACTTCGCGAACGACAAGGACAACTCCGTCTCAACATCCGGCTGGGTTTACAAACTCGGTAGAGGCACAACCAGTTGGTCTTCTCGCAAGCAACGCTCTGTGGCTCGAGACACCTTCGACGCAGAGTACTTCGCAGCCGACGAAGCAGTCCGACATTTACAGTGGCTCGAAATCTTCGCTGAGTATATCGAACACCCACTCGCGAAGCCTGTCCCTCTCCACTGCGACAACAAATCTGTCGTTGATGCTGCCCAGTCACCCAACGTCAAACATCGCACAAAACACACCCGCGTCAAAGCTCACGCTGTTCACGAGCAATTCGAAGCAGGTCTGATCGAACTCGTTAAGATTCCCGGTGTTGACAATCTGGCTGATATTCTCACAAAGCCTTTACCGGCTGAGGTACACAACCGTCACACCCAGTCTCTTGGCCTCGTTCCGTATCGCCTCGCCAAGGGGGAGTGTTGAAGCGCCTAGTGGCTCTGGCTCGGCGTTCCACCCGGCATGGACTTAAGGTGGACATCTTAGATTAGGCGCTACTAATACGTAGATAGTGATTGGACAATCATATGTAGTGCTCCCACGCACGGACCTCTTTATGGCAGGCTTCCCCATTCTAGCGGACTTTCAATTTTGCTTCCTTTTAGTATATAAGGACTCCTCTCGCATTCCCACTCTGCGTGCTCTTTTCCTTTGCACTCAGAGTAAGTTCCCTTCGTCGCCCTTGCGCATTATGTAGTATGCTCACCGGACCCCTGTCTAGCTAACACCGTGTGTATTAGGTATATAGCTATACAGCGTGCTCTTTCCCTTCGCACTCAGACTAACACTGTGTGTATTAGATTGTGCCCGCGTGCCACTCGCCAGTTCGCGCTCGCGCAGCCCAGTAGTCGTATCACGACAATAACACTCTCGTTGGGCTCCGCACCATGGAATGCTTGCCCAGCCTACATTCCCCATGCCAACATCGATGGGCTCCCCCTTGGAGTGGTTCGGCGCACATAGCATGACGAGGTCTGCGAGCTCGCTCTTAAAGCCGGCGTCAAATGACAACGCGCAACTGCGGTCGTTACAAGGAACGCTCTTATCATGCTTTGAACTGTTAAAAGGCTGGGATGCAGCCATAGGGTAAACGCGCTCAAGCTTGGGCTTCGGATACTGGCTTCACTGGGCCCTAATTAATCTATCGTGGATTCTGGCGTTATATAATTAGTGCTTGCGATTTCTCCCTGGTGCTCGAGCTGCCGCTTAAAATTGAAAGGTCACGAAGACGGCAGTACGTCAGTTGATTAATCTGCTAATCGCGTTATCAGGAACAGTTGCGGATCACACTGTTATTTAGTTGGCCGGGAAAGATCGAGAGGGTCGATTGGTACAATGCGTTTGATGCAATGTTGGAGGATCCGGCGGTGCCTTGACCTCCTTGGAAAATCGAGAAGCTGGTTACAGGTATAGGCATGGAACTGTGCCACCACGAGGGAGCAGATTCCTGTTGCTAATGAGAGCCTCAGCACAGTTGTGTGTCGAGCAAATAGGCCCGTTGCAGCTGATGCCAGACAGCCAACAGGAGTGGAAAATCCCACCCACTATTTCACAGGGAGCGAGTTCAACGATGAAGGGACAGGCATAGCAGACAACTCACTTTCCACATGTCCCAATGCTCGAGCATACTCATATATGCAAGATTTCCTCTGTTAGTGTCAGCACCCAGGACTCGACCGAGCTCGTTTCATTAGTGGCGGTCGAGCACCAGAAGTGCATCTAAAAGTCATGGTTCACGCTCGTGGACAGGATAGCACTCCACCACGCCATCTGGAAGCCTAGCATTGATACAAATTTGTCAGCACGCTCTCCGGCCATACCCGCGACCCACTTACTTGCCGGACTTGGCTCTCGAGCAGCGGACTCAAGCCGCTTCACTACCGCATGAGCTTTCGCGCCATCTTCTGACGCAAAAACTGAAGCAGATTGCTCCCGGACCCACTTCTGTGTCAGCGGTCACAGTTCATGACATCCGCTCGCGTACAGGAATACACGGCGCCAGAACAGCCTCTCCGGAGTGTCTTCTTTAAATTTCCATGAAGCGCGCCAAAGGTATCGGTATCGCCTTTCCTGCCAGTCGCGGGTGTATTGCACACCACAGAATAACCCTAGAAGTGCCACCCGCCTCTGAAAGCCGGGTCGCCTCGGATAGTAGCGCAGGGCAAAGGCTCCTGCCAGGAACGCCAGGGTCCATCGCGGCCCTGGTTCCAGAAGCTTGCTGAGTCTCATGTCCTGTGAAACGACCTCCGATTAATGCGGATGCCAGCAAGAACAGTAAGGTCCTTTGACGTACTATCGAGGGCCGGGGAGAAAAGCTTGGCAAGATCTGCGGCGAAGGGTCTCGCTCAGCTGCAGGCTCTGTAACATCCAGAGGCTCGTATACAACGCTTGGTGTTGCCACGCCCCCGGACCGCACAACCTCAAGGTCCTGGATGCCTTGAGATGGATTTTCCGGCGACACTGTTGAGCCAGAGCCAGTTCCGTTTCCGCTCACCATTCGTGCCCGCCGTCAGATGTAAGATTAGTGCGGGATCTATAGCGACACTGAGGGTGGCTGTCTTATCATGGTGGCGAAGTGCTTATGAGGCGATGCGGCAGCAGCTGACTGGAGTGATGTGAGGTCGATATCGGCATCCACGCACCGGCCGGGATCCATGCCCGCAACCTACAAGCGCCTGAGCATAAGTGTCCCTGGATGAAAATGATGATACGGATGCACGAATGGTTGGGGTACGTCGGTGCTCTTAAATCTCAAAACTCCCACTTTTAAACCTGGCCATAAAATGAATTTGTGATGCCAGTTGATTCTGCTAAAGAGGTAGGCGCATCAATTGATGCGTACCCAAGTTGTTCCGGCATCCGACGGTCTGGGTCGTTGACGTCGTGACTACGAACTGCATTATACCATGACCATCTACACGCTCATAAACCAGTAAGGCTCTGCACAAGCTACCTACATTTAGAGAAGATGGAGTAGTTCTTACTTCAAGTAAAGTCTTCGCCTGGGTGCTTATTATTCGATCTCACCGCCCTGTGAGACTCAGAGTACCAGTTGCATCTCTTGTGATCAATGCTTCGGTGTTCCTTTTGAATAACAGCGTCTGCTACGCGCGCTACAGTGGCGGCATGCATGATGAGTGGTGCAACCACCAGACATTGCCGCTTTATTGGCTGCCGCTCACAGGCAACCACGAGCAATGCCTCTCAGATCCTCAGCAACATCCAATACGCCGTTACGCGATCCCTGGTCCCGCAATACCAACGGTAAGAGTCAATGCTAAAGCATCCCTGGGTCTTCCGCTAATACGGACTCTCAGTCACCGACCCTCATATATATTCCGTGCAAGACAGCCAACCCACTCCCACTAACGCTGGCAATGGCGAGAGGCAGTGGCTGGACTCCCTGCTCTACGAGTTGGATGACGAGGGCGACAACTACTTCAGGGCAGACGATGAGGACACTCCCACTGACGTTGGCAATGGTGAGAGGCAGTGGCTGGACTCCCTGCTCTACAAGTTGGGTAACGAGGGCGACAACTACTTCAGGGCAGACGACGAGAACACTCCCACTGACGCTGGCAATGGCGAGAGGCAGTGGCTGGACTCTCTGCTCTACGAGTTGGATAACAAGAAAGATGTAGTGTACGAGCCAATCTAGGGCTCAAACTTCAAGCTCTGACGGCTGCGCGCGGTGCAACCTTGAGCCCGAGCATTGTTCAACTCGTAAGATTAGGAGCTGATTCAGTTCGGCGGCCCAGACACGGGAACTTATTAAGTTACACCGGACTAGCCACCCAGAAGCGCCCAAGAGCGGCTAAGACACGCTGAAGAATTTCCGAAAAGCCCAAAAAATGGCACAAGCTATTGTCGTGATACGACTACTGGGCTGCGCGAGCGCGAACTGGCGAGTGGCACGCGGGCACGATCTAATACACACGGTGGTTAGTCTGGGTGCGAAGGGAAAGAGCACGCTGTATATGTCTAACCTAATACACACGGTGGTTAGCTATACAGGCGGTGGTAAGCATAAAGCATACTGCAAGGGCGACGAAGGGAGACTTACTCTGAGTGCGAAGGGAAAGAGCACGCAGAGTGGGGATGCGAGAGGAGTCCTTATATACTAAAAGGAAGCAAAATTGAAAGTCCGCTAGAATGGGGAAGCCTGCCATAAAGAGGTCCGTGCGTGGGAGCACTACATATGATTGTCCAATCACTATCTACGTATTAGTAGCGCCTAATCTAAGATGTCCACCTTAAGTCCATGCCGGGTGGAACGCCGAGCCAGAGCCACTAGGCGCTTCAACAAGTGTTTATAGAGAGGACTCAGCGTTTTAGTGTCCTCGTCGTCTGCCCTGAAGTAGTGGACGCCGCCGCTCAGCACACATATCTTGCATGTTCAAGAGTATGTTTGGGCTACGCCATATGCGCGACCGGTGTCGCTCAAGACTAGAGCTTCATGCCGAATACCCGGCGCAGCGGGCTACCGGTAAACATCGTTTGCCGGTCTATCGAATCTTCGGGGAGACAGAGTTCTGCTGAGCTTGGCTGACAAATATTGTGCTCTGGGCCTCTCTCAGAAGTCTCTTCCCCGGCGTCTTGCGGCCTTCCAGCCAGAGAGCAGCCGGGTCCGCTGTATACGGAAGACAGAAGGAGACCGGAGCGGCGGTATTCAAGCAGCCAAGCGCGAATGTCTGATCGAGTTTTAAGGTTAGCGCCACAATGGCTCAGCTATATCCGGTACAGCTCATACAGTGTAACGCGATGCCGCACGATGCCGTCAACATCATGCGGCCAATACGACATCTTAAGCACACAGCGGAAGTTTCTATGTAAGCAATGGATGTCAATGAACGCCAACCATAGCTGACTCAGCTGCCGCCGTCTGGGATGCCTACAGATTTTAGTCGTTGTCTGCTATGACGTCAGCCATAAGATCTGGTAGGTCATCCCCGTCAACTATGCGCACAATGACGAAATATCGTACCATGTAAGCCTTTGTGTCTTCGCAGAAGGCTATTGATTTATCTCATCAAAAGGTCGTTCAAGTTCGGCTACCAGCCGGCCTTGGCTCTTCGGTGACTCGGTCGCAAAAGTTTCCACCATCACCGAGATATGCGACTCGGAGAGAAGGAGCTGCCAACGCCTTGAACTTCAGTGCTTGTCCAGTGCCATCGGATACAGTATTACCGGCCTGCTTTAGCCCGTGTTTCCTGTGAGTTACAGCAACCCAAAGAGTACTTAAGCCCATGATGGATTCTGCATCGAGGACAAAGCACACCCTACAGAAATCCACTCACTCACAAGTATAATGTCCTCAGCTAGAGTTTGGCTTGGTGAGTGGAAATTGTCGACCGAGCGTACTTTCTTGCTGACTTTTGCAGTTACCGGATCCGCCTCGGGGTTCGGTCGAGAAATGGTCGAGCTGGCCCTCAAGAACGGCGAGAAGGTCGTCGCGACTCTGCGCAGACCTTCAGAGCTGGATGACCTGAGAGACAAATATTCTCCAAGCCAGCTTTTGATAGCCCAGCTCGACGTCACCAAGGCGGAACGGGTTGCGGAGGTCTTCCGCGCTGCCAAGCAAGCCTTCGGCAAGGTTGACGTCGTGCTCAACAACGCCGGCCTGTCAATCGTGAGCGAGGTCGAAGGCACGCCAGAAGACGTCGCGCGAGCGATGTTCGAAGTCAACTTCTGGGCCGCGGCCAACGTGAGCAGGGAGGCGGTCCGATTTTTCCGCGAAGAGAACGCGCCTGGCGTCGGCGGCCGGCTGCTGAACCTTGGCTCCATCCTCGGTGTCCAGCCCTCCCCTATCATGTCCTACTACAGCGCCTCTAAGCACGGTAAGCACCATGCTTTCCAGTAGTATTTTCACCTTTTTTTGATTTTGACTTGATGTGGCTCTAGCACTCGACGGTCTGACTACCGCGCTCGCCGCTGAGATCAACCCGAAGTGGAACATCAAGGTGTGTAGTACACTACAACTGATCGTTATCTAAACACCTCATGTGTTACACCACAGGTTACCTTAGTCTGCCCCGTGTTCTTCCGCACGTCTATCAGAGACAAGGGCACCCGGATTCCGGTGCACCCTGCCTACATCGAGGCCACGAGCGGATATCGCAAGTCTGTGGACGCGGCCTTCCATCCGAGCCGTTCCACGAAGATCGGTGACCCCAAGAAGGGCGCGCAGAAGATTTTCGAGCTTTCCAAGCTCACGGACGAGGTTCCCTTGCGGCTGTTCCTGGGAAAGAGTGCGCGCGGCCGAGTGGACGCGAAGATCGCGGCGTTGACCGAGGATGCAGATGCTTATGCTTCCTGGTCAGATGATTTGCTGGAGGCCTAGGATTGAGGCACCAGTAAGAGGGTAGCCCCCCTAGCAATTAACTGTCTAAACATGTAGAGTTATCGCTTGATGCATGATGACCCACTGCTTTAGTAATCACATATATGTTGTCCTTTCGCGCAAACCCAATTCTCTACAGAAGTTGAATCAACGGCCCTTGATTGAAGCTTGAGCTTGATCCGCGGTAGCAAACGAGAATTTGCTCTGCTGATGACGGATGTTTCAGTCGCTGAAATGCTTGTAGGCTACGTCGTCGAACGAAGATTCTCAAACGGGATCTAGGGCGCCTAATAACCCTAACCTGGGTGGAAGTGCTTTTGGCTCCCTGTTTGGCCGCTACTGAACTCTTGGGCCGTTTGTGATGGAATTATTCTTATTATTAGCTATGATTTATCTTATGCGAAGGAGGCGTGGACACAGGAAGGTTGCGCAAATATACTTTGCCTCAACTACGTATCTGCATCGAATATTTAGCTGTGTGCTCATTTATGTCATATAAATTAAATAAATGTATAATTAAAGTACCTCTATTATGTGCCGCATGCTCCGACAAAGCTGAAGCTCGAATGACGCATGATAAGAGCCCATATCGTGGCCTACAGCCCTACGGCGCGCTTTCCCAATTTGGCAATAGGCGCTTCAGCGCCGACTTTGCAACGGAGGGTGGCGCACAACTTCAGCTTCAGCTCCGAGGTCACAATAACTTGCTAGCGCGATTTTTTTCTTCCCTTCCATGAATTTTTCCTCTGGGAAACCCTCCACAGCGGACCCATTTCTCGCCTAATCGATTGTGAGATGCTTTGGCAGAGACTGCAAGTACTGCGGTAGTACACTGCTGATGCGGATGGCTTACGAGACCACCTCGGTAGAAGCTGATCTCCGACGTTCGAAAACCATGCGCCGAGGTAAATACAGAACGTTGTCGAGGCTAGCTCATGTATGAAAGTAATGAAACGCGTCCTGCCCTCGAGCGTGGCTACGCACGCGAGCCAATGTGGCAGCGCTCAAGGTATGACGATCATTCAACAATGCCAATGAGGCCATTGTGGTGTTTGGCAAATTCACTTTGCTTTGCTTCAGATCGCGATGATCAACTATTGTCGCACAGCTCCCTTTCTCGAGCACCATCAGCCCGGGAGTAACGCGAACTTTATTCGTTCTGGTAACAGCTGGGACTACGCTATAAGGACTCACCTTGGTCCGTTTCAAAGGCTCGGCCGTAATCATTACCTGGCCTGTCGTCACCGGGTGATTTACTGTGTCAGCGCTTTAAAGCGTTTAATGGAGTTGATATAAGAGCGATTAGATAGCTGGTACAGTTGTATCGCAAGTCTGTGGATGCTGCCTTCCACCGTAGCCGTTCCACGAAAATCGGTGACCCCAAGAAGGCCGCGCAAAAGATTTTCAGATCGTGGCGTTGATCAAGGATGCAGATACTTGTGCTCCCTGGTCAGACGACTTGCTGGAGGATTGAGATACCAGTAAAGGAGAAGTCCCACTCTGCCACCAATTAGCTGTCCAAACACATACTTAGAGTTATTGCTTCATGATCGGTTGCTTTGGTAATCTAGCATAGTGATCCCTCTCGCGAGTCGCCTCTCGCGGGGGCGCTGCACGCCCAGCCAACCGAAGGTTGGCGGCGGGCGGCGCGTTCCTCTCATTTCTCACTCGATTTCCCTTCTCAACTCTCTTCGCAATTCTCTCTGCCCGTGCGTGGCACGGGTCACCCTCTCATATTACATATATGATCCTTTCACGCGAACCCAATCCCCTAGCTAGGTCATTACAGCCCGTTGACTATCCGCCTCTTGAGCTTATCAAATGCGTCCGTCATTTCCTCCGCAAACACCTCGCAGCGACCGCTTTCGGCGTGCTGCATCAGCGCGCTGAGTGTCGTGAACTCGGAGTCGCACCCGTCAGCGCGCGGAGGGCAGCGGTAAATCCTTTCGGCATGTGCAGGGCTGCTGAGATGTGCATCGAGACCGCGTTTGGCCTTGAAGGTCTTGTTGCAAAGCGTGCACTTGTACGCGTGTTTGCCCCGCACGGCCTTCGTCGCCTGTGTCTCGCGTGCCGTGCGTCCTGAGGGTCCGCTGGATCCCGTGAGAAGTCGATCGGGATCTGTGAACATGCGTCTGGTATCGGCTTCAATTATCGCCTCGTTCAGACCAGCGCGGTCTAGTCCAGAGGAGCAGGTCCCGGCCTCCCAATGCTTGGCAAGGTCACCGCGGTTCAGGAAGAGCCTGCCGCAGGAAGGGGCTGTGCATTCAATGATCGGAGAGGTGTGCAGAGACGACTTCATGTGAGCATCTAGATTGCTTTGCGAGTTGAAGACTCTTTTGCAGGATACACAATAGAAATGTTTTTGGCGGTTATGTTCATGCAAGCCGACCTCGAACTCAAAGATCTGTGGACAGGTTGTATGAGTTTTGGCTCTATGTATATCACGGCAGAGAGCTCACGGCATCACACCGAGGGCAATAGTAATGCTTTGTCCGTCTGTGGAGGCTGCGCTCTTCTTTCGCATCAAAGTGCTCATTGCAGCGTTGACAGTAGAAGTGACGAGGGCTCTGCACGAAGTGTTGTATCAACCCCACAGGCGTCACAAAGTCTCTGCCGCAGGGTTCGCAGTAGTGATGGTAAGACGATGTCTCCACATGCTGCTTGAACGCATTTGTGGACCGGAACTGTCGGTCGCATCGAGTACAATAGGTTTCTGCAGGATATTCACCAGATTGTTTTTGCCCTAAACAGTCGCCGATATTCTTACCGTCACCCGAGTACCGCAGCTGCTCGTTTGCCATAACCGCTCTCTCCTCCTCAATACACGTATGGTTGGCTCGACAGTCGTAGACGGCGGACAACCGAGACTTTCAGCTTCAAAGTCAAGTAGGTTGCGCTGTCGTCGTCCAGTAAGCGCACCTCGTCCTCAGCTGGTTCAGGACGTCGTCAATGGATGACGTCAGTCTCGAAAGGGAGCGGAAGAATAAGATGGAAACCCGACGAGCTTTGTGGCGTTCGGCAAAACCCGTTACATTATATTCATCAGATATGCTGTTTCTGCCTCCAGCGACGCTAGGACGCAGCCGAATCCAGCGGAACCACTGTCACATCCCCATGCCTGAACATCCTAAGCCCCGTTCTGACAATGCGCCACCTAGATGGGCAGTGAGGGTCCGGACAGGCCACCTCTGCATCCGTAGACATCCAGTCGTTCTTGGCGGACGGCCGTTGCTTGGCAGCTAGCAATGGAAGAATCGATGCTGTTCCGTAGCATTAGCCGAGTATTCACAAGCGGGCAAGAGAGAGTAAAGAGAGGCCTTAGAAACGGGGAAGGACGGAGCAAGCGACGGCGGGCGATAGGGAGAAAATTGACTGTACCTAGCGAATAGATTGAGATACCCTGGCCAGGTGGCAGATACATCATCTCGCCCTCCAGCGTGAAGTAGTCCCCATCTTTCGCACCACACAAGATGCGTTGACTGGCGGGGCAGACAGCTTCGACGCGCAGATCATATATAGCAAACGTATCATCTGATTCCAAACAGGCTCCCAAAGAAGCTGAGGATGCGGGCGTGGTCCGGTCCACTGAGCCTGAAGTTGGCGCTAAGTGAGGAGTAGAAGACATGACGGCGGCGAGCAAGAGAGATGGCGTAGATACAACAATCGATGCGAGCCGCAGAACGGGTTATTGTTGAGTAACCGACCTCATGTCGCACGAGATCCCTGGTTCGTCTACCACTTCGGCTTCCTCGCCTGCTGCTTTCTTCGCAAAGTAGCCTTCCCCTTCGCACCCCTGGCAGTCTGCAGCTCCTTGAACTTCTTTTTTGCGTAGCTCTTGGCTTCCGCATCGTCCACGAGCTCGTCCACCAACGTCCGTTTGCGAGCAGATTTTGATAGGTTAGCTGGATTGCTGGATGCGAAGGGGGTTGGGTCGGGAAGAATCGTGCCAATCTATGCGACGTGTGAAATAAATTGTCAATGGTCATTCCTCACGCGATACGAGGTAAGATACTTGCTGCGAAATATTTCGGCAAGCCCTTAATTCCCTTGCCTTCGCCTTCGTCTTTCCTATAGAATCGCTTGGGATCCAGTTGATTACGCAGGCGCAAGGCTTCGACTTCGTGGTACAAGCGAGGCAGGTCCGCCTCCGCCGGTGCAGGCAGATCGAACCAGCTCTTTCCAGCAGTTTTGGTCCTCAGCTTGAATAGCACATTAGACGAAGAAACATGAGTTCGAAGCAGGATGTGACTTACGGCCTTCTGCTCCTTCTTCGTTAATGGCTGCCCTACTGGTCGAGCGGAGGGAGGTGGCGCGGGTACATCTGGGATTTTCGAAGCCGTAATCTTCTCCGCTTGTTCAGTGTCAAGATCCCTGACGCGAACTTTTGACGGGCCGGCTTGAGAATCATCAGGCAGCTCTATGTAAGGGGCTGGCAGTTTGCCTGGGTCAAGTAGTGGTAGACGGCTAGCAGATAGTCAGCCAAAAAGCCTAGAGGCAGCCTTCTCGTTACATACTCTTCTACTAGGTCGTCCGTTCCGCCCAACTGTATGACTTCTTCTTCCCCACCAGAACTTAAGGCCGTCTGCGCTTTCGCAGACATATTCTGCCGTGCTTTGTCCAGCAACGACTCCAGAAATTCTTGAGAGAGCTCTTCATCATCTGACTCCGCATTGTCACTGTCTATATCATCCGAGTCTTCAGATTCCGAATCCGAGTCAGAATCAGAATCAGAGCCAGACTCTGAACTGTCCGAGATGGAAGCCCTTTGGAGGCCTTCCGGCTCAATTTGCTTGGCTGCGAGGTCTTCTACAAGTGTGCCAGCTTTTTCCTTCCCCTTGTAGTCCGCTGTAAGAGCCATGATAAAGAAGACAAAAGTCTGAACGCGGAAGAAGCTTGTGAGGGAGGTGGAAGCGGGACGAGAGTGCTAACTAGTATTATGTGAATGAGCCATTGAGCGTCCAAATCGCGAGCGCGCTGGTGTCCGGGGACCCTACTTCGCGACACGGTTGGACGAGATCCCCATGACACCCCGCGTACCATGCAGACCGCCTCACGTAGCCTCCGTCGCTCTCTACGCTCTACATGCCGACAGGGCTCTCGCACACGGCCCGCAGCGCAGCTTCTGGCTGTCAGATATAACCACACCGACCCAAGCAGCTTTCGGCCGACGCAGGATGCACAGGGAGCTCGCACGACGCATTTTGGATTCCAAACCGTGCCAGAAGACATGAAGGAGTCTCTCGTCAAAAACGTCTTCTCTTCTGTGGCGTCTTCTTACGATGTCATGAACGACGCCATGTCCATGGGAGTGCACCGTCTCTGGAAAGACGATTTCGTGGGGTCGCTGAAGCCCGGAGCAAAGGGACCCATGCGGTGCATCGACTTGGCCGGCGGAACAGGGGACATTGCACTACGTATCCTGGATTACGCAAGGGAGAATCATTATGACAGAGAGACGAGTGTCGATGTCGTCGACATCAACCCTGAGATGCTTAAGGAAGGCTTCAGGCGGTTCAAGCAGACGATGTATCACAACAGTGCGTGTCCAATTTTAGAGGGGCCCGGCTATATCCCTCACAGCTTGGCAGCTCCGCAGGTTCGGTTCATCGAATCGAATGCTCAGGCTCTATCCAAAGAGCAGTTCCCGGATAACACGTATGACCTCTACACAATCGCGTTTGGTATCCGAAACTGCACGTCCATCCCGGACGTGCTGAAAGAGGCGTACCGGGTGCTGAAACCTGGTGGCACTTTTACTTGCCTGGAGTTCAGCAAGGTTGAGAACCCGCTTTTCAGCGCGTACGTGGCACTTTCATGCCGGGAGGAGTACAGTGCTTATCTTTGTTACAGTCTGTACGACCAATACTCGTTCTCGGTCATCCCAATGCTGGGCTCCATCTTGACCGGTGACCGGGATTCGTACCAGTACCTGGTGGAGTCAATACGGAAGTTCCCTAGTCAGCCAGAGTTCGCACAAATGATTGCCGACGCGGGTTTTGCAACTGGTGGTATGCACGAGGGCAAGGGCGGCGCGTGGACTAACTTGTGGAACGGCATCGCTTGCATCCATAAGGGCGTAAAACTATGAATTCGACTGCCCTGTCTGTTGTAGTAAAAGGTATCTGCGGCGCCATAATGACACTGGTACTCTGCAATTGTCGTGTTCGACGTTGTGCACCCATTACGTCCAGCGTGGCGTTTCATAACACGACGCGGTATAAGCGTAACACCGATATCGAGGTTAGTAGAGGTGTAAGTAATATGTGTGACTTAAGTAACAAAGGCAGATAAGTCTGTACAGAACCTTGTTACAACGGTGGCACTGCTTTATTAGCGCGTCTGTGAATCCTGCATGCCCAGCCGCCTTAAGGCACTTCCCCTCTGACCACCATCATCCTTGACGAATCCCGGAAGCCACCCATCCTTAGCATCCAGTATGGCGAGTTCGTCGTCCAGTAACACTGTGGCAATGCCGCCGCCCAACGCGGACCTCGCCACCACCTGGGCCTATCTCGAGGAGGGTGTCGACCATATCATGACCAAGCTCCAGACTGGAGTCTCATACTCCAAGTATATGAGCCTGTACACGGTCTCCTACAACTACTGCACATCATCTAAGATGCACAACACGGGTGATTCGACGTCTCTGGGGCAAAGGAGTGCGTATATCGCTTGCATATCTATCCGAACGGGGTGTCACTGACCAGGCTGCGGTCATATCCTAGCGGGCGCGAACCTGATGGGCTCCGATTTGTACAATAATCTCATTAGATATTTTGTAGCGCATCTGAAGACGCTGCGAGAGGTGAATACACGAAAACTTGCCATGAACTGTGTCTTGTGACTGACCTATGGGTGTGATTGCGTAGGAGGCGGAGCCGCTGCAAGACGAAGCTCTCCTCCGATACTACGCCAAGGAATGGGATCGTTACACGACAGGTGCAAACTACATTAACCGACTCTTCACTTATCTCAATCGACACTGGGTGAAGCGGGAGCGGGACGAAGGTCGGAAAGGTGTCTACCCCGTGTATACTGTGAGCGAAGCTTCCATCATCGTGTTACATCATGGCTTATTATTGAGAAATTTAGCTTGCACTTGTGCAATGGAAGACCAACTTCTTCTTGCATGTTCAGAGCAAGCACCAGAAGCTAGCGGGCGCTGTTCTCCGCTTGATCGAGCGACAACGCAATGGCGAGACCATTGATCAAGGTTTGGTCAAGAAGGTCGTTGACTCGTTCGTCTCACTCGGTTTGGATGAGAGCGACATCAACAAAGTATCGTACGAGGTCTACAAGGAGCACTTCGAAACGCCATTCCTCGAGGCCACCGAAAAGTATTACCGCAAGGAGTCGGAGCAGTTCCTCGCTGAGAACAGCGTACCTGACTACATGAAGAAGGCCGAGGAGCGTCTTCGCGAAGAAGAGGACCGCGTAGAGCGATACTTGAACACCAACACTCGCAAGGCTCTCGTTAGCAAGTGTGAGCATGTCCTAATCCGTGAGCATGCCGAACGTCTGTGGGAGCACTTCCAGACCCTCCTCGACTATGACAAGGACGAGGATCTGCAGCGCATGTATGCCCTCCTTGCTCGCATACCCGAGGGCTTGGAGCCACTCCGCAAGAAGTTCGAGGAGCACGTCAAGAAGGCCGGTCTCGCTGCGGTGGCGAAGCTCGTGGGCGAAGGGACCGATGCCACCGAGCCCGATCCCAAAGCATACGTCGATGCCTTGCTCGAGGTCCACCAGAAGAACTCCGAGACCGTTAGCCGCAGCTTCCGTGGCGAAGCCGGCTTCGTTGCCAGTCTGGATAAGGCCTGCCGTGACTTCGTCAATCGCAACGCCGCTACGGGCACGTCGACGACCAAATCCCCAGAGCTGCTCGCCAAGCACGCCGATGCTCTTCTCCGAAAGAGTAACAAGATGGCCGAGGAAGAAGATCTTGAGGGTGCGCTCAACAAAGTGGTACGTTGGCAATGTTTGCTATCATCTTCGGTTTCTAATCTCCGTGGTTCAGATGGTGCTGTTCAAGTACATCGACGACAAGGACGTCTTCCAACAGTTCTACACGACCAAGCTGTCCAAGCGTCTTATCCACGGTGTTTCTGCGTCCGACGAGGCCGAAGCCAGCATGATCTCGAAGCTGAAGGAGGCATGTGGCTTCGAGTACACTAACAAACTGCAGCGCATGTTCACAGGTATGCGCATGCGATTATCTCCTGTAATCGTGCTCACCGCTCGCCATAGATATGTCCTTATCTAAGGATCTCACCGAGCAGTTCAAGGAGCGCATGCAGCAGAACCACGACGATATGGATATCAACTTCGGTATCATGGTCCTCGGTACGAACTTCTGGCCCCTCAATCCACCTGCGCACGACTTCATCATTCCCTCTGACATCCTTCCTGTGTACGACCGCTTCACGAAGTACTACCAACAAAAGCACTCCGGTCGCAAGCTGACATGGCTATGGAACTACTCCAAGAACGAGCTTCGTACGAGCTACCTCAACCAGAAATACATCTTCATGACCAGCACGTACCAGATGGCCGTTCTCGTCCAGTACAACCAGAACGACACTCTGTCTTTCGAGGAGCTCAAGGCTGCTACACAGATCAGCGAGGATCTATTGAAGCAGGTCCTTCAATCGCTCGTCAAGGCCAAGGTCCTCATCGAGTCGGATCAATATGACTTGAACCCTAGTATATCCGTTCGGCCTATGTGTGCTGAGCATCGCTAACGCCCATGCAGACTTCAAGTCGAAGAAGATCCGCATCAACCTCAACGTTCCTCTGAAAGCAGAGCAGAAGACTGAGTCCAACGACGTCCTCAAGACTGTCGATGAGGACCGTAAATACGTCATTCAGGCGACCATCGTCCGGTGCGTGTTGTTAGCGCTTATTGCCGAGAACCTCATTTAACTCTTGTGCTTCTCTAGGATTATGAAGGCGAGGAAGACAATGAAGAATCAGCAGCTGATTCAGGAGGTCATCTCGCAGATCTCTCAGCGGTTCACACCGAAAATCCCGGATATCAAGAAGGTAAGAGTTGTCCCATCGATTGAGGCCTCCCAACGTAGATACTGACGACGCTCGCAGGCCATAGACCACCTTCTGGAGAAGGAGTACATCGAGCGTGTGGAGGGTACCCGCGATACTTTCGCCTATGTCGCTTGAGGATCTCGTTTGCTGTCATTCCATTCCATGCTATCGTTTGTACATGTCGTTATACATCTTCTGGTAGATATGGACGTTGTAGCAATAGTATACTATCCCTTCCTGTTCTCTTCTTGTGTGAATGAGTGTTATTTTGCGATACCTTTTATTACATGCATTCGAATCGACCAAGCAGACCGTGTGCGCAGGCATTCTTATGAAGAATTATGCAGTTCGGACGCTGACCCAGGTTTTTCAGCGCAAAGCATGTCGCAATCAGTGGCGGGTGTCCCGGCCACTGCCCGTATAGCTCGCCACTCAATGACACTCGTTACCATATCCGACGTCACCGTGATCAGAGTCAAACCCAGAAACGATGCAATATTTGATACACGCCGGAGCCTCATTGTCCGAGAGGACCGTCCGGACGTATGCCAGCGCTCGCGTTACCAGGGCATGGCGTGCTGCGCTGCGAGCCCGAATGGGCCATATGTCCACGCAACGGGTATCGATAGACCGGAAACGTATCAGCGTACTCGTGCTCATAGACACTCGAAGCGTACCTGCCAGTCGTTAAAGGGTTCAAAGGCGCAGCGACCTCAGATTAGCCTGTTCAGGTCTGCCAGAGTCACGGTGCATCCGCGGACGGAATCTTAGACGGCCGAGTTTAATATTAAGGGTCGAGGCCCACGCAGCATGATGCTGTATGTCTGCTGTTCCTACAGGCAATAACAGTAAATTTCGTGTGCGCGAACAAAAGAAGGCCAGGAGTGAATACTGACCAGGGAGCACGACACTCGTCCCGTGGCCGGAAGCACCAAGCTTTTGTTCTCGTAGCTTCGAGCTTCCTCTTAACAAGTTATACCTAAGATATGACATTACTAATGTGGACTTCAATGCTAAATCTGAGATGTGGCTGGCTGCGACTCTGAAGTTGAATGCTTGGCGGAATACAGATAATACCCATCTGTTCGTACCATGGCAATCCGGTAGACGGAGAGTATATATTCGCCTCTTGCATGCGCACATGCTCGGACTCCTGCTTTTTAGCAGCCCGTTCAGGCTAGACCCGGCTTAGGCGTCCCAGGAGCGACTTGTTGCTGCCAACCGCCTTTCAGTGAATGTCATAATCGTCTCAGCGCCCTTGAAGCTAGGGTCCCTGTGCCCAACGAAAAAAAAAAACTTCCAATCGGAAAGTATTTGAGGTCCTTTGAAGACCTCCGAGAGAAGGATGCGGCCCTTTCTCGGCTTTCCCAAGAATAATGACATACGAAGCTGAGCATGGAACGCACCTCTCCTTCCAGGACAAGGCATTGTGAGAGGACTCCATCTCGAGCAGTGCCTGGCCAAGTCGACATTGAGCAAGTGGTACGATCAGAAGAGTAGCATTGACAGTTATCATCAGCAGCCCGGGCATCTCATACTTCCCCTGTCGGCGCACAGGGCCCGACGAAGACGGATAAAAGACCAGACATCGTTCTGCGGAGGGTCAACGTGCGGCCGAAGGTCAACAGAATCGTTAGGATATGACTTACCGGGCAGAGCTGTCAACTAGCTTGAGGCAATCCGCTGCAACGTCTAGGTGGAGACGCAGCCGCCGCCGCGGCCCCAGTTATTCGCTGTCACACGCGCGTGCCTCCTCAGTGCATCTGCACATTGGGCGGACCAAGCATCTGTCTGCGTCAAGCACGTCGGCGGAACGAAGATGCCAGCTTATGAGGCCTGAGCATTCCAGAGGTTGGCGGACCATGAGCGTAACCTTCAAGTAGTGTATTGTGCACGGCACTCGCGCTGAAATGGTACTCAGGCTGTAGCCGCCGTGGGTCCATAGCAACTGTCTTGCGTTGAAGAGCTGCCAGGCGATACATAGGGTCCGCAAATATTTACATATAAGGGTCAAAAGCGAAGCTTGCGCGAGAGAACGCCGAAAGCATGTAGTTCGACCGCAGATCCCGCGTAGACAGCGGCAGGTCGCCCGCATGGCTAGGCACCAGCTTGCTCTTCGCGCATACATACGACTTCACCGTCTCACCCGTCGAAGAGCTGTCTAGGGCTGTTCCATGGGCATTTGTTCTGCACACGTTGATCGACTTGCCTGTCTGCTATTACCACGACTGCCGATGACAGGGGACACCGACGATATAAAAAGGTGGTTCAAGTTCAGAGGGACCATCGTAGAGTCGCCCTCCAGAGGTCCAAGGTCCGCCCCAGAGAGCATGAAGATGCAGCTCACCATTCCAACTCTCTCGCTCATCGCGCTGGTGCTTGCACCTGCTGCCATAGGGCAGTCGCCTTGCGTTGCGCCTCGTCCCGTTGGCATTTGCGCATCTACCATCAGACCGTACTCGGAGAATGCCTTCGTATGGAGCGGAGCGTGCGAGATCCCCGTTCCATCGGATCCGAGCATGCTCATGGCGGCGGACGTTGAGTTCTATGACCCTCAAGATGGCTGGTCAGTGCGGGACGTATGGCGTCCGACTAATGCCAGACTAATCTCATATATTGTGCAGTGATACCGACGCCGGTTATGTTTTGACCTGCTGTGCACAAGGCGTTTGTAAGCTCCCGCACCGTCACTCTGCTGAAAGCCCGTTTGACCCTTACCTATAATCATTTAGCGTGTGCAGTCTACGAAGATTGCACCGGGCCCGAAACGGCGCCCCCCGCGGCTGAACTCTACGCGTACCCGCCGGCCTTGGCGGAGGGGTGGTCAGTCGACATGCCGTGCGCAGTAGATAATGCGCAGCGCGTGCTCGCGAACGTGATCGTGTCGTACCTCCCGGGCAACTCGCCGTACGAGTGCACGACCCTGTGCACCGAGAAGAACTACGCGTACGCCGGAGTCGAATATGCCGACGAGTGCTACTGCGGCACTGGCTACGTCGATGGCGTTATTCCGCCGACTGCGAACTTGTCGGATTGCGATATGCTTTGCTCCGGTGGCTACTACAACTATTGCGGAGGGTCCTGGAGGATGCAGATTTATAAATCCAATTAACGGATCAGGGTACTCGGTGACGGAAGGGACTTATATACTCACATAGTGTTCGTAGGAAGGACTGTTTGGTATTGGCCGGCTTTTGCGAGCTAAGATCCGATAGGGTTACATTTTTGTATGTCGTTGGGAGCGTACGCCAGGCATCGACCAACTGTCCAGAGAGGCTGTGAAACAACATTCGATGCCCCACATTCCTAGTATAACAGGATGGGACGATGACAGCAGATTGAGCGCCGTTAAGATCTCATACCAAAATTGTAGAGGAACTTCCGCCTGCAATGTATCTGCAAGTCCTCTGATGACCTCGGAAGGAGGGAATATGTCTAGATCGGTGCCTGGCCAAGTCGACTTTGAGCGGTCAGAAGAGCAGCGTTGACAGTTATCATCAGCAGCTCGGGCATCTCATGCCCGTCCTCATCAGACGCCGTGCGCCGATGGGGAAGGAGCGGCGAGTCAGCGTGCGGCCCAAGGTTGACTGACTCGATAGTATATGACTCACTGAGCGGAGCTGTTGGTTGGACTAGTCCACTGCAACGTCTGGGAATGGTTCCAGTTGTTCGTTTTGATGACAGTGATGCATATTCCTACTTCCAATTCTAAGTGGGATTGAAATGTTGCCCATGCTCAGCACGTCTGCACCTTGGTGAAGCCAAACATCTGTTTGCGTCCAACACCCGACCCAAGGCGAAGCGAAAATGTCAGCGTATGGGGCCTAAAAATTCCTGGACTCAGCGTACCATGAACGCATATATTGGCTCCGGCGCGAGTGTGGCCGCGATAGGTCCATGCCTGACCCAGGCACACCCTGCTGTCGAGAGCTGTCAGATAATAAATAGGTCCGCAGATCTTACGTGGACAAATCGTCTGAATGGCTAGGCACCAGCTTGCTCTCTGCATGCATACGACCTTACAGTCTCGTTTGGGCGACAAGTGGAGCTGACCAGGTCGCGAATAACGACTCGATGGCTCGAGACTGCCAAGGCCGCTCCAGGGACATCTGTTCTATGCGCCGCATTCGTCGGCTCGTCTGTCCGTCAAAATTGTTAGGGAGAGGCTTAAATAGCTCTCTGAGACCTCCATGAGTTGCTCCCAGGATTCGCCCAAATGAAGCTCACCATTCCAGCTCTCTCTCTTATCGCACTGGTGCTCGCCCCTGCCATTGCAGGGCAGACTTCGCCTTGCGTCGCGCCTCGGTCCATTGGCATATGTGCGTCTACTATCAGGCCGTTCTCAGACAACGCCTACGTGTGGGAAGGACCGTGTGGGATCCCCGCGCCATCGAATCCGAACGTGCTCACGGCATCGGACGTTGAGTTTTACGATCCCCAATATGGCTGGTCAGTGCAGGACATACATTGTCCAATGGACACTCTGTTAATATGAGGGTTGCACAGTGACACCAACGCCGGATACCCTCTGACCTGCTGTGCAGAATCTACTTGTAAGCTTTCGCACTGTCTGGTGGAGATCTAGCTAAACTTTGCTGACGATCACTCAGCATGTGCAACCTACATAGACTGCACCGGGCCCGAGACGGCGCCTCCCGCGGCTGACCCTGACGCGTACCCGCCGGAGCTGGCGTCGGGGTGGTCGGTCGACATGCCATGCGCAATAGACAACCCGCAGCGCGTGCTCGCGAACGCGATCGTGTCGTACCTCCCGGGGAACACGCCATACGCCTGCACGACCCTGTGCGCTGGAAAGGACTACGCGTATGCGGGGGTCGAGTACGGTGATGAGTGTTACTGCGGCACTGGCTACGTCGACGGCGTCATGCCGCCGGCTGCGGAACTGTCGGACTGCAGCATGCTCTGCTCCGGCGGTTATTACTACTATTGTGGAGGGTCTTGGAGAATGCAGATTTACAAGTTTACTTAGTGAGCTAGGGTTTTCAGCGAAGGAGCGAGTGTATTTACATAGGGCCTGTGGGAAAGATCACTTGATATTGCAATGATCTGCACGGGCTGGAGCCTGTTAAAGTTACATTTCTGAAGGTTATCGGGACTTTGTGCCAGGCACTAACCGATTATCTTGATAGAGGCTATGAAACCTCTACGTTCCTGGTATGGCTGAAAAGGACAATAGCAATATAGGCACTGTGCGGGTAATTACTGGAGTCGTTGCGAGCAGAGCTGCCACAGCCTATAGCCGGACGTGGACGGATCGTTTGCGTGGCCAGGTACCAATATGCCCTCTGCATATACACATGACCCTACGGTCGCCTGAAAACAGGCAAGGTCCCGATCATGGACTCGATAGAGAAGACTGGCCAGGGCTGCTCCAGGGGCATCTGTCCTGTGCATATTCGTTGGCTTGCTTGCCCATTGTTACCACAGCTGCAGGCGCCAGCGTTATTAGGGGCAGACCCAGAGGGCCCGTTTGTCGAGCTACCCTCCAAGACTCACCCTGATACGCCCAACAATGCAGCTCACCGTTCTAACTCTCTCCCTTGTCGCATTGGCGCTCGCTCCTGCTACCATAGGACAGTCACCTTGCGCTGCGTCTCGTCCTACTGGTATCTGCGCACAAACCATCAGGCCGTACTCGGACAACGAATATGTCTGGAGCGGACCGTGTGAGATTCCCCCTCCGTCGGATACAAGCGTGCTCATGGCGGACAACGTCGAGATGTACGATCCTCAGTATAGTTGGTCAGTGCAGAGCGCACATTTTCCGATGTATGCCCTGCCAACCTGAGGACCGTCCAGCAATGCCGGCTACCTCCTGACTTGCTGTGCACAAGGTGTTTGTAAGCTTTCGCGTGTGCCTTTCTGTTGAAGAATAATCTAACCTTTACCGGTGGCTATCCAGCGTGTGCGGTATACGAAGACTGCACCGGGCCCGAAACCGAGGTTCCTGCAGCTGACCCCAACAACTACCCGCCAGAGCTGGCACCAGGGTGGTCAATCGACATGTCATGCGCGGTAGACAACCCGCAGCGCGTGCTTGCGAACCCGGTCGTATCATACCTGCAGAACAACTCGCCGTACGAGTGCGCAGCTCTGTGCGGAAACCAGGACTACTCATACGCCGGGGTCGAGTACGGCGACGAGTGCTACTGCGGCACCGGCTATGTCGATGGCGTCATGCCGCCGACTGCGAACTTGTCGGACTGCAGCATGCTCTGCTCCGGGGGCTATTACTGGTACTGTGGAGGGTCCTGGAGGATGCAGGTCTACAAGCTCAATTAGCGGGTCAAAGCGTTCAACAGAAAAGACGAATGTACTCGCATGGAGTTCGTGGGAAGGATTGCCGTATAGTTTACCAGCCTGTGCGAAGCTAGAATCTGCTAAAGTTACATTCTTGGACGTCGTTGAAAGTATGTCCAGATGAAGGTTACGAAACAACGTTTGGTGCCTCACGTTCCTAGTGCGACTAGATAAGATGACGACAACACAGGCACCGCATAGTAACAACCCGAGTTATTCAATCGCAGGAAGAACTGCAACAGTCCATAGCTGACATGCATGATAACGGGCTGCCCGTCAAAGGATGAGTTCGATGCAAGACGAAAGATTGCGGGCGACGTTGGACGAAATATGCTTAAGACGGGCCTACCATGACTGGCGAGGCAGAGATGATGTGGCAGTGCAGCAAAATCTAGGGGCGCTTAATGGTTTGATCCGTTTGGAACCTTAACCCGAACTCGCTTTGGCTGAGCACCTTGACCGTTCTCTTCTCTGTTTCGTGCAACATACTATCGAGACAGTGTATCTTCATCTGAATTTGAACCAGCAGCGATGCACAACAGATCCAGAGGGCTCCATGGTATACTTTACTTTGTTTTTCGCAATCGTCACGAAATGTGCTGAGAGTGTGAAGTGGCTCATAGTACTGTACCTATACCAATGTTCATACCGAAACAGCAGTGTAGATATAGCTACGTCATCCAAATGTCGCCCTATTAGAGGGGAGCATTTGCCCCTATTCGGCAAGATGCGCTCCCATAAAGACACTCCCGCGAGTGAGGTGCTCCGGGGACATTCTGTGTAGGTATTGGCCCTCCTTTGTCCCTTTTTCTCCCCTCTCTTGTCGGGCAACCACCTGGCAAGGATCCTCGCCTCTTCGGGACCTATGACTAAATTGCCCGAAGCAGAGTCATCGAGGTCAGGGGTGGCTGCGGTACCGGTGGCTGCTGGTTTCAACTTGGGCATCGCTATAAAAGCCTGCACAAGGTTTCTCAGATTAGTCCACAGTATCACACGTCTTACAAAATGGGAAAACGCGATAAATCAAAGTCCAGCACGCAGCAGCCCCCGGTCTCGCTGATACTCCCGCCGTCACTGTATCTGGGTCCGTGCTCAGCAGCGTCCTCAGAACCGTTCCTTACGGCACAATCGATAACTGACGTGCTCAGCATCGGAGCTACTCCCGCGGAGAAGTTCGACGGCGTGTCATACCACCGAATATCGATCAGCGACTCCCCGTCCCCGTCCATATCCAAAGCCTGCGACTCGGCACGTACGATCATCGACGCGGCTTTGAAATTTCACAACGGAACGGGCAAGATCCTAGTACACTGCTCTGCGGGCATCTCGCGGTCCCCGACGGTCGTCGCGGCGTATCTGATGAGGCATCATCAGATGTCGCTGAATGATGCCCTCCGGCAGATTGTTCAGGCGCGCCCGCAGGCCTCACCGAACCCAGGGTTTATGCGGCAGCTGAAGGAGATGGAGATGGAGCTGTTTGGAAGCGTCACGGTAGACGTGGACGAGATGCCGCGAAAGGAGAAGGATCGACTGGTGTTGTTTTCAGAAGGGAGTGATGCTGCCACGAGTTCTTGAACACAACTAGTGATTGCCTGATCAGCGAGTTAGCACTATCATTCGTTTCTATGCTGATACAGTACTAAATCTTGTCCTAGTGCCCTCATCAGATACCGCGCCACATACACAAGTAAAAAGTTAGTCTGGTAGAACGTAGCTGGGTGCGCACCGTTCAGCTCTGCTTATCGACCGAAATGTCTAATGGCGGGCGCCGGCATTCCCCTGACATCACGGTCGTGGTAGGACCACAGAGTCCGGAAAACACATGTAGGTGAATTCAATGATGAAAATTTAAAAAGAAGTGCGGCTCGCCCCCCGGGTGATGCACGATATTCTATAAATAGTTACTCTCGGTACAGAATCGAAGATTCAAAGATTTGCGACCATTGTCATAGCGATCTCATGACTTGCCTCTCAGTAACACCGCGAGCACACAGCGACATGCCACTGCCAGTTCGTATTGAACCCGTGCTAGGCAACAAGTCGACAGCAAGCTCTACATGCATAACCATGTAGTAGGAGGGCTTCGTTGGCGTGCGGCACGTCTGCGACATCGGCCCACGCCACATGAAGTGATGGTATGCAGGGCATAAGGGTGGAAGCGTCAAGGTTGGGACCCTCGAGCACATGTGCAGGCTGCTCGAGCCTCGAGCGCGAGCGGCATGTCTGTGTCCGTGGGCAGACTGAATGAGCTAGGCCGGGTAACGATCATTGGTCAATCAGCATACCGTGCGTGTGGACAACCAGAGCCACGCGTACGCCGGAGTCGAGTACGCCGACGAGTGCGACTGCGGCACCGGCTACGTCAACGGCGTCATGCCCCGTGTTGCGAACTTGTCGGACTGCAATATGCTCTGCTCCGGAGGCTTACTGTGGAGGGTCCTGGAGGATGCAGATCTACAAGCTCAGCAAGCGGACCAACGCGTTCAACAAGAATGATGAATGTACTCTCGCAGAGTTCATGGGAGAGATTGCTGAACAGTCCACCTGTCTGTGCGAAGCTGGAATCTGCTAAAGTTGCATTCTTCGGATGTTGCTGGGAGAGTGTCTAGAACCAACGTTTGTTGCTCCACGTTCCTGGTACGAACTGAATGGGACGATGACCACACAGGCACTGCATGATAACACGTCGAGTTGTTGCAGACAGAGCTGCGAAAGCCTACAGCTGAAACACGACATACATGACAACAGGAAGCTGTCGGCTTCATGGTGTATTCGAATTGAGACAAAAAAAACTGCGGAGGGCGCTGGTTTAGATGAGCCTGTGCCGCAGACGAGTGGGAGAAGCAGGGACGTCAGGCGGCTGGTGGAGCTCTGCCAGATCCGGAATGAGATGCCGACCCGCCGCCGCCCAATGCGTCATGGGTCCTCGCCAGCCCGCCGCGTGCAGGGGAGACCACTGGCCGACCAACACGGCCAGGCTCCCGCTGAGACGAGGCCGCTGGTGTGCGGCACGCACGCTCCTGTCGCCCTCTGCGCGCCCCGTATTTTTTGTGAGGCTGAGAGAGGCCGCAGACGGCGGCCAGCGGCGCGTGGCGAGCCCGTTAATGACGTACCAGGGAAAATATGACATAGCACGCATTTCCGACGGCTGGCGTCCCAATTTGTATCGAGCAGCGAGGCATCATATCAGGCAAGCCACCACCACCATACCAGACGACTCCGGCATACCGCGAGGCGCGAGGCCACCCTCCCGCCCCCTACCTCACCCCCAACAATGCCCCAGGCAGGTCTGGGGACTGTTCACTGTCTTCTTGCGGTCCTTATTTTTCGCTTCTGGCAGGAGATGGACGATGACGGCTTCGCAGAGCTCGAGGAGGCGCTCACGCGCTACTCCCAGGAGATGCACGAGTATACTTTGCAGATGTGGACAGACTCCCGGCGTGCGGCGGAGGAGAAAGGGGTTGCGACAACCGCAGGTAGAAAGAAGAAGGTTGTGAGGACACAGGAGGAAACGCATAAGGGTAAACGAGAGGAGGACAAGCCGCTGCGGTTGAAGGCGTCATTTTCGACGGAAAGCTCAGTTGGAAAATCGTCGAGTTGATTCAACGTGCGAATACAGATACCCCCAACAAAAGGTCTGTGTAGAGCTGCATGTTATCCGTCTAGATCGTCGCCTCAGTCACTAATGAGCATGCTCAGCTTGTACTAGGACACACTTGAACGCCTCTGCAACAGCGCTGCGGGGCAGCGATGTTTTCTTCTACACCTGCTTGATTTGAGCGACGCTATCACACCATAGCTACCCGTTTGTACTATTATCTGTTGGCGATTCTCTCGGTTATGACACGGTTTGCTCGCCGTTGAGGTCGAGTGTTGTCTCTCAGCGAATCGGTCGTGCGCCGCAAGCATGAAGACCTGGCAGTAGAGTGGCATAGTCAGCAGACAGGAGATATCATTGCAGGTGGGTTAACGAGTACTCGGTGAGTTCTCTGTCTCGCTAGCACTCCAAACCTTGTTAACGAGCGAGGGCGCTCCATATCCCGCCGTAGTTGGTTGAACTCACGTCTCATAACGTAAGTGAGGTATAGCTCTCGTAGTCTTTGATTTTTTCAGGGAGCCGGAATCGAACAGACCGACATTCTTGGGTCTCCGACACGAGGAGCACCCTGGATCAAAGAGAATGAGGCGCATAACAACGTATCCGCAAACGGCTATATTCACTCACTTTCAACAATGTTGTGGTGGTTTAGAAATCCAATTCAGAGGTGTTCTGCTTGGCGCACTTCCTTAGTCAAAAATTTGCGGACAGCCTCCCAATATTAATTTATCGGGCTCGCCGTTGCTAGGGTTGTGTGAGTAGCACTTTCTCGTAGCGCTGCGATGCGGGTGTTGCTCACCGATTCCGCTCTGGCAGGTGCAGTGCGAGCATCTCAGGCCCAGGACAGAGGAGATACACTCGCCCGATGTCATCGTCCGACGCTGCTGAACCCAAGCAGTGTGCTGAGCGCATCGGATGTCCTCCATCTGGAGCCAGAACCCGTGCACGCGCAAATGGCGAGGCGATCGTCGACGACGCAGTGACTTACATGCGCCCGCTCAACCAACATGGATCCACGACAACCTCCAAGCCGGACCAAGTGCGCGCGATCTGCGCCGGTTTCCGTTTCTGCGGCGTGCGCCGAACTTGGGAGAGGGGGGGCAGATTCTGGCCCAGGCCCGCAGCGGCCCACGCGCACGTCGGCAGGGCAACGCGCGCGCGCGGCGGCTGCTGGCTTTGCAGCCCCTGGACGGGATAGGCAGGTGTCTACGTACGCGTCCGCAGCCGTTGGCCAACTCACGGGCAGGCCCACTGCGACTCGCTGCCGGCTGCAGCTTTTTGACAGTGCTGCGCTGTCCTGCCGCGCACTCCTGCGTCCCAAGAAAGGTTTTTTTACTACCGATACCCGTGTGTACCTCTCAAGCTGTTTTTTTGTGTTCGAGTCGCATACGGCACTGCGTGCACACAAGGGACGTCGAGGCGCGTTCGAGAGCGGGCGAGCCTATCCGGGCGCCCTGCGACCGCTGCAACAAGGTTGAGCCGCCCAACACATCGGTGCCTCGCGTGCCCGGTTAATGTTTACGAGATTTCTGCGCGCACCGGCGTACAAATTCAGGGCAAGGCACAGCAGGATTGATTATGGTTTGAAGATGATCGGAAACGGTGGTAGTGCATAGTCATACAGTGCTGTGGGTACACGAAAGTGAAGGAGATTGAGATTGTCGACGGCCATCCAACGATACCAGCTAAACTGCATTGCCGTTCCATGAGTCACGACAGAAGTAGACAAGCGCACGAAGGTTCTCGAAGTGGGGCACGCGAGGTACCATGTACTGGAAGAAAAATTGATATGAAAAGGTGTAAGCATGAGGCGAAGAGACGAAAAGCCATGTACAGAGAATCAAGAAAGGAGTCCAGGTGCTTGAGGGGGTGACGCGACATGGACCACTATGATACAACCAGTTGTGAAAGAGAAGAGAAAGCCTCGAGCGTGGATAATTCGTGACCATCGTGATATTCGCAGCTTTGGTTCACACGGAAGAGCGGGGGGCGGGAAAGCCATGGACGCTCAGGACTCGTCCATGGGCGACCTGGGACGGCCGCGCTCTCCTGACAGGAGCACGCTCGGGACGCTTCCCCTCCGCTGCCCCAACAAGTGCGACGGCGGCCCACGCTCGGCGCGTCCCTCCTCATCTGCCCCGGGCGATCGGCTCGCCCGACGCTTCTCAGGCGGATGCATGCGTCCCTGGCGCTCGCCCGACGACCGTCGCGTAAGGCTCGGTCGCTCGGGCAGCGCTAGCGAGCCGGGGGCGCCGAGCGTCGTGTGGCTGAGCGAGCTGCGCGTCGAGGACGTCGGCAGCGTCGTCTTGGTACTCAGCGGCGACCAACTGCCCTTCGGGCCCGCTGCGTGCTGCTGATGCTGATGCTGCTGCTGCAGCGGCGGCGGCGGGAAGTTGTGCGGCGGGAGCTCGCGCGAGGGCAGGTACGAGACCGACGCGCGTGTGACGGGCGGAAGCGGATGTGGGTCGAGCCGCGTCGCGGAGACGGACAGTCTGCGGTTAGCGTCGAACGGGACGGGAGACGCAGCCTGCGAGTTAGGGAAGCTCTGTCCTTCGCTGCCAGGAGAGGACACTCTGCGGACGGGCTCTGGCCTGCGAATGCTGGACTCGACGGGCGGGAAGGTGTAGCTTTCGGGTGCTATCGGCGCTACTGTGGGGCTTGCGACCTGGTACCCGTTTGGCTTGCCCTTGTGCTTTGTTGCCATATTCGGGCTGTATCCCTGCACCTTCGACATGCGTAGCACCGTCTCGAGCTCGTCGACGCGCACGCGCAAACCGTAGACTTCTTCGCGCATGGTAGACATCTTCTTCTCGACGATGCTGTTCACCGTGTCTTCGATGTGCGCCTGCTGACGCTGCAGGTTAGCAATCAGCGCACTCGACTTCTGCAGCTGCTCGCTCAGCCACGCCTTGAGGTGCTTCGAGTCCGACAGCGCGTCGTAGAACATCTCAAACGGCGCCAGGAACGCGGACTTCTCTCCAGTGTAGCCGGGGTGGTGCAGCGACGCCGGCGTCGGCGGTACGAGATTCGATGAGATGGGGATCGACGCGGTAGGAGGTGATCGGCCGCTGATGCCCGTCCCACCAGCACCAGCGACAGAGTGTCGCGGGACCCCGAGCCTGGTTGGCGTCGGCGGCACCTGCCCATTCGAGTATCGTTTGGCAGCCTGCCCTGGCTGCAGGACAGGGGGCAAGCTCGGAAGGGCCATCGACGAAAGCCTGGCCATGCCCGCATCGGAGCCCGAGCGCGAGACCGGGGGTGCGCTCTGAATCGCGGGCTGGAAATGGCTCTCCGTCGTCGCGCGCGGGTTAATGACGATATCGGCCGGTTTTCCCTTTGTGCCTGCCATGAGCTGGCGGCTGGCGCGCCGACGGGCAAAGCTGATTGGCGGGGCTGGGAGAGCATGGCTTGCACCGGCCGGATTGCTCGAGGTTGAGGCCTGGGAAGGGTGCAGATGTGTCTGTGTAGGTGGGGAGTCCGTTGCCGGCCGCGGAGGCGGGTGATTCTGCACTTGAGATCTGTGAGCAGTTCCAGTCGCGGCAGAACTTGGAGGTGGGGGAGTCGGTTGGCGGGACGACGAAGACATTGTTTGCACAGGAGCACCTGAAGAGCCAGCGACAATCGATCGTCGTGGCCCGCCTGAGATCGCGGGAGCAGCAGTGTTAGGACTACGTCTACCAACTCTCGAAGGACCTGTCTTGGCAGATGATGACGAACGTTCGTCAGGTGTGAGAGCGTTGACGACATTTACTTCAGGGGCTGCCGTTGGTGGCGCTATGCCAGCCGTGCTGCCTCTCCTCTGCTCGATTAATGCCTGTTGCTGCTGCTTCAAACTTATCATAGACTTGACTTGCTCCAATTCTTTTGGATCGTCACCGCGAATCGTGAAGCCCATAACCACCGGAGAGATACCGCTGTCGATAGAGGGTTGTCTAACGTCCGTATTTATGCCACTAATCGTGACTCGCCGCTTCTTGGACGGGTTGGGAGACGACACGGAGGAAGAAGGCGGGGCGTCGACCTCTTCCCTAAGCTGTCTCTGCTGCGAAGCCGGGCCTACTACAGGCGGAGAGGGGATAAACTCATTCTCTGTTTCTTGTTTTACTCTCACGACCGGCCGCGGAGATCGGCGACTGTAGTGCACAAACGGATGGATGAGCCCATAAGCATCCGTCGGGGACGAACGAGTGGTATGCGAGAACGTACTCTGACCTCGACATCTCTCCTGCCTTTTCTGCTGCCATGGCCTCCGAATGCAAACGCTTCTTGTTGCTGGGGGATTTCGCCGGCTCCTGGCTCGAGGGGTGCGGCTGCGTGACCTGGGAAGACTGATCGGGAGTTGCGCGATGGTGGATAGGAGGAAGTGAGTTGTTCATCTCTGGAAGTCGATTCAAGGAGGGCGTTCCAAAGGTCTGTGCGAACGAAGGCAGAGACTGCGTGGCCGACTGCGTGGTCATGTCGTTGTGGGTGCTAGCGAAGAACCGCAAGGGACAAGATGTCTCTCTTCTGCGGGCGGAAGCAAATCCTTTCGGTCGTTAAAGGCGTCGGCTGGGTACCAGAGCGTGCAGAGAGAAGACGTCCGACAGCTGCCACCCGTGGTCGGCCGGACGGGGAGAGATGGTGGCAGTGCGAAAGGAAGGAGGGAGAGCAGATGTAACAGGTTAAAGATCAACAGCGAAAAGGAAGGGCGGAAGCGGACGCTGTCAATTATACAAGGTTCGTTACGGTCAACGTCCCTCGCGTAATACAAAACCCCTCGTTTGCTCGACGACCGCGTATCAGCAAGAGTAAAGAGCCAGAATATACCCGGCTGTCTCTGGGTTTTTGTTTGCTTTTTTTGTTTGTTTTATTTTTGCGACGGAGAGGTGGACGAGGGAAGCTCTGACATGGTCGGATGGGATCACAGCACAGAGACGGCGCATATTGCAATCAGAACAAAGGCCCCCTTCTGCCATCCTCAGACACTTACCACACCCAACGTCCCCATGTTCCATCATCCAAATGCCACCGGACAATCAGACAACTGCCGCAGCGCGATATTCACAATGAGCATTCCACCAGAGAACGTCTAGATTCCCAACGGACGCCCGGCGTTATCAACTCGAATAGGTTCTTCGACGGTTTGCCCCCTCCTGCTCTCGCAGAGCCTTTGTCTATCGCCAGTCCAGAATACTCTTTGCGCTCCGTGTGCACCACGCTCGACCCCCGCTTCGGGCCTGCGCATGCAAGGCGTTCCCACGTTTGCCGAGAACGAGATTGCTATCTCACCCCTACAGACTGACCGTCCAGAGTACAAAGACGTCCTTTGATACCAGTAAGGCAGCTACTGCGCGCGGTTCGCGGTCGAGCATTGCGGAGGACGAGCATGACCGACAGCCCCGTCCTCATAGAGTCGCAGCTTGTCGCAGTCCTGCCGCAATCAGCGTCCCATCGACACCGCGCTCACATGCTCTACATCCTCTCGTAATCGGTTCCGAATGCCGCAAAGGAGGAGATCGATGGCTTGGGGCGATGCTGAAAGTGCTCGACTGGCAAGCCTGACAGTCGGTGGGTGGGCCTTCGGTGCCCAAAATGGCGACTTTATTGCCAAAATGGTCGCCCGCCGAGCGTAGCTACGGCCGGTGCACTCGCACTGCGGTCCTTACGCAACCATGGCCTTCAGCTCTTGATCACCAAACCATCGCTCGGCATTACAGCAGGGTCTTAGGTTTCCGCAGCACCCAATAAACTTTCTCTCTATTTTGGCCCAGGGCTCCGACTACGGACGGTTGTCACCGTTACTGGTGCAAGCAACCCCGATCCCCAGGCGAGGCAATGTCGTGCATGCGGTACCGACGCGCGATACGCTGTCCCTGTCTCCAGGGCGCGTCTTGTCGGTCAACGGGCGCAGGTTCCGCCGACTGGCCAACTCCGGCATCTAATGCACCGTCGAGACGACCGCCGCCCAGCTCCACTATAAGCTTCGAAACGAACTCTATGGATGTGAATAGTCACGTCACTCCGTCGTCATGTCATATGCTCTACAACATATCGGGAAGGCTGTGTGGCTATCCCGAGGCTAGAGGGCCCACGTGAGACCGCACCAGCGAACATTGTGGCAGTACGCCGAAGGTATCCACATGCGAGCGGGCCGCAGGAAGCAGCAATACATACAAAAAGGCAAGCCGCAGAATCAATGCAGCGTCTAGACGTCTGATTCGAAAGCCAGATAGACTATCTTCGTGATAAATAACGACGGCGAAACGACCAAAATCAAATGTCTGGAGATGACCGTGAGAGTCATGAGTGACACGTTAAATGAGCAGACAGGTGTAATGACAACATACCAGCAGACAGATAGGCAGGATGTCAACAAGTTGTTGTCAGGCAGCATCAGCCTTCCGCTTCTTCTTGCGGACGGCCAACATTGTCACAGGCTGCGCGGCGGCTGCACCAGGCGCACCATCCGCTCCAACCGCGTCCACGGCCCTCGGAACCAGCGGAGGGTTGCTGACCGTGACAGATCCGTAGATGTGCGAGCGGTACGTGTCAAGCGACGCAGTCGGTTCCGGAAACGGATTCGGGGAGATATCAGGCAGCGCTCCGTCGTACTTGGGTGGAGGCGTTCGAGGCACCTCGAGCGTCACGTTCGCCGGCGCTGGTTCCGGTGTAGAATCGCGCCGGAAAAGTAGCGGTGCGAGCGAGCTTGGGCTTCGCGAGGTTTCGGCTGGGGATGAGGCGGCGACGTTCTCGCAAAGGCCTTTGATGGATGCCTCCAGGGTTTCGGTCGACTTGGCGGCGCGTTCGGCATTCGAGAACTCGACGCCGTGGAGGAGCGTCGCGACGACGCGGCGGACAAGATTCGGTGCGACCTGACCTGGCTGTGGGGCCAAGGGCGACGGCGTGGAGTGCGAGTGGGAAGTGCTGGACGGCGATGAAATGCCCACGGTGAAGAAGCCTGTTACCGCGCCTGCAACGCACTCCTGCCTAAAGGACATCCGCTCCCAGAACTCGTTCGCAGAACACTTCCCGAGCTCTCCCTCTGGCTTGTGCTCTTTGTGCTCCTTATGCTCCTTGGCGCTGTCGTCCTGGGCCACCGTGTCCTGTTCCTTGGAATCGGTCCTGCTGAGCGTGCGTGCACGCTTCCGCTCCGGTGAGCGTATAGCACCCCCTTCTGTCGTGTGTGCGATCTCGTCCATGAAACGTGATTTTGGGTCGTCTTCGAAGGATGGGACGTAGTGCCCCAGATTGTGCGGGCCTTGGCTTCGCGGATACGGTAGCGGGATGTCGCTTTGGGAATAAGGATGCCCATAGGTCCATTGGATTGGTGATGCAGAAGAGTTAAGAGGAGACACGATATGGAGAGAATTGACGGCTTCAAGCTCACTGTAACCTGGCAGGACGTAATACGCCCGTAGCGTTGCATCTGGCTCCTTCGCGTCCAACTCCGCTGCAACCTCTCCCAACACGCGCCTCCACCAGGCACAGAGCTTCACATCCGAGAGGGGCTTCTTTCCCGGGTGCTCACTCGAGTTCGGGAAAAGATACTGGTTTTGTGCGCGCGCGAAAAGCTGAATCCAGAGCGTGTCCACACGGATAGGTCGGGTGTCGGTATCGGCGTAGTAGCTCAGCAAAGCCTTAACGAGCGTAGAAGTCGGCGAAGGGAACATACCCTGACCGGTGGAATCGACCTTGGAGACGTACATGATCCCGCAAGACGTCGACGTTACGTTGTATACGGATACTTCCACTGCGGACACGAGCTGTCTCGGGGCATCGGGGTTTGCCTGCTCTGACAGCAGCACGAACACGTCTTGTAGGTACACCCGCGGTCGTGGGTGAGCGTATGGGAAGAGTCCGGTGTGCTTGTGTGGTGAAGAGACCAGGACATGGACGTGGAACTCGCGGGTCCCAGGCAATGTGGCGAGTGCGCTCAGAAGCGCATCCCGCAGACTGGCAGTCGACGGCGACGTCTTAGTCATGGTTCCAGCCCTCCCAGGCGATCTCTACTACGAGCGCCGGTTTGAGACCTTGAGGACAGAGGCATATGAGAGCAGCCTCGTTGGCTGTTCGTTGGAAGATGAGAACCGTGCGAAATCTCTGCACTAAGCGCCCGATGGTTTAGCAAGAATCATACCAGAGCCAGGTTTCGTGCATGTCGCGAACGAACTACGCCCCTCGATAGCATGGCAGACAAGATAGAAGAGGATAGAAGACAGCAACAGATAGAAAGGCTCTTCAAAGGCTTCTATCTCCAAAATCAACTTGAATCCATGCCAACAGCGCGAAGAGCGGGACGAAATATAATCGTGGGACACTTTAGTCCCGCCTAGGGAAGAGCCATTAGTGCATCAAGATCAACGACTGGGACCGCTGCGTCTGGTGCTGTCCGTCGCGAGCAACAGTCTCATCGTCTCGAGGCATACCACTGAGAACGAGAAAATCCTTTAGATGTGCCATAAAATGTGCCTCTCAGCAATCCTCAATCACGTTAGTGAAAGATGAATCGTTCAACGGCGGCACGGGCGAGAAGCATAGCAGTGAAGAAAAGAATGGACACGACAAGCCGCATCTAGGGACCTGTTTACGAGATCCCCGTGAGGTACCCAGCCCCGGTCTTGCGAACGTTCTTTGATCTAATAGCATCTAGGACCCTTCGCTCATGAGACTCGGCCATGGTGGGCATGCCCATGCATGTGGGTCGGACACAAAGGCCAGCGTGGAGTCCTTCGAGCACGTTAACGCCATGTTTCGCCGAGATTTCGGAACCGTAGCATTTTCTTGTTTCCTGGACGATACAATGGAGTCACATGGATGCTTGGACATCGACTGCGTGCCTGGCTTGGCAGGTGATAAGGACCTATCCGCATGCCTCTGCATCGATTCGTGTAAGGTGCGTCTGATTCTGTAAGGTCGTTCGACTCTGTGAGGTGCGTCCGATTTCGTGAACGAGTATCTGCGGACTTACGTACTCCTTATAATCCCGGCTACCAACATGTGCCTAAGTCAGAGATGGATCTACTGCCTTAATAACACTGGACACAGCGGGACAACTTTCAGTTCCGCCTCGGGTGTCTCGACACGGTCCTGACTGGCTGACGGCAACTGAGCCTTAGGCGGTGATTACCATCGAGCTGCCGAACTGGAGCTTGCCAGGCGGGCCAGGCGATGAAATCAGCCACTACGAGGTATCAGGTACGGTGCACAGAAGAGACTAGCGTTCGTCTCTCTGTATCTAATACTACCTATAACACACTTAAACTTACTGATTTCCAATGCTACACATATACTTACTCTGTTCAAGCACCAGTCACGGCTCCAACTTGTAGATCTGCATTCGCCACGAGCCTCCGCATGTCCAATAGTACCCCGCCAGACACCGCATGTTGCAGTCTGACTACGGCGCCGATTGCGGGATTGTGCCGTCGTTAACATACGACGTCCCACAGTAGCATTCATCGCCGTACTCGAGTCCGGCGTATGTGAACCCGAGCGATGCGCAGTGTGTCGTGCATGTCAGCGGCCCCGCGATGTCGTTGCTATATGAGACGATCATGTTCGCTAGCACCCATTCGGGTGTGTCGACCGCACATTGGAAAATGACCTAAGAGACAATCATCATGAAAGACAGAGTCGTGCAAAATCGTCCATCCTACCTTAATATCCCATTCGGGATCGATATCGCTTCCCAGGGCGTGCTAAGGACGTCCAGGGCTAGATGAACCTGAGATGAGTTCCATGGTTAAAGCCGAATAATGTGACTCACCATGCTCGGATGCACTGTAGTAGCCAAGGGACGGCGTGCCCATAATCGAGGTGATGTTCATCGGCCAGGGGTTGCCGGCACTGGGTCCGTTCTCCTCACCATTCGGCCTGTTTACCGACGTTCGCCGCGCCCCGCGGCATGCGTCCTCTGGGGTAGCTTCAGCCCCGCTGATCACTCCGCAGCCGGCGCTGTTGAACGTAATGTATATCCCACTCTGGCCTCTCGAAAAGATATCTACGACGTTCGCAGGTTATCTGACATCCACCATGACTAAGGGAGGCTCCTTCGGGACGTATCTATTTTTGTTCAGGTCATCTAGAGCAGACGGTCTTTGTCTCCTCCGATGATGGTCCTTTGGCCCAATCCTGAGGACGAGCACGCCACTGCTCGAAGGCGAATGACAGGATAGACACAAGAGCAGGGCAAACTAAGCCGAACTCTGTGTGAAAAATCGCGTGAGTGAAAGAATGCGGCTCAGTTACGTGTGCGCCTCGCCGACCTGCTCGGCGTCGCGCGGGAATCAAGGAATTACTTTTTCAGTGATCTTTCCAACAGCCTGGATGCTCAGATGCCCATCATGGTGACCTCACGGCCGCCTACGATGCACAAGACTACATCAGTCCCACCAGAACGCGGATTCAACGAGAGTGAGCTACCTTTTACGTGGCATTCGTTTGCTTTTGCCTGTACTGGGCACGCACCGGCCTAACGTCCCGAAACAAAAACGTCGGCAATGCCTTGACAACACACTCTATACGAGACCTGGTAAATTGTTGTATAGGCCTTTAATTTCGGAAGATTGAGACTTTGAAACATCGAATGAAAAGAGCGTGTGGGAATTGCTTCCTATTACAGGCTCACCACACTGTCCCAGCGCCACGAAGCCTTCGGGTACCGGGATTCAGCCGGCTGGACTGCCCGTTTCCTCACGTACGCGACATTAGTCATCTTGAACGGTGTGTGCATAACCATTAATGACCAGTGCTTGTATACAGACGACGCTCCAGACGCAACCAACCCCTTGAGACGGCTTGCCTGCGGACTTCGCCCTGTCTCTCTAGCTATCGTTCAGACGCCCCACCAAGTCGCGTGATGATACTTGCAATCATGGCCATAGAGCAAGATTTTGCTGCCTCAAACACGCTGTATGCGACGATGATTGAACACCGTTGCAAAGGAGTCCGATAGCTTGTGCACTGTCTCTCGTTACCATTCATCGGCCGCAATACGGCGAGTAGCCGGTCGATGATAAACGTCCGAAATTTCCTGGTCATACCCTCTTACCCGAGCGGCCACTCCCATGCGAGCAGCCCTTACACCCATGATACCCGGTCCCTCGGTCCTTTCGCAATCATGATTTGCTCTGCAAGCTTTTTCGAGTGCGACGGCGAACGGGGAGCTGTTGGTGCCAAGCGCTCCCGGTTGTCTCGAGATTATATTATGATCTCACGTCGTCCTAGCACCTTCATCTCACTCCCATCTGACTGACAGCTGCATTTTAAGCTTTCCATCTTCAATCCGTCCATTTATTCATTCTTCCGCCTCTGTATCATGCCTCCATACATCCCGGGACAGCTCCAGTCGCTACCCGTCTTACTTGCACCTCAGGATGCGATGCTAATCACCGTCTTCTGCGGATTAGTGAGTGTTATCCGTAAATGTCTACCATTGGGAAGCTCATTCTCTACAGGGCGCGCACATAATCTTTAAGATATGGGAGCCTATGCAATTCAGACTTGTCTCGGTGCTGCTGATTATTTCTCCTCTGCTCCTCTCTACACTGTTGATCCCCCACTATGGAGTCGTGTCGAGCATCCTTCACACCTTTTCCATCTACTTAACAACCCTTGCGACATCCATCATTGTTTACCGGCTCTCTCCATGGCATCCTCTCGCCAAATACCCTGGACCCATCCTCGCAAAAATCACGAAGCTGCACCACGCCCTGATTGTCCACACGGGCAAGCAGCACCTGCATATCAAGAGCCTGCACGAACAATATGGCGACGTCGTCCGTATCGGTCCCAACGAAGTGTCAATCCGCGACGTCTCGTGCATCCAGCCGCTCATGGGCGCGCAAGGCCTTCCCAAGGGACCGGGTGAGTAGCTCCAATACTGCACTCGACGCGATATTCTGCTCACCGTCACCACGCAGGCTGGAACGCACGTGGACTGTTACGGCCTATTCCAACCCTGGTCGGCATCCGAGACCCTGCCGAGCACGCTCGACGCCGAAGGCCCTGGAACCGCGCTTTCAACACGAACGGAATCAAGGAGTTTATGCCCGCGGTTCAGAGCCGTGTGCACCAGCTCGTAGAGCGTCTGGGAGAGCGTGAGGGCCAGTCCATCGATCTTGCGGAATGGTTTAGCTTCTTCACGTATGACTTTATGGGCGACATGATGTGAGTGTTTGTGTTCCTTTGAGCTCAGAATCTAGAATGTGTACTGAGGCGTTTGGACAGCTTTGGTGGATGGACGGAGATGATGCGCGACGGGGGAGATGTAAAGGGGCTGTGGCATTGCGTGAGGGATGGGCTACGGTACGCTCTTCACTCTATTCTGGTGTGAACGCAGCTAACTGCACGCACTTTAGTGCTGGCTCCATTCCGGAGCATGTGCCCTGGATAGCTTACTATGCGAAGAAAGTTTCGAGCGTAGTTCGCAAGGCGTTAGAGTTGAGCTACATGGGCGACTCTCGCGCTCAACAGCGGTATCAGCAAGGCTCGACATCCAAGGACCTTTTCTACTACCTCGTCAGTGGTGTTCTTCTCACGGTGGAATTATTATTGACGCACCACTACCAGAGCAACGAAGATGGCTCAGAGAAAGTGTCGCCTTCACCCGCTGTTGTTACCTCCGACGGTGTCCTCGCGCTCGTCGCAGGTTCGGATACTACGTCCAGCGTCCTCAGCAACCTGTTCTACTGTCTTCTGCGCAACCCTGTATCATACAAGCGTCTGCAGGAGGAGGTCGATAAGTTTTATCCACCCGGAGAGAACTCGCTCGACCCCCGTCACATCAACGACATGCCATTCCTCGAGGCTGTCATGTAAGTATCATACAAAACCTCTCGTTCGCAATAGCCTGACATTCTGGCTAGCAACGAGGCGATGCGTCTCTACCCGGTTATCCCGAGCGGTAGCCAACGTTCCCCGGAGAAGGGCAAAGGCGGCAAAGCTGTCGGCCAATAGTACGTGGATCCAATACTGATAGGGTGTAGCAACTCACGAAGTGCCTCTGCAGCTACATCCCCGAGGGCAGCCAAGCACGCATCCACTTCTGGTCTGTCTTCAGAGACCCGCGCAACTTCTCGCACCCGGACACGTTCTGGCCGGACCGCTGGCTCATTATCGAGGGTCTCCAGGAGTCACCGGAGAAGATCACGCACAACGCGAACGCGTTCATCCCCTTCTCGTTCGGCCCCGCGAACTGCGTAGGCAAGAACATCGCACTCCAAGAGATGCGCGTTGCAGTGACACACCTGATGCAGAAGCTCACAGTGCGCTTCGCAGACGACTTCAACCTGGACGAGTGGGACAGCCAGATCGAGGACCAGACCGTTATGCAGCTAGGCAAGCTGAAGGTCGTGGTCGAGCGCAGGGACTGAAATTGTAGCATGTACCGATGTATATACTGGGAAGGACGCTGAGCTTCGCCTTCGTGGCGTCCGGCAGTGCTGATATGCTTTCCTCCGCACCGCCCGGAGTTGCCCTTTCGGGGCCGTAGCATGTTCCTGAGTCTTAGTTGGAGAAGTGGAATTTGGTACGGCATTAGTTTCGAATCATTTGTCGAACCCGCATGCTCGCCGTATGACACCCCTCCCATCCCCTCCCCCGGGAGAGTCAACAATCTTTAAAACCAGGTGAGGGCGTGTTAGCGTCGCTGTTCCACGGAGACCGAGTGTACTGAGAAAGGCCAAGGTCGAAAATAGCCATAGAACCGCAGTGTTATGTCCTTCGTACACTATTAGGCCATAGGAAAATCCTCGAAGGCGCCCTGCCCGAAGCGGAAGAAGCTAATGGTTCCAGCGTCGACGACAGCAATGACAGCCATTTTCTTTCCCGCCTTCAAAACCGCGAAAGGGTTGACCTTCCTGTTTGTCGGTGCACGCACCGTCGGAGAGAATGCCCAAGAGAACAGCCGCTCTATCAGCGACTGAGAAACAGCAGTGCTATCGCCTTGGCGGCCGACAGCAAGGGGTGCTGGTTTCTCTGGAATGACTGTTCGTTTTCGAGGGGCTGGTGGAGGAAGCTCAGGCAGAATGTCAAACAAGTCGTTGAGCTCTGTGAGTGATGGCATCGAAGTCGTCCTCGCACTACGATACAAGCTCCCTCAGCCAGCATCTCTACGGCTGCAACGGATCACTCACTTGACAACGACGACTGAGAAGTCTGGTGACGGCGGGGCAGTTTTCTTGAACGGTGTAGAGGGTTTGTAAAGATTGTAGAAAATCTGGTAAGGCGAAGGGTTGGTAGGTCGTTTGACATGCAGCGGAGCGTGATGGCCCGAGGTCAAAAAACGTAGCGACTTGTAGATAGATGCTGGGACCAGTCTCTAGTGAGCGATTGTGATGAAACAGAGCTGTTACTACTCACGATAACTGAGGTTATGATGGAGCCAGCGACTGAACCAGATCGGCCTCCACCAATCGAACTTGGCTTTGAACGAGCTCAGAAATCGAGTCACGGGCGATATCAAAGCGGTAAAACATCGAGTTAAGAACGTGTCTGTTTTCGCTTTTGGGTGATCGAATGGCGCCGCCGCAGGATACGCGTCGGAAGGAGGTCTTGTTCGCGTGACAACGTACCCTAAACGCTTTAGGTAGGCGTAAACCTAAGAATATGGATCAGATATCGCATTAGAGGCTCCTCGCAGGCGACGCCATTACCTGATACTTCTCTAAAGTCAAGTCTTCCTTTCCAATCATCTCTACAAATGCTTGCTGTACTGTCATTGGTACGCCTTCCATATCTTCGAGATCAGACGTGAGCACGTTATCGTTCCAGCAGAACATGCTGCCCCTTTCGACCAAATATAAGGCCTCTTCGGGAAGTAATTCCAGTCGTTTGGTGAGCTTCATGTCGCCTCCATAATCATCTGTGGATCTTGCTACCGAATGGCCCATGTTCGTGAAGTGAATGCCTCGAGCAACAGTTATATGCGCCCGAGCAATCTCTGGATGCCAGACGGCATAGCTAATTGATTTACTGCATGCTTGACCATGTCAGATGCAAATTATAACAGAAGAGCACCTAACGCACCTGGATGTCATTCGAGTAGCTTTTAGGGCGTCCAGCATAGCAAAACGCGCCCGGTCCAGTGTATGTCTTTGCAGACCGGATCCTCCACTTGTCTTCGGCTCGAAGTCTTTCTCGCCTCGTTTTGGGATCACTGGACGAGCCACAGTTCTGAACCACAGAGCTCAATATCTGAATAAATGGTTCGAAGGTGATGCTTGTGACGCACGGAAGTTTCGTCCAGTCAGGACCTTCGTCCTCGTCCCCGGAAGACTGCCCGTCGTCCTCTCCCGCTCTCTTCTCTGCAGTGGGAATAATAGCGGCATCTGGCTGTTCCAGATTGTCGTCCATATTTCATAGCAATGCTTCTGAATGGGAATAACCTGGAGCTGGTCGAATCGCTAGAGTCAAGTTGCCACAAGCGCGCACGAAATCCCGCCGATCATGTTTGATGCGCCATTCCTCATTTGGGCGCTGAATTTTCGGACGCGACAGCACTTTCCGTTCGGTACGTCTTCTAGCTCTCACTCCCTTCCACCGTGGCTCGAGAGCTTGAAGGTCTTCCCATTTAAGATTACCATGGCGAGGCGACACGGCGGAAAAAATAGCAAGTCTCGCTCGCAGCCTCGCGGGGTCAATCCTAAGGATGCTAGAATAAAGCGCTGGAACAGGGCCGAAGACATCCCAATGAACGGAGAGGACGAATGTATGCAAAGTGCTTCTTTCATTGACATGCCAACTTAACTTGTCTGTTATTAAGTCCATGCTGCAAGGGACCAAATTCTCCTTGACGGGGAGGATTTGAGGTCGGATGACGAGGGCGATGAGGAAGAAGTCTTCGCTCTGAAGGGGATTCCGAGCGACTCGGAGGGCGAAGACGAAGATGAAGATGAGGGGGAAGAAGAGGACCCTGATGATATACACCCCGAGCCTGGCCCATCTGTTGTGAGACAGAAGAAGGGTAAACAGACCTCGAAAGTTGCCGCATCCTCCGACGAGGAATCTGAATTAGACGAGGAGGAGGAAGCCTGGGGCAAATCCAAAGCTGCTTACTACTCATCAAATGCGGCGGAACTGGACTCTGAGGATGAAGAGGCGAACGAGATGGAGGAGCAGGAAGCACGGCGGCTGCAGGCAAAGGCCCGAGATGTCATGGCTGACAATGACTTTGGCTTGGAGGACTTTATGGAGGGAGAACCAGGGGCAGAAGAGTACGTGTATCTCATTGCACACTCAATGTATCCTAATCATTTTATCAGGGAGTTCACAGAGCTCGCAGCGCCCGTCGTTCAGAAGATCCCGGAGGATAAGGGAGCGCGTTTGCGGCATCTGGAGAAAACAAGCCCTGAAGCTTTAGCTCTCGCTGGCGACTGGGATGACGCTGCTCGTGCTCTTATTAAGACACAGGCGAAGGTGGCGATGTGCATATACTCTGTTACCGTTATTCTTGGCAGAGACTTACTGTTAAATATCACAGACTGGAGAGCGAAGACCTTCTGGACAAGATCAGCACGGGTATGCTGCATCTGTATTATCGTGAGTATCTGTTCTTTCCACGAATGTTAAGCCATCCTAATATCGCGTAGAGGCCCTTCTGCAATACGCCACTACACTTGCATTCTACCTTTACCTCCGTGCCTCCGCGAAGTATGCCCAACATCCAGAACTGCTCCGAGCACATCCCATTATGAAGCGCCTCCTCACCTTTAAGCAGTCGATAGCGACGCTGGAGGAGCTCGGCGTCAATGATGACAATGACGACGAGGATGACGATGACCTTGACCTGGAGGACGAGGACGACCTCGGTTTGGCGGGCAGAATCCGCAGCATCAGTGCCGAAGAATTGCGGATGCTGCTCGCGGACATGGAGGCAGTCGCGTCCACGAGTCGTCCGCGCAAGAGCGATGAAACTCGGATTGAAAAGCCCAAGAAGACGACGAAAGAGGCTGCACCAGAGCAGCCACCAAAGAAGCGGCGTAAAACGGCATCTGATAGTGGTGCCAAGGCCACGCTGCCCGTGTTCGATCTCGAGGAGCCCGAGTTCCCCGCAAAGCCCAAAGTGTCCTCGCGCGCATCACGCACGGTCGACACAGATGCGTACGGCGAGCCTATCGCGCTTCAAGCCGTGGACGCGCTCGACAAGGCGGCACGTAAGAAGTCGCTTCGCTTCCACACGGCGAAGATCGAAAGCGCGTCGGCACGGCGCGAGCGTGCGCGTGCAGCTGCTAGCGGCGATGATGACATCCCGTGGAAGGAGCGCAAAAGGGAGAAGGAGCTCCGGAATAAGAAAGAGGTTGAGAAGACACGCGGTATAGGCGGTGCAGACCTCGATGACGAGGAGCCCGAGTTGAGGCCGGCGCCGGGCAAGAAGCGGAGGAGAGACGAGGATGGAAGCGGGAGTGGCGACGAAGCGGAGGGGTATTACGACCTTGTCCAGCGCAAGTCGAAGGAGAAGAAAGAGAAGAAGAAGGACGAATACGAGGCTGCTGTTGCGATGGCAAAGTACGTTTTCATCTCAAACGCATATACTGAGCTGTTGCTGACCGCCACTTCTCAGAGAGGGTATGATTACAAACGAGACCGCCGAGGGGCCCCGCGGAGTGTCACGAGCGATCCTCAAGAACAAAGGCCTCACACCACACCGCTCGAAGAGCGTGCGCAACCCACGTGTCAAGAAGCGGCAGCGTTACGAGCAGGCGAAGAAGAAGATCGCCTCGCAGAAGGCGGTCTACAAGGGAGGCCTCGCTGCGACCGGCCGGTACGATGGCGAGAAGTCTGGTATTACAAAGGTCATCAAGAGCGTCAAGCTATAATAGCTCGCGTCTGTCCATGTTATTGCACGCTTTCGCGTGGCTGTAGCGTAGAATGCGAGAGCAGTGTAGCCGCACACAGATCTGCTAGCCCTACAATCATAACGTCAAAGTGATGAAGGCAACACCCAGGGACAGCATACAGAAAAAATACTGTTCAAATAAGGCGAGACAAATCGATAAATAGCAGTCCATAGGGACGAAGCGACAATAGTAAGGAGGTCAAAGGGAGATAGAAGTTATGCGCGATATCCGCCAGTCAGAGTGTCGGAGTTGAAGTGCACGGCTATGCCTTCGTCGTTCAGCGGCAAGCTGTCTTGGGCGGACCCTGGTCGCAGCACCGAGGCCATATGGTTTAGATCGAAATCGCCTGCTACCGCCTGCGTGTACTGTCGATTGATGTCGTTGGCCTGCTCCATGCACTCCTCGTACGCATATGCGTACTGCTGGAGACCCTTGATACAGTTCTCGACCTCTGGACGTCCAAGGCGCGCGAGAAGAGTGCCGGCCTGGATGATGCTAACGTGCATGACGGCGCAGTCGAGGCGCTGTGAAAAGGTTCAGCCACTTTTTGATGCGCAGAGATGAATATCATACCAGATAGCCATTGGTGCTCAACACGCCCGCCTTGACGGACGTGAAACGGTCAGACTTGCCGAACACTCGTCAGGAAGGGTTACTCACCAGGCCCGCGATACGGAGGGCTCCGTGCAACGCGTCGTCGCTGACCTTCTTCTTGATGGTCTCGATTTGGGAGTAGCTGGGGTGCTCGTGACCGGGGCTTCCCGTCCGCACGATATCATTCACTTCTCTGATGCCAAAGTCATCGAGGGCGTTGAAGATAACAATCCACATGATATGGTACGTCGCATCGCTGGCGCCTGTACGCCACCGGCATTAGAAAATGTGCGATAACACGCAACATGAAGCAGGCACGTACAAGCAGATACGGCGCTAACAAAATCCCAGTCGGCGGCAAAGTTGCTGGGCACGCCTACGCGCTGGAGATGCTCGTCTTTCCACTCATTGAGGAGCGTAATGAGATTGAGGAGCACGTCCATCGGGATGCCGTCAGACTCTGTGGCCGGTCGCCACAGTTGACGGGACATCTGCCGGGCGACACGAGCGAGCGCATGTGCGGAGCGGTAATAGCCCTGTGATAGTGAGGCCATGTGAGGAAGCGCGGGCGTGGCGCCTGGGAATGGGCAAATACGCACCAGAAACTGCGCAATCGGCCGTATGTCAGTGAGAGTAGCAAGGAGTAGAGCAGGGATGGTATTCACCTCTAATTGCTCCCTGACTGACGGCGACGGCGCATGCGATTCCACCAAGCCCGCGGGCGGCACAGGGCCGACAGTGTAGAAGTCGATGTCATAGTCGTCATCATCCCTGCCCATTAATACGGACACACGTTGGTAAGACTCACACGGAGTATCGTACGACTTACAACATGGGTTTTCGCCTGTAGTACACGCTGCGGTACGCGTCCGACAAGCACGCCATCCACCATGCGAAAATCATGGTGCCCCTTGCCTCGGAGTCTTCAATGTTTGACATAACCGATTTGTGGTTAATCTACACAAATACGAGATAATTAGCTTCCCTGATTTCGTTCGGTAAAAGAACAGCCGCAGCACCACAACATTCCCGAGACCCACCTGGAGATCCAGCAGCAGACGAATTGCCGAAAATAGCCAAAACCCATGAAAGCCTATCAGCCGAAGATGTCAGATATACGGTCGTGGCGTTTCGCTGCGCAAACTAACCGTTTGAGTCTTCCGGATTCTCTGTTGCCGGTCGGGGTGGTGAGATACAACAGCGGACATTACGAGATGCCAAGAACGTTACTCACGGTTCTGCATCGGCTCAATTAGCAGCGCGACGACGACGTGGTCAGCATTTGGCACACGGTGGACTTTGAGGTCCTCTGCCAAGTCGCGCGTGCGGTTGATAAGCGTTTTGGCTAACGAGCTCTGCCCTCGGTTGCGTTCCCTATCTTTCACCAACAGCGGGTGCTCAGAGAATTTTGCGCCCCAGGAAATGACGGTCGCTACCAAGCTGATTGTGGTAGAACGTGGTATTAGCGCAGATAGCGGCGGGCGTGTAGTGCGCGACTCACGCATTGTGTAGAGGCTTGTTGTTGGAGCTTTGCCCCGATGAGAAGCCATTGGCATCTGGGGACGCAGAACCGAGCGGGTTGCGAGTTTGCAAGCCGTACTGCAGACGTGCTCGGAACTGAGCTGGGTTGAGCAGAGGGAGACGAGTGTGGACAATTTGGAAGAAAACTTCGACCAGGTCGAACGTAAAGCTGCGACGATCGTGAGTATATGCAGTGAGAAATGAGCGTACAAAACGGAGATAGAAGCCCAGACGCACTCTATACGAAACGTCTCGTTCTGCAGCTGATGAGCAAGCTCACCCCATTCTGCGTAGGACTCGTACGATTCTGATCCGGCACGTGGCATCTTCATATTGGATGGCCTGGAACTAGGGCTAGCCGTGCGATCACTACACGCATACAATCAGAGTTGAGCGCGCTGTCGCAAGAACTGGACGAACCTCGGATCCGGTGACGAGAACAGATAAGCAAGGAGGTCCTTAGTCGACGTTTCAAGCGTGATTCTTCCATTCCGTTGCGGTTGCAAGACAGTTACTGGGGGATAGGGGTGTATACGGGCTGATCCAGACGCGTCACTGAAGACGGTACATGAACGGTCAGGCTTGGCACAGCGGTGAAATCGCTTACGAGCGTATTGGTCCTGGTCCTGGCGAGGTATGACTGATCGGGCTTAGGATGATATGGATACAATAGCCGCGCAATAACCCACCTGTCATTGCTGAGTGTGCGTGGACGCTTGACGGCACTGCGTTTTTTCTCGGATGTGGCTTGCTGGACATAATGTCTGCACACGTATTGAGCGCTGGAGATGCGACGGGGGAATGCAGAGACGTACGTGCAGGGATAGTTTTTGGCTTGACAGTGCTAGACGCGACTAGTGAGCTACTGTGGTCACTTTTGAAGTAAGAGCGATACCTGGCACTGTAGAACGGTCAGCAAGCATTACAGACAATGCCGCAACGGCATCGAGCGCACCTTGTCTTGTCCGGGAAGCTGATAACACTTCACCTTGCGGGACCTGTAACACCAGTCGCAACAGAGTGATGAGCCCCTTCACAGAGACACAGGGGCCGGCGACATATACCTGCACGCATCACAAGCAGTGTTCTGCTTTCTCGGGGGAGGCAAAGTCTTCGCGAGCTCGTGTATTTGATTCTGAATGGAGGGGGTTGAGAAGTTGAAGCCTGGTGGATGTGCGGTTCCAAGCGGTTAACGAGAGCAACGGGCGCGCAAATGACGGCGGTATTACCGGTCGAGGACGAGGGAGTATTCGTCTGGCTGCCGCTTGGCTTGTCCATGGCCGGTAGGAGATGGTAGGCGGAGGAGAAGGTGGTTCAGGACAAATGGGCCCGGCCTTGAAATAGTAGTTCGCTACTGTAAGCCTTTCGAAACAGCGAGTTGATTCGGCACCGAAACAAGCGCCGTCATTACGCTTGTTGATCAGGGCGAAGCTAATTCACTGAACCCGATTCATTGACGACATACAATGCACTCAACATGCTACGATAAACAGCTGCGACTGCTACAAAGGACTACCAAGGACAGGCCAAGCGGAATATTTTCGTGATTTGTCGCGCCGGTTGTGGCGACGGGGTGGGGCGAATCAGGAACAGGGATCCTCGGGGTCTGTGCTAGCCCCGCCGTTGATGGCGAGTCTGACAAACCACCGTGACACGATAAGGCGCTTAGCATCTGAAGCTTGACTCAGGCTCCGAGCGGAGGCCTCAGGAACTCGGAGCATCATGCACTTGTGTCAATTTTCTGGGCGCAAGTGCAAGACCAGACAGGACCTCCACTCTACGGTGTTCACACAAATGGAAAGCATCTCCCAAAATATGGTGCGAAGTAGACGACTTCTCACTCGGAAAGACGGTAGGAGCCTAAATCTGACTAGGCCTGACTCCTGCATCGTTTCAAGCATTGCAGCGCACCCCATGGGCTCTACGTTATGCAATATCACACAGGATTCAGCACGCGAAGAACTACAAATTCTTTGTCCATGTTTTGTTGCATGTGTGGCACGCCGGCAATATGTGCGTACATTCGCTTCCGAAGGACCACGCTTAGCGCAATCGCAGCGTGTTCAGCGTGGTCTGTCAACTTCCAAAGCCGCAGTGCAGTGTGACTCAAGATTCCAATCTGTCAAAGTAACGAGAGCGAACACGAGCAGGGTGCTCGCGAACACGCCCTTCTCGATGAGAATATACGCAACTCTAGCCGGGTCTATGATGCCTATGTCCATCACGTGGGGCATAGTCAACCTGCATAGTTCGCCGAATTGCTGTGCGCCAACATAGTCGATCTTCTACGAGCAAGAGCAGAGTTTCAGGAACTGAGGTACAAGTGGTCGAATTTCGGAAGAACCACTCAAACGCGGCAGACCGCGTGTTTATAGGGATCCAATGCGGTTTTAAGAACGCAAATACATAAGGAAGACTTACGTGTCAAGCATATGGTAAACAAGCAGATGCTATCCAGCAGAGACCAACAGAGTGTCAGGAGGCTGGGGAAACGAGCATGCATGGATTGAGCGGGGCGTGACGAATTTCGAGTACTGCGGAGGATCCGAGATAGAGGAAATACAGTAGGAGACAGAATGCGACGTGGGTGTAGTGTAAGAGACATGTCCAACTAAGGACAAACGTCATGGAGTGTGCGAAGGTGTTCAGAAGCCGGGCGGGACGATACCCTTTTGTTGGTTCTGGCTTGGTTGCGACCCAGGCGGAGCAGGGTACATGGAGGGTGCCATCATCTAAACGAAGAAAAAGGCGAGTGTCAGTATGGGAACTTGACGGCAGGAAAGCATGGTAGGACGGTGCGTCCACGCTGATGCTGGACAAGCCATTCGCAGGCCAACTATATGCCAAGCGGTACATACCTGCTGCGCACCCTGCTGCTGTGCGAGCATCTCCTTCTCTTGTGCCACAATCTTGGCCTCATCCTCAAGGCTGAGCGCGAGAGGCAGTCCCACGAGGAGAGCGCTCGTCGTGACTATCCAAACGAGGTTTCCGACGAGCTTGCCACCCGACTTGAAAAAGCCCGCTGCGTTAGCAACGCGAGAAGAGATCTTGTGGCGCGTGGTGGGGGGCACGATGTCGACGAGGGCTCTCAGACGATCGTAAAACGTCTCCTCGCCATCCGGTTCTGACCCAACGGAGGAAAGCGAGACGGAAGATGACGTGCGCGAGGACGAAGGCGAAAGATAGGGAGAGTTAGTAGCATCTTGGTCGCGCTCCTCGACGATTTCTACCTTGACCATGCTGAACGACGAAGGTGACGATGGCGGCAAGCACGACGAACGGTGCGGAGTCGGGTTGTTGATGTTCGGCCAAATTTTGGCAGGGGCGCTACAATAAGTCCATCTATAGGTTAACAGAGAGTCTGAAGTGAATAGTTAAATAATCTCTCCCGCTCCCGCCTATAGCGCACTCTCAAGGTTTGTATAGAACGAAGTCAGCTCAAAGCCAATAAACTTCTAATAATCTAATGCTTTGTGCAGCCAGCCGTTTCAGCACCACAGTAATAATCTCCATCGCTTGGCCTGAGAAGGCGCGTTTGGAATGACTGTCCCTGGGGCCTGAGGCAGGCTCTTGCCCTTGGCACATGTGTTGGGCCACCCTCGTCTGCCCCTTCTATCGGACCACGGCGAACAACTTCTCGATCTACGGGGCTGAAAACTCTCATGTGCTTGCTTAACACGACGCAGAACAACCTCCACCTAGTTCTCCCGGAATCCTGCTGCTAGGAGCACCCGTTTCGTGGCCCAATCCCTGTCTCCACCTCCGCCCACAATTACCCACCGTTGTTTTCTGACGGGACTCAACTTCCCTTTGCACATAAATTAACAGAGTCTGGACCGTACCCTCGAGGGTACCTTGCGCAGCCCTCCTTCGCAAGCATCCCATACAAATGAGCAACGGCGGTCCAATCGCTTGCAGGCCGCCAGGCTGCTTTAAAAGCTCCATGGACCCATATGGCCATGCATAGTTCATGGGGCGCGGAATTTCCCGTGAGTTAAACGAGCTTGTATTCTGAAGCTGTCTATATTAGAGACGGCTAGCGAGCGGTGCGTCCTATGAGAACTCGTACTGCAAACGCGGAAGGTGTTGTCATTTGGTCAGTTAAAGCCTGACCTCGTGATCATAGTTAATGCTTACCGGAGACTCGCGAGAAGGCGGCAGGACGACAGGACGAACGTAGTTCTCCCTGCGCGAGTGAATGGGTGAGAAATGGCGCGGACAGGATTCGGCCGGGATAGACTTACGCGGAGCGGTATCTCCTCAGGTACAGGATCGCGCTGTCCTCAATCTCCGTCGGCTCCACGCCAACCTTGTCCCAATCGCCGGGAACCTCGGTGTCGCTGATATACCGCCGCTCAACTTCATCCGGGCTCAATGCGGGCCACCAGATATTCTGTGCTGCCCGTGCGGAGAGCAGCGCAATCTGCTTGGGTACGGTAGGAGCGCGCGACGGCGGCTGGCAGGTCACAGAGGAGACAAGAGCGAGCAGATACTCGTAGGTGAGCGTCGAGGGACCGGGAAGGTTGAGCAGACCAGGAAGCGAAGGAACTTCAAGGATATTGGTCAGAGCCTGGGCGACGTCCATAACCTACAAAGCTCGATGAGTCTAGAACTCCCAGGGTTATACGTTCAAGCTACATACATGCACTGGCCGAATTTTCGTCTTCATATGGTTCAGCTTCCACCAGATAGGCCAGACTAAGGTTAAACGTTTAAGTCGCGCCCCACGGGACCTCACGTGAGGACACTCACTAGCCATATTGTTCAAGAACCTGTCCTCGTAACCGTACATTGCGGCCGGACGGACAATGGTTGCACCGGGATATGCCGCCTTCACCTTCTCTTCGCCCTCAAAACGTGACTTGTAGAATGTCGAAGTAGTGTCGAGCGAAGCATTGAGATGGGAGACTTGAATGAAACGCGGAACTCCGGCTTGCGCAGCAATCTTCGCGATGCGCTCTGCGCCGTCTACATGAACATCGCGAAACTTGAAGTTCCTGCAGGAGTGATTCAGCTCATTCCGCTTGACAAACGCAGCCGTAACTTCACACACTTGGTCTCGTAGTCGCGTCCAACAAGATTGTATACGGTGTCGGAATGTCTGAGGCACTCCTCGATCTGGTCGGCACGACGGAGGTTCCATTCCTAAAGAATAGTGCGTATTGCCGTTAGCGAAAGCGGACGGGACGCGTCGGGTGGTGCAACGTACCATGGGTACGATCTGACCGAGATCCCCCATGGGCTTCAAGTGCCTCTTCTCATCCTCATCGCGGTATGGAACAATAATTTGGCTGCCCGCCTTGGCTGTCGACCCCGGATCGTTAGGGTCCGGTAATGACGCAGGAACGAGTGTTTCAACGCACCGAGCTTTGCCACTAGATAACGTCCAAGGAAACCTGTGCATCCAAAGACAGTTACAACATGGCCGGTGTCCGCGCTTCGCCCCGGCGGGCCATACGAGATAACGGGCTTGTTGGGGAGGCTGAGTAGGTCGTGTATCGCGCGCTGCCAGTCGAATGTACGCGCACATAAATAAGCTATAATAAGCGGCGAAACGGCAGGCGACAAACCGTCTGCGGGGCAAGTACCTTTGGCTGGACACGACGCGCAGCAACTGCCAACATCGTGCTGGCCAATGTGGGGTATGAGTTGTGCGTTGTGCAAGTCGTGCCCGACGCTGGGCCGACCGGAGAACCCCGAAAGCGAATCATAGCCGCCCAATTTTGCCAGCCCTTGCCTCAAACCCTCATCTGCCCGTCCAGCTGCAGGATGGTTCAAGGCGCACCGAAAGGCTTGCAGAACAAGAAAGGGCAGTCGTCAAGACAGGTGGCCAAGGCGGCGGCGCAGACCAAGAAGGGTAAGCGTTATGTTGCACCAAAAAAAACGGCCGCAGTGAAGAGTGCGGCGCTGCACAAGGTGCGGGTCCACAATCGACATATCACTGATAAATTGCTCAGATTTGCTCAGGAGCTCAGTGCGAAGATTAACAAGAGTATTGAGCAACAGGTCGCTGCTGCTGCCTCAACTGGCAAGCTGACTATCATGAAGAATGTCGCGATGGAAGGGTACGCTGAGCCTATATTTTTAATGCCTTGCAGGGTTTGACTATGTGACACAGCTTGTCTGAAAAAGACAAGGCCAAAGTCAAGAAGTAAAGTCTTACCCAGCGACCATACATGTCCGTCTACAAGGGATTACAAGACAAAGCAGCATATATGCGTCCAACCACGAATAATTGCTGTCTCTTTGCTTTCAAGGCTAGCCGGATATCTCTGCTTATCTAGTTGGATAGGGCACCCCCAAGAGATGCTGCCGTGCATGTGATGTTGCGTTCGGACTGCGGCGGAATGGCAACGAAACGATGCAGATGGTCAGTCCGCAATAGACTCCATGCATGAACAGAGTCCAATCAGGTTCCTGTAGCTGCATTTGCACAATGCAACGAGCGTGCGCCGGAATTTGATCATGCTGGTGTCTCGACGCCGTTGAATACGTAGTGAAACCGTGTCGCAGAGGGTATACTAGTCCGTAGTTGGAAACATATCTTGCGTCTGTACCTACAGCATCCAAACTATCTCTCTTAACGGCTCAAGGCTCAGCGTAGCTGGAAATTACGCCAGGGATCCCGTCAGAATACTCAGATGGATCGCTGAGTCGCTGAATGCTATGCCGGATCGCAAGCCGATCTGAATCGACTTACACGCTGCAGCCGGTTTGGGGAGGGACACGAACATCCGCACCAGCTGGCACGTTTTCTTGCCCATTCACTGCCGTTTCAAGTGCTGTTTCGCAAGCAGTAGCCACCAACAACAAAAGCGTCGCTTCGACAGATGAAAGCGTCGTGAACAAGGACAATGGAAACCGTTCAACTGCAAGCGCACTACGAAGACCGGTATCGCAGCATTCGCCACGATTTCGAGCCTTTGAGTGGCTCGTCCACCCTTCCGTTTCCTTCTCGTAGTGTTATGGCATGGCGAGCAGGCGATAATTCGTACACTACTCCGCCCCCAACCGCTTCGGGCCAGGTGCCACTCCGCTACACATATCCCCACGACTTTCCCAGCCACAGCTACAATACTTCAACCGAACCATCTCCTACGTTTCGACCTCCTGTGCAGACGTACGAAACAGATCCTGCCGCTCAAACTCTCCGGGAGAACAGTCCAGGCAGGATGAGTGCGCGGGACGGTCAGGGACAAGCACGTCCTAGAGATCGCATACCGTCGGACGAGGGCTACGCCGTGAGTATGTCCTCTCTTGCCTCGCCAGCACGCTCCTGAAACTCGTCTAGTCTCATGAAGTCGTTGATTGGGAATACCCTACTCGCGACAACACCCCGGAGTTATCGAACACGGACCAGCTCATTAATGTTGCAAACTCAGCTTACAGACGACATTCGCAGGACAGTCTCGAGAGATCTGTGCCCGAAGTGCACCGTTACTCTCCGTACCATGTTCCTTCCCATCCTCGCCACGACTCCACCTCGGACCACCGCTCGGCGTCTCCTGCCCCCAGCATGGCCTCAAATGGCACCTCCTCAGCCTCCCGCAGCTCCGTTGTGCAGTCCACAGCCGTCGAAAGCATCGTCCCTACTTCATCTCGCAGGCATCGCAAGCGGCGCCTCTACACCGTAGACCGCCGTTCCATCTGCGTCATGGCCAAGGAGAACCCTCACCTCCGCCAGGAAGACATCGCGCAGCACTTCAATGTCGAGCGCAGTACCGTCAGCAAGATCCTCAAGGAAAAGGTTCGCTGGTTGTCTACCCCTGCCGAGCCTACAATCAGAGTATCCAAGTACAGGTACGTACTCGAGCGTTATCGTCTCCTCGAAAGTTACTTAACTTTGTTGGTATGCAGACTCGCCAAGTTCCCACGTCTCGAGGCCGATATGAAAGCCTGGGTCGTGTCTGAAAGCGCAGCTGGCTTGATCTTCACCGACGCCATGATTCGCAACAAGGCCAAAGAGCTTAACGTAAAGTGGAAGTACGAGACCGAGGGCAAGTTTAGAGCTAGCCCTGGTTGGATCGAGAATTTTAAGACCCGCGTTGGTATCCGCAAGGGGCGATACATTGGCAACGGCACGAGCGAACAAAAGGCTAATGCGCAGGGTGTCCCAGTCGACTGGAATAGATGGCAACAGCCGCACGAGCCGCAGGTGGCAGATACCGGTTCATCTTTAAGCAACCAAAGCAATACTAACCAGGCCAGTCCGACCCCCGTCCTTCCGCAGGAAATGGAGCCGCAGCCGCAACCAGTGGTCTGGCAGCAGGAGCAGCAGTCCGCAGACACGTGGTCGCAGCAGCAGACGACCTATGCTGTCCCCGAACCGGTCGTTTCAACATACGATACAATGGCCATCGCTAACCCGGCCGTCGGACCCCCGCCTGCCTATGGGCAGGAGCAAGCTGTGGTTCAAACTCTGCCTGTTGAGTTCGCCGCCGCCGGAAGTGGCGGGAACGGCGGAGACGGCATGCAGCCTGAGGAGTACCACCCAGATGAGGGATGCGCACAACCTGAGCAGACCGCGGACCCCAGGCTCAACACTTTAAACGCCGTCAGCGTTATCTTGCACAACACCGATTTCCAGCGCAAATTCGACCTGAGTGCCGATGACAACGACACGTTCATGAATATCCTCCGCATGATGCGGGTGTGGATCGGCGGTACGGATTACGTCCGTATGTAGGCTTACCGCGCTGCCGCCTTTGCATTAGACTTTAATTGCTTCCTCGACATCTCCCACAACGGACATCCTCATATTCCATCTGCATTGTCTCCACTTCCGCATCATACAAGCATCGTCATACAACATAGCAAAGTACACTTTTAAATTCGCTCATGCATGCATTGTACTCCGGTCATAGCATAACTTAGAACGCAATATCTACGATACGCACGCTGTCGCTGGTAGATCTGTGGCATTGTAAATTTTGGTCCCGTCCGTGTTCGTATTAACAGTCATGTCGTCCAGTCAGATGTTTGATGCCTGGGTCGACCACTATACATTACTCAATTGAGAGCCGCGCCTTGCAGTTGATACTTGCGGGGACTCTGTTACGCGGCCGCCACGAGGCTTCGGCATCGTAGGTACAACCAGGGCAAATATATTACGAAGTTCCTTTAACTTTCATTTTAGCGTGAAGTGAGGCTTGTCCATTCTGCGTTAGGTCATCTTACTGACTCCGGTCCAGCGACGACATGTATTCTCCAGACTCCATTGAGCTGCTCCAGAAGTCTGGGATCGACTTACAGCGACATGAGGAGATGGGAATAGAGCCTAATGACTTTGCGGAGCTGATGATAACGTCAGGGCTGGTGCTTGCGGAGGAAACGATATGGATCTCGTTCCACAGGTCAGTGAAGATCCGTTTGTCTCGGCTAGGGCGCGCCCTCGGGCGCAGAATCGACCTGGTCCTGCTCTCGATCGCCGGCTATATGCGGCTTGCAATGTACTGATGACAATTTACAGTGGCTACGATTTTGGATACTTTGTCAAGCTCCTGACCGCAGAGTCGCTACCAACTAGTGAAGAACTGTTCTTCGAGAAGCTAAGGAAGTGGTTCCCGACCACCTACGACATCAAGTTTATGATGCGGGCATGCAAGGTGCTGAAAGGAGGCCTGCAGGATGTCGCGGACGATCTGGGAGTACGTGTCGAATTTATCCATGTAAAGCAGATGGGTACTTAGGCCTTTCACAGGTGATGCGGATAGGACCGTCACACCAAGCTGGCTCCGATTCACTCCTAACGGCATCGACATTCTTCAAGATGCGGGAACTCTACTTCAACGACACTATCGACGACGCAGAGTATAACGGCAAGCTATATGGCCTAGGTCAGACGTTCACCGTCCCAAACGGCATAACGGAGACGGTCCGAGGCAGTGCGGCAACCATTGCGGAGCGAGAAGACCGGGGACCTGCGCGGGATATGCAGGGGCCCAGTGCCCAAGTTCAGATGATGGGCATGGCGGCGCTCACGACACCAGCCATGGCGGGCGCAATGCCTGCACCCTTACCGACTTCACCGTACGGGCCGTTGTCCAATGGTCCGTACATGAGGACAACAATGGTGGGTGGTGGGCGGTAGAATTGGGCAAGGTAGTTGTCCAGAGGATGTATCTTCTCGTCGCTCCTTTCTCTTGTTTTCTGCGCTTTCGCTCTCGCCAGGACTTAGCTGTGTCGCTGTGTATAACATCGAATCTTGTATCAAGTGGCGTACTTTGTAGTCTTGCCATGTCGACACGTCCTGGGGATAGTTCCCGTCTTCATCCGCTAACGTGATGCCGACTTGAATTATCTTGAGCAGGTCAACGTTACACCGCATCGTCTGGTAGTGGTAATCGGAGGAGGTCTTGAACGATCCAATTGGGCGCGCAACAACACCAGGAAATTCAGTATCCTGGCAACAGGATATGAGTTACAAGAGGTTCGCAAGTCGCAAGATCATGAATATTGACCATTGCGACGTAGGGGTATTTGTCGATGAGTTCCCGTATGTTGCGCATCTCGGCCTCGAGCTGCGGCGCCCATACCTCCCGTATTCGGGACATGTTGACCGAGCGATGTAGAACAATGGCAGTCCGGGATGGCTTCCGTCGAGTGTGCTGATACCGACGTCGTGGACTGAGGCAAGATGCGGAGGAGCACTAAGCGCGGACGCTGTGCGTCTAGGCTCGGGAAGATGGTGGGGCTCATCCTCCGAAGTGCGACCATGACCTCCTTTCATCATCCAAGAATTTAGAAACGATTTTTGTCTGGTCGCAAGTTGTAGGCAGTGGCTCTCACGATTGTCCTCAACAAAGGCTAACTATCGCTAAGGGAGAACACTTACACCTGATGACTAACCCCGTGCGTATTGCCGGACAAGCATATTCCAGACTCGCCTCGTACCAAGGGCCCCGACTTGGTAGTGGGAGGCGAGAATAGCATTATGAGGTACGGGAAACGCATGTGGTACTAAACGTCATACTCAGGGACCGCCGATACTCCTGTCTTTACCATCAAATGTAGCGCAACATATCGCACGAAGCAAGATGGTTACACGAGCCAATCTTCCGTATACACGCCGTAAGATTCGCCTGCCATACCGGCAGCGGTTTGCGCACAATGTACTGCGACTTCTGCCGAGCCATCGCGCCGGTGATGTTGTGCATGTGGTCTCGTGCCCGATTGTTCGAAGGGTCGGGCAAAGCCTTGCGCTGCCTGTCCTGTGCTAAATTGTCGGTAAGTAGCACAGGAGAAAGGTGGCATCACTTACCATAGATTTCTGGATCTTTCAGACCGGGAGGGTACCCGTCAGGGCTTTCCATGGGCAGCGATTATAGGAGCAAAGGCGGACGAGCGCGGAACGGCCCAGGTCAGCGCGCGCCCGCCTCCCGCCTCCCGCCCTCGTGCCTTTGCCGTCTCCTTCGGGACCGCTATCGCAGTCATCCATCGCAACGGTACTGCCCACGCCTGTCGCGTACTCGCGCCAGCACGACCAACAATCCCGTCTGCGAGGGGGCAACGACAGCGCTTCCGGAGTGAACGGCCCAATTTTGTCTCCGCGTCTTCCTCTTGTGCTCCGTTGAGCGGCGTGAGAAGTCCTGCCGTGATAGTTGACATGACGGATCTGAAATACACAGGTTCAGCCGTGTGCGGCACTTGCTAGGCGATAACTCTGACGATGGCAAGGTGTGCTCCGTGCTCAACTCTTATATACACGGTGACAAGGTCCTACAAATGTCTGTTATGCCCATAAGGTGGGCATGAAGTTTCCAGAGCCCTCGTTCGCATGCCGATTCCGCTCGTTGGCATCCAAACGTCCGGACAAGCGCGTACAGCTTCTTAGCCGAATTCTCAACAATTCGTCCTGAGCCCCGAAACCTTGCAAATAGGGTCGCAGGTCCCGAACGTGCTGCAGGAAATGAAGTGGCGCTCCGTCTGAGCTGCATGGCCGTCCTTCAGCATGCTGTTGTGTGCGCCTTCACCCTGAGGGGCAGGATGATTACCCTCCATAGCCCAGGAATGCGACCTCCCGAGCTAAGATGTCGCACGCATCCCACATGCTTCAGAAAGTCCCACGCAACATACAGAAGAGGACATATTAAAACGCGCGCAGGGCGGCGAGGTCGGTGACGGACCTACTTTGTGGCGCCGTCTGCTACCAAATATGGAGCCGCTGTAGCTCGGCGACTGCGAGACACCGCACTGGGTACCTTCTGATGCATGCCATAAATAATGCAGACACGCGAAGTTAAGCCTACCGACTCGATACACAATATTTTCACAGCGCGGTGGCCACTGTCCGAGCCTTTCTACGGAAAACTGATAACATTCTGAAGCATAATACGGAGAAAGGTCCAGGCCTTGCCGCCGACGCACGCTATGATTGGCGATACCAAGCTGGGCAATAGTTCCGAAGTGATTAATGCAGATCGAATAAGTCAAGGTTCGCAGCCACTCGAGCCCGCGAACCAATTGTGGCCTTGCCCTTACGGCACTAGTTCGACCTTTATCAGGAAAATTTTCAGTCCCCGTGTTGCGACCCTACGAAGTTAGACACCACGCACATAGTTGCTTGGGAAGATGCCCTTTTTCCCACTCGCATCTAGACCTGTCGAACATGTCACGTAGGCGGCGAGACAGGGCGCGATGTCGTAAACGTACCTTCCCACCAGCCATCAGCGTAGTTCTGACCTCCATTAGGCCCAGCAGTCAGCTCGATCAATTGTCCCTCTTCCACCGCAATTTCATCCGGCCCTTGTGGAGTGTAATCATAGATGCCACGGACTAGTGAGCACACGAGCCATCAGATGTCCACTCGACAGATGGAGCAACTCATTTTCTCACCAGATTTCTTGGAGGCCTGTTGAGTACGACCTCGCGCGGGTGCTAGAGGAGCGCTCTGTGCCGCTTCTGACGGATCGACAAACTCAAGGTAGGATGCAGGTACCAAGCCCTTTGCACCGGCTTCGTCCATAACCTTGACCCATCCAGAGCCGTCATCCTCTTCCACGATATGCACGACAGAGCCCTCTGGCAGAGCAACCCAGCGTTAAGGAAAACGTCGAAGACCCCTAGAGCGAGGAACCTCACCTTGCACCGAAAGTTCAAATGGCGAGGTCTGCGTGAATTCGAAGATAATACGTGCAGAGGGGTGGGTTTCCTCGGAGAGAACAGAAGCTCGGTCGGGTGGCACGAACGACGACGGAGCTGCGGTCGAAACAGTCGAAGCGCTAGAAGCTGGCCGCGGAGGTGAGCCATTGCTGTGCTCAGAATTGGACATGCCTTACCCCGGGAGTCCGAGCGAGAGCGAGATAGGCTGGAGGAAATTGAAAGGTGAGAGTGGTGGCCGTGTCCGCCTTTGGGTGCACCGCAGTTGGCTGGAACCTTGCCGGAGGATAGTTCAGTCCCGTCGTCTGCCCGCTAGATCGTGCATGTTGACTCACCTTCAACTCGCACTTCGCATGGACCGAAATGCCACAGGCCTTGCAGGTCTTACCCTGCTTACTCAGCCCCCAAATAGACGACTGGGCAACACACGATCAGTGCGGCGAAGACTTCAGGAGTGTATCATCTGACGCACCTTGCAGTAGGCGCACTGCGTGGGTATGGAGAAAGAAGAGCTCTTGAAAGTATGTGGGCTCTGTGCACCCTCGTCACCTGTCACGTAATCCGGAAGCTCACTTCATGTTTGCTGCCAAGAATGAAAACGGGCACTTACCTCCTAGCGCCGCAGAGATGGTTTCGATCTCTGCGCGGAGCACAGCCTCCGAAATTGCATAGAACGATAACTCATGTTGAGCATCCAGATAAGCCTGTGAAAGATATCCCTCAGTACTCCAGCCTCGTCAACGCGCTCTCGAGACCTACGTCGGAGACCTCTTCCACGTTGCCGAGGGTGGGCTTCTCGGTGTAGGTACTCACGAGCTTTGAGGCCTGTTCGACCTCCTGGCCTGTGTCACTATTAGGGCCGACATCGCCGAGATATGAACCACAATACGCACGTTTGACCTTCATTACGGGTTCGAGTTCTTGGAGCTTTTGTTTGCATTTGGCGAGTCGGTTCTGCAAATAGACTTTTGGTGCAGGCTCCACGCTCATATCCGACTGGGCTAATCGTGAGAAAACCTAGGCTGTTCACTCAACACAATGTCGCTCACGGTGTCATAGTGAACTGCACATGGTTCGAACGTCCAGTCCGAAGGGGCAGAGAACTGAATGACATTGTGGTCGATAAAAGTTTCCTGATCTTTCGTCGGATCAACCTCCTGGAATGCTGTCTCCGTCTGAGTAACATGTGCCTTGAGAACGTCAAGGTAGTGGCTCTCAAGCGTCTGAGCCTGTATGACAATGTCTGCAAATTTGCGGAGAAGCTGGGTGTGGAGAAGCTCTGCGGACACGTTAATATATAGCAACAGAGCATATAGACCAGCATACGGAATTGCTGATCGGTAAGAGTAGCGTCAATAGAAGCCTATCGTGACAGAGGTGCCGCTTACGTCCTCTAACACGGGGAGGTCTTCTCCATAGAACTTCGCTTTGGTCCGGTTTGCAACAACGGTCGCAATCAGATACACGCTACAAAACAGTCAGCAAGCTGAATGGAGCGAAGCATCGAAATCGATCACACTTCTTGCTATTCAGCATGTCGATCTGCTGCTGCTCAAATTGTTTCGCTGCGCGTTCAGCATGTTTATCGTCGGTAGAGCGCTCCTACGCAAGAGTCTCAGCGGCATGGTGAGTGTGAGATATGCATGAAGTCACCTGCTTCTGACGATATGTCTCCACTTCGGAACATTCCTCGTCATACTGCGCAATGTGAGTTACTGCAAGGAACAGGGGGAAGAGCTGACAGCTACCTTCTGTTTGGTCTACGTGGCTCTGTCAGGATTGTCAAACGTTCCGTACGGGATGATTAGCTACCTTTAGGCGGTCATTGTACGCCTTGTCTCTTTCAGAAAGCAATTTTTGGAAGTACTGCATCTGACGTTTCTTGGCATCGTCATGGCGTTTCTCCGTCGTTTTCAGTGCTTCAACGACCTGTGTATTCAGAGAATCAGCTAAGTTCATGTGGTCCTGACCCGCTTCTCCTATGGAAGAGACCAGTTGAGAATACGCGCGGTTCAGGGTGCTTGTGATTCACGTCAGTCCAAGTATTTGGTTTCCACGCTGGCCCCTACCTGCTCTGAATGGCGCTGTCTTGCGCTGGTTTGGCGGGCTCATGGCCAACTACTAGAGCGACTATTTTCTTTGCCTTCTTATCGGCAGCTTTCTTGGCCAACAATTGCAGCTTGGTGGCGTACTCGCGTTCTATCGCGACCCGTTCGCGGTATAGATCGCGAACCTGCGGTTGTGAACATCAGCGGCTACAAAACTCGGCAATTATCGTATTAATCACATCAGACAGCAGCTCTAGCTGAGTATCGGACAGACTAGCGAGTGTGTCAACCTGGTCCTGTTACTGAGCTGAGACGCCATAAGCTCACGCGTCAAGATGGAGGTGAGATTACCGGAAGACTTTGCCCGTATGACGGTGCGGAAGACATGACCTCCGTTATCTCAACTTCCTCTCTGTGTGTTCAGCAAAAGTGTCCAGATCTAAAGGAGAATTAACGAGGTTTCCGTGCTTTCGCGGTCTTGGGCTCAGTCAGGCGAATGACGCGACCCTGGACAGCCCTTGCGGAGATTGCCGAGTCCCATCAAGTTGATGCGCCTCAACGTAAAAGCATCCGTGTCTTCACTCCGTCGCAGTCCATGGCCTTCGAATCATCCCATCATTTTCCTGCATTTTCCAAGCATATCTACTTGATAATCTTGTGCGCAGGGATCGATATCATTCTTCCAGTTATCTGAGCAATCTCGCTGCTTACTTTCGTTCACCACTTACGCAAGGCGAGTGTTTGCTGCCAGACCCAGGTCCGACTCACTAACGTATACCGAACGTGGTTCACGCTCTATATGTAAGAGTTTACATACTGTTATCACCTCTCTTCGATGCTATGGCTGGGATTTTATATACAGGTCTTTGAAACAAGCGTCAACGCCGCATCTCAGGCTTGCGACTGTTTCGCGCTGAAGTGCTTCTTTCCACACGTCGTGAAATCTCTCGTCTAAGGAGATATCTGGATGTCAGGCCTCGCAAGGATTTGTCTTGACCCTACGCACTTGTGGTACAGTAGTCTCATGCGGCCAGAATGAGTCGTCGCATGTGGCCAGCTCAGCCTGCTTACCGATGTATGATGCATCTCACAGCTCGCGGAGCTTTTTCCCACCAGGTTCTAGGCCGTCCGTCTTATTACCCCATCGCACCTTGTGTGCCTGGGATCGCTCCCTGTATCTTCTGCAAGTCATGCCGACACATTGGACGGGGTTTTTTCACATGAATCACATCCATTGCCGTCATCACGTGGTATGCAGTGGTATTATAATTCCTGTTACACATTTTTAGTAAGATGCTTTATTTAATACAGAGCTATCTCCTCTGAAGTCGGTTTAGATCTCAAGATCTCAAGCTTCAAGCTCAAGCCTCGCCGAGACATAAGTAGGCATCGGCCGCCGTAAGGTTATGACGAAGCGTCGACTGAAGGCTCATCATCACAGGCAGGCCACTGCCCTGAGTACTAGTTGCGATGAACGACTTTCTAGACGGAGCTCAGAGCTGAGACAGCCGCCCTCGTCGACCAGCCGTTGCGGCCAAAGTTGGCTCATTCGCCATCATCGCCGGCCAATCATGACTCCCATATCACGGCACACGACCCCTCAAACACCTCGGATCCCTTGGGTACTATTTTGCCCGTCTCCGAGGACAAGACGATACCAGCGCTCACTTTTTTCTTCACCCTGTTACAGCCTGCGGCAGTTATTGCCTCTTGAATCTGGTGAACTCCGTTCCGAGAAGACGTCCGCATAGTGGCGCCTACATGAGCTCACAGGTACGCTGTTCTCGATCAGATCGGCTTTATGTGTCGAGAACTCATTGTGTTTGCCTAAAGTCTCGGACCCGCCGCGGCATGGGTCGGGCGGTCATTGAGACAGGTTTCTGCCACAATTTTATATTCTCTCATCCTAGTTGCTTTCGAATACTGGACAGCTAAGGCCAGATTGTGTATGGACGCGCTACAATCACACTGGAAGACTTGGAAACCGCGAGCATAAGACAGATGTTTCCGGAGTCAAAAGAGGCAAGTGCCCTGTTCCTGTCCGGCGTCTAGCAAATGTTTAGAGCGCGCAACTGATTATGTCATCTTTTAACGGTCTAGATCCAATAGACGAACCCTGCCTCTGTTTTGGGTGCATACGAGACAGGCATGCCAGAGGTCCAAAATTTACTCGTCAAATTTTGGCCCGACACCTTGAAATTTCTAGTGCCACATTGAGAACGGAAACATCGTTTCCGAGGGTACTCATGCCTGGAAGCCGACTCCGCACCGTGATGTTTGGTAGTTTCACGGAGGAGGGTCGCGAGCCGAGTGCGAAGTGCGCGCTATACGACTGTCGCCGCGAAAATATAAGAAGACCTAGCCGACAACTTTGAATCCCCAACGAGTACAGCTCGCTCCCCACTCCCACCTCTACCTCATCCGCCACCCTACTACAGGCCTCCTTCCTCCCTTCACTCCAGCGCACTACACTCTCTTCGATCCCCACAATGACTCGCTTTGCCACTGTTCTTTTTTCCCTCGCTGTTATCGGCGCGGCCTCTGCTGCTCCTGCAGAGAAGCGGTCCACCACCCGGGAGGGAAGGGTACGTGCAGTTTCCCTCGCTTAACGCGTCATATCGGCTTACAACGTCATCCTCAGGGCACCTGGTATGACACTGGTCTCGGTGCCTGCGGTTGGAACAATGTCAACAGCGATACCGTCATCGCCCTGTCGCCCTCTGTCTACTCCGGCGGCTCTCACTGCGGCCAGGTACGGGGCCCCGCTTCCCATTTCTTCCTTTGGGTTTGCTCACGTGGATTATCCAAGACTGTCACCGTTACCAACGTCGTCACTGGTGCGAAGGCTACGGGCACGGTCGCAGACGAGTGCCCGGGTTGCGGCCCTAATGACATTGGTATGCTTTCGCATGTTTCATTTAATCTCAGGCAGCCTAGCTTACTGCGTTATTGGTACAGATATGACACCGGGCCTGTTTCAGCAACTCGGTTCTCTAGATGAGGGCGTGCTTACGGTCTCCTGGACCTTATAAGCGCGCTTTTCGGCGCCCGACACTCCTTTCCCCAGTACATCCCGGTCTGCATCGCGCTTCCTAGACTTGCGTTCCCCTCAGGTGGGAGGACGCCTCCAACTTCGTAACGGTGGAAGTTAGCCATCGTCGCGGCTTGGACGGACTTATTTATGGCGCTTCGCCGCGACCCCTCAGTGGGCTGGTATGCCTTCGAAAATGAAATACCGTGTAGAAGACTGAATGTATGGATGTAGCATTAGCGTTGTTTCGTTGCAGCGGCTGCCTTCTCACTCACCCGGCGATGGCTTGGGACAGGCAAGCGTATCGTACTGTGCTGCGCTGTATCTATAGAATTGTGGCGTGGCTCCAAGCGAGCCCCAAAAATAGAGCTTAGTCGATCCTGTATCCTATACAAATTTCGCCGTGCTGTTGTTGTGTGACAATAAACGTTGAAACTGCTGAAAGTTGAAAGTTTGAGCAGCCAACAGTCACAGCCGGCCTTTGCCACACTGAGCCATTCCGATGGCGGTGCCCGCCTTGCGCTTCAGTGGGATGTCTCTGATGCCGTCACTCGCGTATGGTATGACCCCGCCGAGTTCAAGAGCCAAGCTTCGAGCTGACGAGATACTCGCCGTCCAACGCGATTCCACCTCCTCCCCGTGCCCAGAACACCCCCGCAAGAGTCCCAGACGTCCCGCGCAATATGCGGTCGATTATACTTTTCGCGTTATCCTGCCTGATGGCACCGGTCATAGCAGTGCCCTTCCAGTCTGAGGCCGTCGCTCCCCGCAGTACGCTGAATGTGGTGAACCCCAACATCACCAGCCCGACGGCAGATACAGTCTGGGTGGTGGGACATCAGTTCAATGTCACTTGGTGAGCGCGCAGGTTCTCAGCCCACCGGGCGAAACGCTCATGCAGTCCGAATAGGGATAACTCGGACCTGCCACCGTTGTTGAACATCACCAACTTGCAAGGGTCGGTAATTCTGGGTTCGATTAATGGAGATCAAGAGCACCTGTTCCTTCGTAAGTCAGGTTTGAGGCGGTGCGTTAGTGGCATATATGAAGAGTTGCTTCATTGAACAGAGACTCCACTGGCAAGCGGCTTCTTCATCACGGATACTTCAGTGGAGATTACGGTCCCGAATGTGCCGACCGGGACCTACATTATAGCCCGTAAGCGACAGACATAGCAGCGCTATCTTCTGTGTTGTCTTATAGGATGTTCTTCATAGTGCTCGGCGATTCCGGCAACCAGAGCCCCACGTTCGAGATTGTAAACCAGAGCTCTCAGAGTTCTCTCTCTGCCACTACGTCCTCGAGCTCATCTGCCACGGCTACTGCCCCGTCGACCGAAGCATCTACACTCAGCCCATCCCCCGCTTCGCTAACTTCTACGGGTTTGACTGGTGCAATCATCACCTCCAGCAGCGCTGTGCAGAGCAGCAGCTCGCAAATTACGCCTGCACCAACTCCTAATAGTGCTGCCTCGTGGTTCGGGAAGAAGTTTTCACTGATGGCATTTGCTTCTGCTATGACTGCTTTTGCAATGACGCTCTGAATGTCCTTCCGAGGCTTCACACTCTTCACGCGATTAATGTTGGGATATGTCTATCGTCTACGATCAATTGGCGAACTTTTTATCACGGACCTTTTATTCTACGGCTGTTGAATATGCCCCGCACTTCGAGTTCCACCTCTTCGCTTAACCACTGTAATCGTTGTATTTTATGAGCTGTCCGGGTTTCGGCTGTGTACACACGAACATTTATCTCGGTGCTGCGAGGGCGAAAGCGAGGGACAAGGTGGTCCGTGCGCGCGCTATCGCTTCCAAGCGCGCGTAGCGAATATCCCAAGGATGCACTCGTCTCTCCGTCGACGTCTTCGCTCCCTCTTCCCCCCACTTCGCTTTTTAATCACGGACTGCATTTCTGGCTAGGATTTTCTTAATGTCTGGATCTAATGTTGTACAACAGTCGATCGGCGCATTACAGGAGCCGGTTGCTGCGCCCGCCGAGGACTTCGCTGCGTCGCTTCGTGCAGCTGCGTTGAAGACCTTGAAATCTAAACGAAGAAAGGGCTCCGATGGAACGGATTCGCTCGCTGTCCTTCCTTCGCGACCTCTCTTTTCTGGCCCGCCATCGATCCAGCTAGACTACGGTTCTGAGGACCCGTACGCCAAGTCGTCTTCAGTGTCTGCTGTGACTCCCACGGTCTCGTCTCCCGCTACAGCCGTCCAGCCACCTACACTACCGCCGCCACCTCCAGCACCTGGACCTATGGACGTAGATGAAGATCTTAGAGAAGAAGGAGAAATCAGTGACTCTGAGTCGATGCCACCCCCGAAGTCGCCGCAGGTCCCCAAGCGGGTCCCACCAACGTCTTCGGCCCCCATCAAGCAGCCGAAGGAGAGGCCAATACTCTCGCCACTAGTTCCGCCGTCGCCGTCAATATCAACTGTTTCCGTGAAAACGGAGTCATCTTCCCATGTTCTGTACGATCCGCCACCAAGCTCCATTCAGTCATCACCCAACCTTACTCGTTATTCACCTGTGGCTGACTACGACATGTACTCGATTGACGAGGAGCATGCTCGCCCTGGCCTTGCTAGTCAGTAAATGAACGTACTTGATGCGTGCACGTATTGATTTTGGCGGTTTATAACAGTGACGCAAGCTCAGTATGATACTGCCAAAGACATCGTCCTTGACCTGTTAGGGTGGGGCGTTCCTCCTGATTATCTCGTAAACTGCGGACTCAGTCGTGAGATCATATACTATGTCTTCATCGAGTTAAACCTCTGCCTACCAGCGAACCTGGATACATCCGGTCTCCCTCCTCCTCTGTTCCCTTCTCAGGCGTATGCTTCTCCGGAGCCCTTGTCGCCATCGGCGTCGTCACAAAGGCCACGAGGTGCACCGATATCCAGGCTATCAGTGGGTGACCCTCATCCCAGCCTACCGAAGAAGCCTACAGCACCACAAGGGGCATCCTCAAGTGTTGACGGGACCCCGCTCTCAGCTACGGCGGCACCCTTCGTTCCAAGCGCATCTCTCTCGGCCATCCCGATGCAGTCTGAAGACGCGCCGACGTCGCCAAGCTTAATTGACATGGAACAGCAAAGGCGGCAGGAACTGCTGGCCCGAAAGGCAGTTCTGGCTTCCAGGAAGAAACAAGTTGCCGCAACAGCGTCATCTTCCTCGGTCGCCCCGCTCAAGGACGTCAAAGAGACGACACCTACGCCGGCGGTTGCTCCAGTGACGGTAGACGACTTCCTGAAGAGCATCGAACCTGTTAGCGCTCCAACTGATGCTGACGACCGCATGGACGTGGATGAGCTGATCCCTGGCTTGTCTACCGGTGATGACCCCTCAACATCTCAGCTTCCTGATCTTTCGGTGGCGCGCGAGATGTCTGCTGATTCTATATCATCAAGTCATCTTGTTCCCCCATTTTCAGAATTGGAGGGATATGCTCGATCCATGTCTGCTGAAAGGAACGGTGTCGCATCGGACGGCTCGTCATCTGGGAGTGGTACCCCCCAGCCCCATTCGTTAGGTTCACGACGAAATACCAAACGCCCCGTGGCAGCCGACTTCGTAGATATGGACGCGCGACCACATACATATCATCACCGTCATCCGCCTCAGCACAATTTCCGCCGCAAGACGAACTCGTTCGCGGGCATCACGCACTCGAGACGTATCGTTATAGACCTCAGCGACAGCGAGGAGGAGGTCGAGGAGGCAGTGAATGGTCACCAACCACCACTTTCGCAGCTGCCATCGAGGCCTCCGACAAGATTGGGTGCGTCGCCTTCCCTGCATACGACTAGGGCAACATCGTTACCTACGGAACCAGCTACACCAGCCGCATTAGCGGAGAAAGAGCAAGAAATTAAGAAGATGCGCGAGCTTATTGCCCAGCGTGAACGTGCGAGGCTCGATAAACTCACAGCTGTGAGCGGCACATATCCTTATTCCTAACAGTATGGCTCACTTGGCGCGTGGTACAGCATAACTCTAGCAGGTCCACTCCTCCCGGTTCCGCAACTCATATGCCTGGGCCACATATACTTGTGGTGAATCAAGAGGAGGACGATACCCGTCCTCCTATACCCATCAAGCCGACGGTAACAGGTGTCAGTCAGGGGCAAAATATCTGTGACACCTACGCTATTGGTGAGTGCACGTTACCTAGAGCCTGCTGCGTACTCATGCTCTTCACTAGTGTCGTCACCTTCCGCGTCCACGAACGGTGCTGTCACTCCTATTGGTCCTCTAGCCTCCCGCACATTCATGAGGTCGCAACTGACTAGCTTTGCCAGATGCTGTGTATAGCGCGCTGGAGCATCCTGCAACTGGAGACCAAGGCACGTCTCATTTCTTTGTATTTCGCAGTGTGATCTCCCTTCCTCACGTCCAGCCCTTCCTATCTGCTTTTACGGCTCGTTTATGTTCCCTCCCTTGTTCACCTTTCCTTTTGCACTCCAATGCCTGCCTTCGTATCTTTCCTTGTAGTGCTGACCGCAGAGGCTCGCCGAGAGCAAATCGCAAGAATGTCGTCTCCTGTCTGTGCCGCCTAATTTGGATTGTCAAGAGCTTCGCTCAACTTCCTTCGTCCCATACACTGTTCTATACACTTTCCTGTACACCGTCCCTTGGCTTTGTCTCCCCGCCTTCCTCTTGCTTTCCCTTCTTTTCTTTTACAGGACATTTCGGAATCGGAGACAAGCAATTCACCGTCCGAGAGTATGGCGGTCGACGTAGTTGGCTCCCTCCTGGAGGCGTCGACGGCCCAGGTACGTCTTCGCCACCTGTGTTGACGACAGAGTCTCTTCATCAGGAGCCGTCACCTCGTCGGGCTGTACTGACTTCGTCATCTTCCTGCAGGCTTTTATCGTGTCATCAATGAAAGCAAGCCAGTACTCAACATACCAATCACCTCTCTCCGCTTACCCTCTTCTACATTCTCGCTCACCACCGCAGTCACTAGATGCTAACAGCTGTACGGAGCTGGCGGCCTCTCACACTTCTGATCTCTCTGTCTTATCTCCAGTATCTCTAAGTTCACTCAAAGCCGCCGCTATCAACAGATGGCTGTCAGACCCATCGCGGCGTGTATGTCAATACGAGGTCCCAGGCGGGGGAGAATGCCGAGACCGCGAATGCGAAGACATACATCCGTCGCGAGTGTCTGCGGTGGAACCCAGTGGTACGCACTTCTCCCATCTCCAGCCGTTGCTCACGTCTTTATCCTCGTTCTCTGCCTTTGCTGTCTGTTCCTTGTCCATCGCTCTACGCCCAGACGAAGAGGTTGCGCAGTATCTTCACAGTGCGCTCCCGAAGGGCTCCGAGGTTGGTGTGGAGCAGCTGCAGGCTGCGCTCCAAGATTTCCGCCGACAACAACTGGGATTCGAGGCTCGCGTCAAGCAGGCTTTGGCGTCCCTGGGCCTTCGGATGGCCGCGTGAGACGGGCCTGCTCTCCTCCCGCGCAGAAGCTGGGCACTCGTGGACTTTTCAGGGCAAAATCATGGAGTAAAGAGCGCTCTGCGCCACCAGGCGGACGGGTGCGTCCTCTGGCGATCGTGTGGTGGAGTCCTCCTGCGAGGATCCGTGGCTGTCTAGGCAGCTTGTGTTGGCCGCCGTTTCGTGGACTCGTTCGCGCTTTCGGTGTATTGATGGTCGTGTTTGCATGCTATCTTCTGCAACCTTTTGTGTCGCAATAGTCTTCCATGCTATCTAGCTGTACTTTTTGTGTTCTCTCTGCAATCTCATACGTTTTATTCGGAATGCCTGGTGTCGCCGGTGCGATCAAAGTTTACAACATTTGCGGAGTTAAGTAAAGTGGCCGGCGCCATTATGATCTCGAGCACAAAATCGGAGTTGGCCCGGCTTTGGCAGAGACTGCACCTCGGTTTTTGGAAGTCCGACACAGTCTCGCTCTCCGAGCGCTGGATAGTTTACGAGACTTAGACAATATGTCCTCAGGCCTCAGGCCTAATCTACTGTTATTTACAGGTCTCGTTACTGATATGAATCTTGTATGCGTTCTGTCAGAAATGCGCTAGAAAGCCCCCTGAAATATTGACTCTCTGGCATACTGACACGTAGCCATATTATTCATCTCATGTTCCTTTCAGGCTGCTCATGTCCGTAGTGACAATGATCTGTGGACTAACCCACGGGAGGATGTTTCATTTGATCGCCCTGCCTGCATTCGACTGTTGATCGCAACCATGTGAATGCCAACACTGTGAGGAGGCTGTTATATTATAAATCCACATAAAGAGCATCCACACCAAACTAATCACCCCTACCTGTCACTACCATGTTCTTAGACTCGCCGACGTTCACGTACGGCATCATTCTGCTTGCGACGGCATTATACTTCCTGAACTGGCTCAAAGAGCACAAGGCAAGTGAATACCCGCTGATCTCGTACCGCCAAGGCTACCCTGATCTCCGTGTAGCTCAGGAATGTACCTGCGCTAGGTCCGACGGCCCCGTTGCTCTCTTACTGGGGAGCATTCAGGTTCATGATCAGTTGCCAAGAGATGCTCGCAGAAGGGCATGCGAAGGTATGCTGAACATGGTCTCCGCTGCGCTGCTGCTGACAGCGGTTTCGACGCGGCAGTTCGGTGGGAGCCCGTTCAGGATAGCGACTCGCCGGTATTGGCATTATATTGTCTCAGACCCTAAGCTCCTTGATGAGCTACGACGCGCACCGGACGACGAGATGTCTTTCGCTGTAGCCGTGTCCGAGGTTAGTATTTATGGCTCGTTGATCCGCACAGCAAGTAAACCAGATTTTTCCCGCAGGCCCTAGAGTTCGAATACGCGCTAGGTGTGGCAGCGCTGAAAGATACATATCATGTGCCGATTATCAAGACGACGCTCACACGCAATCTGAGCTACCTGTATGGGGCGATTTACGACGAGATATGTAACGCATTTGCAGACTGCATCCCTGCGAAAGACGGTAAGCATCCAATTTTATGGCCCATTCACCGGTACATTCAGCCAAAGTTCTGTCCACATAGAATGGATAGCCATGCCCGCAATGGATACTGTTATGCAGGTTGTCGCTCGGACGAGTGCCCGTATCTTCGTTGGCCTCCCTCTCTGTAACCGTCTTTGCTATTTTCTGCTGCGGTCGTATTGACAGGGAACTAGGCCGTAATCAAGAATTCTTGGATATCAGCGTTAACTACACAACGGACGTGGTCAAGACTGGGCTTATACTGAACATAGTACCTGTTTTCCTCAAACCGTAAGTCGCTACCTCGCACTCGGAGATCATTACTCCCTAAATGATGCCTTGCAGGACCGCGAACCGGCTGATCAACAGGGTCGACAGAACCATAGACCGTACATATGCTTTACTGAGTTCCACGATGGAGGAGCGGCGAGCCATGATGGAACAATGTGGGGACGAGTGGACAGACAAGCCTGTAAGCCGTGCACTTTTGTCATCAGCCTACAACTGAAGTACTGCGGATCAGAATGACTTGCTCCAGTGGCTCATGGAAGCCGCAGAAGGGGTCGAGCGTGAACCGAGGGCCCTGGCCGCTCGTTTACTTATGGTCTGTTTTGCTGCCATTCACACGACTTCCATGGTAAGCCACGAGCCTTGGCACCCTCGACATTGCGTACTGACTATCTGATCTTTCAGAGCTTCACTCACGCCTTGTACCACCTTGCAGCACACCCAGAGTATATGAAGCCGCTGCGGGAGGATGTTGAAGCTATCGTTGCGGAACATGGCTGGTCGAAGGACTCGCTGCAGAAGATGCGCAAAGTTGACAGCTTCCTGAAGGAGTGCCAACGGTTCCAAGGTATCGGCATCGGTACGCCCCGCGTCTCGCAGTACCAAACACATGCTCAATACCCTCGCATAGTATTCCTTGAACGCAAAGTGCTGAAGGACTATACCTTCTCCGACGGCACATTCATCCCCAAAGGCAGCTGCGTCTCGACCTCGAAGATGGCAACGCACGACCAGCGTGAGTACTACGATGACCCGTGCGTCTTTAAGCCGTGGCGCTTTTCCGACATGCCCGACGAGACGGGCGAAGGCACGAAGTACCAATTAGCCAACACAAGTATGAAGTTCCTTCCATTTGGCGTTGGGAAGCATGCTTGGTGAGTTTTATTTCCAGGTCTTCGAGGTCAGCGCATTGAAGGACCATCGTAGCCCGGGACGGTACTTTGCTGCGAACGAGCTGAAGACCATGATGGCGCATCTTGTGATGACGTACGATGTTCGCATGGAGAAGCCCGGAGAGATACCGCGCGTGCTCCGTTTTGGCACTACCACATCGCCCAATCGAACAGCGAAGGTTTTATTCAGGAAGCGGAAGGACTGAAATGCATTCAAGCGATCTGTTATTGTTGTGCTTTAAGTCATTACCACTGTGGTTGCGAGTGGTCGGCGTGGTATAGTAGTACATGGTGTTGGCTGAGCACCTGACGTCGCACCAGGTGATGTCAATCCCAGGTATTGTGCTTGTATATGTTGGGATTGGATAGGTATCTGGACAACTTGCACAGTAATGGTGTGTAATAGCGTATCCACGCTTTCGCGCACAGCTGGAAGATGTGTTTGGTAGTACACGAACCTGCCTTCTCTAAAGTATACGTATCATCAGTTATAACATACGTCATAAGTAGCACTACATGCATGCCGCGGCATTGATTCATCTCGTCTATGAAGGCGGTGAGGATCATGGCGCGGACATCAAAGTCGTGAAGTAATAAGCGTTTACTAAGTCAATAGACGGTAAGTCTACTGGCAAACGACCGCAGCGAAAGCCAGAGCGACACCACCGCAACCCTGAAGAGACGCCATGCTCGAACTTGCCTTTGTTCGTGTGAAAGCCTCACGAGCACGAGTGACAGGCGCTTGGCCTTGGCCTTGCCGGCCGGCGTCGCACGGACTGCGACCGCATACACCGAAGCTACGACTGCATCTGCCGCCGCACGGTGTCCGCCCTGAGCCGCACTGGCCGTAGCAAGAATCAGCGTCGGTGGCAGACTGCTCCTCTGGCGTGCTCGCGCCGCGCCAGTCAGGTCCATCGTCGTCCTCGGGGCTATCGAGTGCGCAAGGCGCGGTTTGGAAGACGTATGTATAGCCTGAGATCGCCATGGTGATGAACTAAATGAGGTCCGATCTTGTACGCGCATAAGGAGGAAGATGTCGTTTGCGGATTATACGCGTTGCTACAGCATGCTATCACCGGAACCTGAACTGTTCTCTGAGTGTGAACGTCAGCATAAGTATGTGTCGATGAAGCTGCATGCCTAGACACATACCCATGATCGCTATCCGTCTCATACAGCACCAGCTTTCCTAGAGCATGTAGTTCCGGTAAGAGTGTCGCGGCGTCTTGTATCTGTTGGACTGTGACCGAGAACTTCTTGAATTGCGGGTGCTTGGACTTGTCACTCAGTGTCTGGTCAAGGACGATCCAGGGAAATCCCTGGAAATATTCCCTGCCATGGTTCCATAGCAACACGTCCTCAAGCGTGCTCAGCTCGCTCGGGAGCGTTTTGAGCAAGTCCGTGAGAGCATCGATGACCACTCGGTCGGCTGGCAATGCGCGAGTGGATAGCTGACGGAGGGTTTTACACTGTCCCAAATCGAGAGCGTCTGCAGCCATGCATGAGGAAGTCACCTAAGGGCGGGAAGTATAGCCCACTCACGAAGAATGTGTGCACACTCCGCAGCGTCCTTAACACTGTCAAACCGTAGCCTTAAACTCCTGAGGGTCGGCCCGCAGGCACGTATGAGCTGCGCGGCGGCATTGGGGACTAGGGCCTGAGGTTCGACAGCGGGGAAGTCGATGGAGACGGTGTGCAGTGTGCTGCCGGAAGAGGTGTGCAGGAGCCAGTTCATGGCGTCCGCCACGACATAGGGCGCGCTGAGGGTCATGTTCAGGATCTCGAGGCGCAGTCGGGGCATGCGCACCATGCCCTTGCACGCCCGCACGCCCCGGCGGGCCTTGGACGAGGCGGGCCAATCGACTTTGGACAGGTAGAGCTGCGAGAGCGTCCGGAAGCTGAGGACGAGCCGCGCGAAGTCCGTGAACCGCTCGAAGTGGCAGCCGTACAGCAACACCCCAGTCAGCGCACGGAAGTGCGCGAGCATGACGTAGAAGCTCCGGTGCACAATGGGCGGGACGCATGCGAGGCGGAGGCAGCGGACGTGCACGAGGCCGCGGGTGAGCGGGTCGGGCACGGTGGACATCCACGTCTGCGCGTGCGCTTGGATGGGGTCGCGGTCGTACCCGACGTCGAGGACGCGTATATCGCGAAAGCCGGGTTGGGTTTCCATGCGCTTGAGTAGGGAGGCGAACTGCTCTTTCGTCTTTGCGACGACTGCGAAGCGGTAGAGATGCCGGCGGACTCTTGGTACCCAGAAGCGGCATGTCAACGCACATGCGAGTAGCGTCTTGATGCTCTGGTCGAGGTCGTAGTACCCGGCGACGTAGTCGATAACTTGCTCGCAGAGCTCGATTGGCAGTCTAACTACTCCTTGTGGCAGAGGATATTCATCAGTCAGTGTGACCATCATCGTAGAGGCGCGGAGAAGTCGGGTTGGAAAGTCGATTTCCCAGAAGCATCGCTATATATTGCAGGAATGGGAGGGCTATTTCCGAATGCCATCTGACCGTGAAGCACAATAACAGAGTCTCCGAGCGGTGCAGCGGACAGAGTGTCTGAAGGTAACCAGGAGACAGCCGCAATACCACGCCTGATAGGCGAAGTGGCGTTTACTCGCGACGTCCATCGGTGCCTTCCGCATTGCCTGTAGCACTGCCAGCCGTAGATGCGCGAGTCAAGATTGGACGTCTGTTGGTGCGAGGTTTCGCAGAGCTGTCAGGGATGAACAAAAGGCTCCCAAAGCGTAAAGCGCTTATGACGCACTCGCTCCCGCAGGTATGGCTGGGGCGAACTGGTAATCGTGGGGAAAAACTGGAACGGCAGCTTGGGTCTGAATCGGAGGAGCATGCGGCATTAGTTTAGCAACTCAAAGTGTCGAGTTCGACAATTAGCACAGCTGCATAAGCGGTCGTTCAGATATTGAACTGGAGAGAATCAGTAATAGGACATGACCAAGGATATCTGTTGTTTATTGGTGAGGATAAGGTGAGCAGGCTTTCGTACTGCAAATCACGGTAAACTGTATGAAACCACAATTGCAGCTATGTTGTGGAAAGGAAAATGTACAGTACTCACCACCGACTTCGGGCCATCTGTAGGGATGTCGGCGAATGATGGTTCGCACGATCTCCGGCAGCTTGCGCTTGGAGAACCTGGTATGTAAACTTTGCCACTATCGGCTGGTAATGCTTTGAATCTGATTCGGATTTACTACTATGCCGCTCGGAACCACAGTAAGAACAGCTTTAATTGACCTGCAACGTATTAAGCGAGCAGAATTGCTCGTGTAAATGTCTTAATAATTCATTATCGAGTACACTAGTACTCACAAAAATTCTCTGTGGTGTGCGTGCGTAATCATAGACTCGGATGCACAAAATGGGTGGGCCAAGCGCTATTCGGCATTTGCCGGGTGATGCGCATCATTTCTTTTTCTGGGCATCGTAGATCATGACGACCTGGTGGTCATCCGGTCGAATCTCTCGCCAGCATGGTCTATGCCTCGCACGCAACTATCCATGTTTCTCCCAACGAGGACCACATCTCAGTCGGTATTGCTTTGATCCTACCTCAGATCTGCACAATGTCCCTCCCAAAAAAATTTGGGCTGGAATGAGCACAATATGTGCCTGGGTGCCGAGGCCCAAAGGTATGCCGCCGCCCGCATACGGATCTGAGTGGGTCACGCGTGCGCGGTGTGCTGAAGCATTTTTCTAGGCCCGTACACCGCAGTCAAGGAACACTGAGTGCGAATGCGAATTCCTTGGCCCAGACCATTCCATTCGTATTGCATAGGACATGTGCACTCTCTGCGCCCCCTATAAAGGCTTGAAAGGATCGCGGTACGAAGCAGGAAGGTAGCCCACTCTGCTATCTCGCGCCACGCGCATCCACAAGCCTTCTTCCATCTTCCGAACGCAGCGCCTACAGCGAAATGTGCGTTAACTCCTATGATACTCGTTGGCGAAGCTCCTCGGTAAGCTACCTCGTCGCTCACAATGCCAAGGTAACTCGCTCACAGTGCCTTAATAGTTCTCGCGAGAGCTTTCTTCCCTGCCGAAAGAAAAATCGAGTGAAGCCTCGAGATGCAAGACCCGCCTTAGCCAAAAGGTGCGTGCCCTTTGCGTTATTAACACCATCATTTGAAGCCGACTTGTTCACGCTCTCCGCCATTCAGGTGGAAGAAGAGATGACCATGCCACAACCCACACCCGACGCTCCAGCTGGCAGCAGCCGGAGGTCATGACATCATCTCGCCGTCGTTGCCGAACTCGCACATCGCTGATCCCCGGACTATGGCGTCAAGGGGAGGTCTCAACGGAGGGGAGCTCATCAACTGCTCATGATCATCGCCCCGTTCCTGCTCTAGACTGCATGTCGACTAGCTGAGGACGGAACGCGGATATGCTCGAACACGGTACCCTGTACAACATACGGATCTTATTTAACCGTTGCACCCTTGAACGAGGTGTTACAAGAACTTCAATATACCGTGGGACCTGCGCACGCTACGCGACACGTTCGTGAGTACAAGCATGATCAACGCGTACGCGTGGAACAGAACGTCGCAACACACACGCATAACAGCCAGGCCTTTCGAGAACTGGTCGGACATGTGCTGCGCAAAGTCGGTGGGTGCGTTACAACCGACCAGTCTCAAGTAACGACGACCAGGCTGATGGAGAAAGTGTATTGCATTCGCCATTGATGCAAGAAGTGATGCATTGAACGGTGCCGGAAATATAGCTTCCAGGCATCCAGCTTTTGGGAAAGCCAGTCCCTCGCGCTCCTTGCACTTCATTCAGCCGCTATCGACGGAGACGGCGACCTGCCATTAATCTTCTCCACGGGGCGCCCTGCAATATTGAATCAATGGCTAGACGGCTGGCAGTCAATTTCCTTCCCAAAGTTCCCATGCGCGCTCGCAACAAACGCTGATCCTGTCCATCCTTGTCCATCTATGAGCGTGCGACAGAGCGGGGATATCCTATTTATCCTTCATACGCTTTGCCTTTGCATGCCATAAGTGAGTCAGGCCCAGGGCCCAAGGTCTGAGTCTCAGGACTCGGGAGCGCAGAGTAAAGTAAGGAGCTGTCTCGATGGCGACATCTCCGTCCGTACATTGAACCTGTCTCGGCAGCATCGCGTATGAGACACGACTAGGAAGTCCGCTTGCTGTCAGGGACAACAAGGGCAGCGGGTTGCATACACGTTGCATAAGGTTGCGGATTCCATGACGGCATTCATGCCTCCGTTGCATCCGTCGTTCGAAAAATGAACAGCAAGAACGTGTGAATGATGCAGAGAGGTCCGGAAGGGGGCCCATAAAGGAACGTGTGGGCGGCACCATACGCGTACCCCCAACGCTGCCCGTACCTCCAGGCGACCATGGCACACGAGAGGACGCGAACTGAAGCTCTAGGTTAGTGTTTGAGCGCGCTAAATGAGGGCTTGTTGACGACGGGCCCTTCTAGACATCCCTGCAGTGGTGATCGAGGAGGTCAACGAAGACGAACTCCCGGACAACCGTGTTGCAGAGCGCAAAGTAACCTTCTCAGCGTTGTTGGGGTATTATGAGCAGCGACAGCAGCTGTGTTATAGGGTGGGCCCTCAGCCTCCCTTGTCGATGCACTAGTTATTGACATTCTCGCCGGTGTCCAGCACGCGCTGGTCCTGGAAAGCATGCTCCAGGAGTGCCCGGAGAATAGACCCTGGCTAGAGTCGCATGGGTTCGACGTGGAAAAGCTAGTCCGCTACCTGCGGTGGAATCCTGCCGAGCAACTGAGGCAGCTTGAGCACATGGAGCCGGCGCGGAGAGCGCGGTATTCAAAGCAGCTGCAGACTCAGCATCGAAGAAACTTGCGGCACATGGAGGAGAACCTGGCGAAAGTCATGCCGGTACGTGGCTCGAAATAATGGCGTGTGGGGATTTGCGATATTGACGGACCCCAGCTGTTCGACGAGATGCAATCGATGTCAAAGTCGATAGCCAAGCGACGAGTAGAACGTAAGAGAAGGACGCTAGACATCGAAGAGGTCAGCTCCTGACAAGCGCATCTTTGCCGAGGCGATCCTGACCTCAATTTTGAATTGCAGCTGGAGGTCTTCGCCGCGGGGTGCTCAACAGGCGAAACGGAGTCTTTATTCACTGCGGAGATACCTGGCAGTCGAGAACCACTGGATTCTGTGGATTCGGACAGTCTCCTGGACAGTTGACCACACAAGTCAGGATATCTGGGTTCGGTTATATTTATTCATCTCCAAGCGTATGCAAGCGTGAACATTTCAAGGTTCAGCCGACTTACATAAAGCTTAAGTTGAGGATAAGATATGTTTATAAGCGCGCGTCCCGACTGCTATCTCAATTAGGCGTACGCCGTATGCACTTTACCCGTTGCTGCCATCCCGCGGCCTCCGCTAGACCTTCTTGCGTAGTTGGCATACAGAGACCATCCTGACACTAGCTGCTGTGCTGTGAAGCCAACATTTGACACGAGAAACATGGCGTCAGAAACGGCAGCATGCAGGATCCTTGTTCTCTCGTCCACATCGGACAAGGCACAGCAGTTCGTGCAACGTATGTTCTCAGCCTGGCAGTTCATTCTCAATGACCTACTGGCTCTCCCGTAGGTGTCAAGACTCAGTCTAGCGATCGATCAGGCTCAGAGGATTCCTCGGTTGCCACAACTACAAGCGACGTCGGGAGCACTAGCATACCATGGACGATTGCCAACAAATATTACACCGCAGACGTGCATTTCGAGGCGAGGGAGATCGATACGTTCGCGGGCTATCATGCCAGCGAGGTCCCTGCTGTCATCTATGTTTGGGATCGCGGAGAGGTGCGCGCGTCCCCGCTCATGAGCATACACATGCGTTAACAAGGAGTGCAGCCTTACAAGGAGCACGTCCCCTCCATATATAACAAGTTACAACACTACGATACAGAGGTGACCCTGGCTGTGCGCTTCAGCGACCCTGCCAAGGCGGCCGCGCAAGACGACGAAGACGGTCTCGACGAGTTCCTGTCTTCACATGGCTTTGAGTACATCGACGGCGACCGCAGCGGCCGTCGACCCACGCAGGACGGTACAAGCTTCTCAGATGAAGACAGCTCGGGTATGTGCAATCATGTCATATCTCACGACTCTCACCGAGAAGAGTCTAGGCGTCCCCGGTCTCCCGCGTGTCATCGACGCACTGAGCACCATCATGTGGCCGTCGCTTGTCCCGTCCGCCTCGAATTCCGCACGGAAGAGCCGCGCGCGTGAGCTGCTCGACTGGGCGCGCGAGGAAGAGGAAGAAGACGGGCTGCGCGCGCTCATCTCGCAGGACGCGCTCGGCAGCGCCAAGGACGGCGAGCGCAAGAGCCGGATGCAGCGCGAGATGGAGGAGCTCGAGCGCTGGCTCGAGGAGGAGGACCATGGCCGGCGCACGATGGACGACGCGCAGGCATGGACCGCGCGCGACGCCACCGACGGGGAAGACGCCAGCGCGGGTTGGGGCGACGACGTCCCGACGCCGACGATCTGCACGCCCGGCGGCGTGAGCACCACGGGCGAGGACACGTTCGGGTTCGAGGACGACTTCGCCGAGTTCATCGGCGCGCCGGTGGACGTGACTTACCCGTACGAGGCGCTGCGCCAGGAGCCGATGCACACGGGAGCGTCGTACCGCTCGCTCGCGTCGCGCTCGGACCTCTCCGCGGAGGACGCGCTCAATCCGGAAGACGACCCGGACCTGCCGTCGCGCGCCGAGATTGAGGAGACATCGAAGCGGATATTCGGCGCTGCGTCGCTCGACGTGCCCTCGATGTCCCGCGCGCGGCGCTCGCCCCGCGCGAAGCCGGCGTCCCTACCGCAGGCCACAGCATCTTCCTCACAGAGCACGTTCCCTCCACCAGACGACGATTCGTTCTCGTCCTTTGACGACACTGACGACGAGTTTGAGCTTGGCGCGTTCGACTTGTCGCGGGTGCTGGGTGCGCTGCACGGCATGAAGGAGGAGATTGCGGGTATGACAGATGAAAGCGACCGCAGGAAGGCGGCTGCGAGGGTCGCCCTCGGGTTGGTGTACGGTCTGCAGAAAGAGGAAGAGCGAGAGCGGGGTCCTGAAGACCTGTGACCCTTTACGACGGCGATGGACTTGAAGCCTTGAGGCTTGGAATATCATTCAACAACTACTTAACATGCAGCATTGTACACAATTGACTACCATATGTTCCCTGCTAGTTAGCGACTACAAATGACAAATAGACGACAGCGTTCGTGCGACTGAGAAAGCGACGTTGATTTGACTCAAAGAATTACTCAACCTGGGCTTTTGTTTTTGCTGCAAGCTGGTCCTCAGTCAACGTCTTGTTCATCGCCCTGCTCCTCTTCCTCTTCTTCCTCCTCCCCCTCCCCGTCCTCATCACCATCGCCATCATCGTTCGCTTTGCCAGTATCGTCGCGGACGCCGTGCTCAGAAAAGTTGAGGATGCCCGCTACATCAAGCATGTTCACGACCTGCTCCGCGTCTTCTACCTTCATGTTCCCGAGGACCTTGTTCACCTGGTCGAGGCTCTGGCTGCGGAGCGCGTCCTGGAACGCGGGTGCGAAGCCCTGGAAGACATCCCAGCGCATCTGCAGCGCGCGACGCACGTCCTCGGGGTTGACGCCCTCAAGACCCTCACCCTCGAGCTGTATGCGCTCCGGCGGCGGCCCGTCGGGCACGTTGAAGCTGATGCTCTGCCCCGGGTTCTCGGGCACGAGCTGGATCTGCTCCTGCTCCGCCGCAGCCTCGGTCTCGGCCTTGGAGATGCGCACACGCTCGCAGAGGTGGGCGTACGTGTCCTCGATATCTTTCTCGAAGACGGCCGATGCCCGCGGGTCGCCGCTCATCATTCTGCGCGACCTCGGGTCAGCAGATTCGGCATCAAAGAATGAGAGCGCAGGCATACCGTCTGAAGAAGATGGAGACACCGTCCTTTCCGAGCTTGTCGCAGTACTGGAGGAGCAAGCTCTGGTGTACACACTGTTTCGCGTACTTGGCCTTGCCCTCGCTCTGCGCCGTGAAGGCCGCCACAAGGAGCGCATCAGATGCACCTGGCACAATGACGTCCCGGTGCTGCTTGATGAACTCCCAGGACTGTTCGTAGCCGCCGAGAGGAAGTCGCGAGAATGCCTCCAGCGAAAGTGTGAGCTCGGGGAGCTCTGCGCTCTCATCTAAGGGGTCGGCTTTTGACGACGACCCAGCGAAGGTCTCCTGCCCAGTGGTGACACCCTTGGGGTTTAGAACTTCAAACTCGGTGGTTGCAACCTTGTTTGTCGAGCCGGAGCCGCTCGCGATGGCGTTCTTCACTGGTGGAGGGGCGGGCTTGGGAGACACGTACTAGCCAACCTGTAGTTAGACCTCGCGCAACCTAAACGATGGAGAGACACGCTCACATGCGATTCCCAAGCCTCATGAATGTCATCGCTAGTAATCTTCTTCTTCTGCTCAACCTCTTCCTGCGCAAGCTCTTGCTTCAGCTTCTCTTGATGCTTCCCGAGCTCCTCGATGTGTTTCTTGAGACCCTTCGCCAATGCCTCACTAAGTTTTGGATCGTCCTTCTCCACGCCTTCCTTCTTCGCCTCCTCCCACACCTTCAGCATCAACGCGAGCAGCATCTCGTCGTACGTCTTCTGTTGCGGCGCATTCGTCGGTGGCTTCTCCGGCGAGGGGTTCGTCTTGAACCGCTCGACGAGCGAGGAAAACTCGGCAGGGCCCTTGGCCTCGACGTCGGCCGTGATTTGATGCAAGCGTGGCTCGAGGACCTCATTGCAGGCGATGTCGGCTTCGAGCTGCGCGATATGCATCCTGCGCATCTCGCGCTTCTCGTGGATGTCCCGTTGCTTCCATCTATCCCGTATCTCAGTGTACTGCACGCAGGGACATAGTGGTGCTGGGGACGAACCGGATGAGTGATTTCTTGTCTATGTTCGGGTGCCCCTCGATATCAGAGTCGTCTGAAAGCTGAATTGATGTGTGGTTAGCTCGGACTTGATCTCACGGCGCAGACACGCACGAACCTCGAGGTTATCCCATTTGGAGTAGTTTAGCGGCATCGTGGGTCAATATAAGTCGTCTTGAGAGATTACTTGGTCGTATAGATTGGACGTAGAAAGGGGTATACACGTATGCAGGGATCGTCGGCAGTGCAGGTAGTCGAGGTAGGTGTTGTTACAGACGCGGCACACGCTAATATATGTAGTACCTTTACGAACGTTCTAGAATTAGATACCGCTGTACTTGGAAATCGCGCAGGCAGCTCGGCAGTATAAACGACAATACTAGGTTTCAAAGCATCATGTTCCAGCAACAATCCAATGCAGGACAGCGCGGATAAAATGCTCATTGCTAGCGAGCAGCCAACGATGCGCTAACGCCCGTCAGTGGCATACAGTTCGGTCTCATACGCCACACACACCGTACCCACTAAAATGTACACCTACATACTCGAAAGCAGCGCTTAGAAAACATCAAGACGACCAGAGCTTTCACCTTCAAGCCCGCTGAGAAAGAGTACCTTGCTCAGCTCGTCCACTGAAGCGCGCCGCCACAAATACGACTTCCAACCCAGGAAGGAAGTTGTCAAAGTTCGTTCATCGTTGTCGGCCCCGCGACCAGTATCTCCAAGTATTGTACATGTTATTCGATAACATACGACAAAGCTGCAGTACGCTCTTCACAGTCAGACTGGCTAGAACACATCATCTCTCCCAATGCTTGTAGTATTCTAGCGTCCTCCGCTCTCTCCTTACAGCCACCTTCTCCATCTCCGCTCTCAGGGGTGTGCGGAATGACTGCTGCGCCTCGGGGGAGTTGACAGCATCAACAGTCTCCCACTCGTGCACCGCAAGATATTTGGCCACCGGCGTGAGGTCCTTTTTCCCCTCGACTCCCGACCTCGTCCAATCCTTCAAGACGAACCTCCTGCTGCGCACCCAGCCCTCTAATTGCGATAGCATCGGGATATGCTCCTCATCATACCACCGGTTCAGAACCTCGTCGCCGCCGGGTTGAGTCACGTCGAAAGAGACGAAGCTGATGTAGCGCGACGGCTTCTTCGGGTCGTACTGCGCAGCGGGCGGCGGGACCGGGGCATCCAGGAGCTCGTACGTGCGTCGCTCAAGCACAGCGATATCCTGAAGCACGCGCTTCTCGCGCACGCTGCGCGTCTCTGCGAGTGTGGTGTACGGCGGCTGCTGCGTCGCCTCGTACGACGCGAGGTCGTAAGACGCCGCCCATACGGGCTTCTCGCCGTCGATCGCCTCCCAGCGCGCCCAGCTCTGAAACGCGGGAACGTCGATCCGCAGTGGTACGTGCTCGTTGTCGTACCAGTCCGTGAACTCCTCCTGGGTGACAGCTGTGCCCGGGTCGGAGAAGACGAGGAGGAAGCCGGGAGGTGCCATTGTGTGTGTCGTGGTCGTCGTCACTTTGTAAAATGAACAAGCACTGGCAACAGGGCCTTGAAACCAAGAACGTGCTTATGTACGCAACTAAAACTATCTGCCAGGAGCGACGTGTGGGAGCCTCTTCATGTCATGAGAAAGCAGGTCCGCATCGAGCCTCCTGTGAGATTCCACCACATGCGAACTTTGAGAGTCACGAGCAGCAGAACCCTCAAAAACTTTCCCATACGATATGCATGCAGGAGGTAAGGCGAACATGTGGAGGATACCGTAGCAGAAGGTCCAACAGGTCCAACAGACGAAAGCTAATAACGAACGCGGGAACCAGCGTACTCCAGACCACGGTCAACGCAGCTGATTCAGTCAACGCTGGTCAGGCTTCCCTGGGAAGTCGTTTCACTCGTGCCGCTGATATCTGTCGTTTCGGTGTCCGCGACACTGGCACCATCTTGGTCGTCCGCAGACTCATCTTTGTGCGTTCTCTGAGCAGGAGCCGGCTCTCTGCTGCCCAGGTCAAACATGCGGGTCCCCCAAGGAGGTGTCCGCGGGCGTATACCTAAACCTGAAGACACAATAAGACCACACGGGACTAATGGGAAGGTTTGATGTAAGCCTTACCATTAATGTTGTGATATCCAAACGGCCGTGCTTGCGTTGGTGTGCCTGGCCGTGGTGGAGGTGAGCGGACAGGCGTGACAGGTTGAGGCGGAGTCGTAGGCACAGGTCGTGCCGTTGCGGGTGATATGCTGGAGGACACGGGCAATATATGCGGGATCTTATCCACAGCGATAGTCACGTCGCTGTGGCCGCTGGAACTACGCTCGCGGAGGGGCCGGGTCTCAACGTCCAGCGGACGATCATAAGCAGCAGAAGGGCTTTGATTACGAGCATGCTGAGCGTACTGTCTGGCGTACTGTTCTCGTTCATATTCCTCCTGCTCCCAACGCATCCTCTCCTGCGCTTGCTCCGTCGGATCCATGCCTTCGGCAACGTCCGCTGGGACGAAGAGCTGCTGATCTTCGTACTCGGGCTGGGTTTCAATGAGTTCCAGGGGCAACGCGCCCGGCTCTCGATTTTCAGGGAGCGGAGGTATGCGGTGCAGCAGGCCGAAACTGCCGATCGTTGCTCAGGTTAAAGGTTGATAACAGTTTCGCAAGAACACGCACCCAAATACACAGCCTAGGAGTCCTTCGCCACCCCAGTGTCTGTTCGGCACAAGTACAACCTCTCGGATGTTACTGACACAGATAAATTCAGGGCATGCTCAGATAGCGCGGGAGCAAACACATACTCAAAATCGTAAGAGTAAACAAAGACACGCAAGGGTTTGTCGATATGCTATGAACAGAAGGATGTCAATCGGTATCCTATCACAACTAGGGCTTGAACGCACTGCCTCGACGACTTCGTAAAAGTCTCCCTCGGTACTGAGCACGCCACCTGACCAGCCGATGATCCAGTCCCCATATGGCACGAGACCAGCGCTCTCCGCTGGGCTTCCTTCAAGCACGTCGAGCACATGCCACACGTTCTCCATCGCAGACTCGGGCTCGCACATGCGCATGCTCAACCCGAGCAGAGACGGCTTGTGTTCCGCCGTGTCGGGCTCTTTCGGGTCGGGCGTGGCGTACGGCATGCTCCATGTTCGTGACGGCACAATGGGCACATCTACAACACGTATCAGATGTGGTGCGGACGTGCTGCAGGGCGCGGTGCTCACCACGGACGTTCTGGCTCTTGCTGTTCCACACCAGCAGGCCGAGTGAGCGGCCCTCGTGAGCCTCAACTATGCGCTCGAGCTCTGTAGCGTCGATATTGTTCGACGCGGGGTTCTCATCCTTGAAGCCGACGACGAAATCAAAGTAGGGCTCGATGCTGGTCTGCGAGGCTGGTGATGACGGGGTTACGCGTAGAACGTGCAGCGCCCTGGGTGGGACCTTGGAGGCAGTGGACTGGCCAGCGCCCATGCCGTCGTCTCTTGTTGCTCACTGTCCCAGTGCTGAGTCGGTGTATCGCGGCGGACGACGAGGAGCGAGTACGGTGGATGCAGCGAACAGCGACCTCACGCTCTCGGCACCGACGGCAGCAGACGCCGGTAAAGCCACCGCTCCGACGTGGGCGTCTGCACATTGTAGGAGGTATGCCGAAAATGGAAGGCGTAGAGGATGGCTCTTCTCTGCACGCTTGTCTTGATGCACTCGTGGGGCAACTTAGCCGTAGAAAAGGGTGGCAGCTGCTTACTGGTGGGTACTCTCGGTGTTATGTTCAGTCTTTACCGTAAAAAGGACCGCTCGCTTCTGCCCTGCTCTTCACGAGGACATCTCGCTCTAGGCCGAGCTCTCGGATCGTGCCAAGTTGTTTACGAGTGAACTTAGCGTGGATCAGAAAACACGTCTAGACAATCTATAGGCTCCGAACGCGGCCCCAGAACGCACTTGCAATCTTCGCACCTGGACAAAGTTGAGCTTTGCTTTGACGTTTGGCAGCGAGCCGGACATTATGCATGGCATGCAGACGGAACTAGGTTAGCGAGGCTAGTCAGGCCGTTCGCAAGACACTAAAAGGAGGATGTACAGAGCATGATGTACTCGCCTGGTTGAGCCGTCGCAAACTTCCGCACCCTGCGGAAGACACCTGGGGCGGCGCAAAGACCTATCCAAACGGCGAGAACAACCACGGTGGCAGGAGAAATGCCGCTGATAGGTTACAAAGAGTAAAAATGTGCAGATGCAATGCCCAAACAAAGTTCCCTGGACCAAGCGAGCTCTGCGTCCAGTGATGTGCATGCTCACGCTCCTACGTCAGTGGACGATCACGAGAGAATACCCGTGGCAAACCCTGTGCGAAGCGACAAGCCAATTTCCCCATGGCACGGATAAAATGAGCGTCTACGGTTCATAGCCGTGGCAACGACTGTTTGTCCCGGATTTTTGCCTGAGTTGCAGGGGTAGGCTGCTCGCATCAAAGTTTGGCACTAAGACATTCCGGGCATGCGCACACCTTAAATCCTTGCATTCCCGTCCTCTATTCAGATGGGGAGTATGATTGATCACAGGATCTACCCGTTAAGTCGACGCCGACCGATGGGCGTGCGAGTTTAAGTGAGATACATACATCCGTAGAGGTGCCAGAGAGATTCCGAACATCAACCGCACACACAGCCAATGTCGAGCGAAGCGTTCGGTCATCGGTAAGGGATCACAGCAGCGTAGCGGATGACCTGTGGCGGAGGAGTTAGGGCCTCGGAATCGGTAAGGTGCTTGAGAAAATCTGAACAGATTAGTGAGCCGTTATCAAACGATGTAAGCTTGCAGAAAATACTGACGAGAAGAAGCGGAGTGCCATCGTTGAAATGCGGCGGCGGAATGTGTTGGTCGCCTCATTTTTAGTCTTCGTATGATGGCGGAAGCTTTATGAACGCTGTCGCATGTTGCATTTCTTAAAACAAAAGTAACAGAACTAGCACTGCATTAATAGGAATAAAGAACGTACAGCATAGGGCTGGTTTTGCGAAGTTTCGAAGGCTGTATCGAAAATGAGTCGAGCTGTACCAGATCTCCAGTGGCAACGTGATACATGATACATACTTTGAGGACAAAGACCAAGCCCAAAGTGCAGTATACCTTGTAAGATAGTTCAGCTGATATGGCCTCTTCAATCATGCTGCTTAATGATGCACTTCATATTGCAGATTTCTTTTTCATAAGGCACGGCTGCAAAGCGACGGCTTACGGCAGGTCTCAATCTTATGAGCCCACTAGTCTCACGTTAACATTCTGTGCAGCATGGGCAGCGGCCTTATACATGTAATTAGATATGAAATCGCAGACTCATCTGTGAAATGCTCAGCGTTGCTGTGGAGCCGGCAGAAAAGCGAAGTGCGCTCTGGCTAGCCGGAAGCGCATCAAAAGCGGCTGCCGGAAAAGGGAGATCTCGGCGCGTTATGGGTGTTAGTGTCACGACGTTACAGCTCTGTCACTGTCACAGCTCTCTTTCTCAAACAGTCTCGAGCGAGCTCGGCTTGACGCGTGCAAGCCAAAAGTTTCACGGTCCCGTGGAGAACCAAGAAGCCAACTGTGCGGGGCGAAAGACGAGTATAGTGAGGTGCTGCAGGGCATGACGTGCGTCCTAACATCTCTTAGCTCTATGAGCCCAATGTGCTTACTGGAATGCAGCTGACTTATGTTCATTTGTCGGCATCACTTGCAACGAGTGAACGTGACGAAACTTTTCCTCGGGCGTACCGTAAACAGACCACTCCTCTGTATTGCTCATCCTATTCCACACTATCCAGTCCATGCTCGCTTCACATCTCGAACAGTCCCAGAAGATGCGGCGGCCACGGAGCAGGCTGGGACCGCTGCCGCTGCCGACACCTCACTCAACACAACGCGTTTTACCGTGTCACACGGAGAGGCTGCATCGGCATCCACGTCTAACGAGGCCGTACGGCCGACGGCGACTTCACGCGTGCCGTCTTCCCAGGGTACCCTCCCCTCAACCCTTACGAGTATGAAGGCGGAGGACATAATGCAAAAACTCACTTTTGCGGCTAAGAGAAACGAACAGAAGGTCGCGAATCAAACTGTGCGACAGCTCTTGAGGACGTCCAAGCGCAGGACACAACAGAACCGTGACGACATAGCCGTGCATATACTAGGTCTTACGAAACATCGGGAGCTGTTCGAAGTCAAGACCATCCAAGCCGTCCTTACAGACCTCCAGGAACGTGATACCCTGTCGAAAATGCCCACCGGTGTCCTCGCTATTGCTCTCGCCTCTACACTCGAGCAGGCGACCGTAGACGGCAACGCAGACGAAGTCTCCATTTACACTATGATCTCTCCCGTATTGCTATCTTCGCTGGCGTCTCGACGACCTGCAATATACAAAGATCCATCACACAAGATATCGCACATGCAAACACTCTGGGCTCTCTTCAAGATTATCCGTAGACTAATACACCTCGAGCAGTACAAAGCTGTTATGCCTATATTCGACGAGCTCGTCAAATCTGGGGCGATACCCGCAAAGGCCATGGTCGGCCTTCCTTCAAGCGGCTTCGCGCATATAGTCCTCACGGTCCTTCTCCGCTGCTGCATAGACTTTGGCTGGCGCTCGCGCGCCGCATACATCCTGCTCGAGACGCCACAATGGGACCAAGCCCGCTCGCCTATGTTCAACCGGGTCCTCGACGAAGTGGTTGACTTTGTGCTGGACTCAGAGGAAGAGCCGAATACACCAGGCCTCGCAGCGGCGCTTATGGTGCGCATCGCGAACAACCCGGAAGTTATTACGCTTCCCGACCATGTCGTCGTGCGGTTTTATGAGGTCTTGCGCAAACACAGGCTCAGAGAGCAGGCACTGGCTTTCTACCGCGTTACTCGTGCTCCCGCCATCCTCGAGAAGTTTAGGTATCCGCCGCCAAAAGGCGACAGTTTCATGTGGCTCTTCCGTTTCGCCGCGGGAGAGCGACAAATCCATGTAGCGCGTCTGCTGGTGAAAGACCTAGTTGACGAAGACATCAAAATTCCCCAGCTAGCGCGTTCGTTCGTGGTCTCCGAGGCAGCAGTTCGCGGGTTCATGGGTTACGCGCGAACCCTCTGGGAGCGATGGAAGAAAGATGTGTTCGTCGTCGGAGACGGCGGCACCGCCCTAAGACTCGTTAGCATTACTCGTAACCGCATCTCTGCCCTCGAGCACAAGGCGCGCACCCAGGAACGCCAAATGAAGCCACCCAGCAAGGTCGCGCTTGGCGAATCCGACGGAGATACGAACGAAGCTTCGGAGCCGCTGCAAGCGGATCTCGATCTTGCCCAAGACGTCACTTTGAGTACCGTCGAAGCTGTACCCGACTCCCCCGCTGCCCGAAGCCCAGCTGATGCCCCGGAAGAAGAACACAGTAGTCTGTCCTATGAGGAACGCATCGCGGATTACCGAACATTTGCCGAAGACGTCGTGAAGACGTTCAGAGGAATTCATGAGCCACTCGAGCGCGCACCTCACAAGACCTTGAATGCGTTGGCGCGAGTCTATATCATGATGGACGATGTCGAGGAAGGGTTCGCGATGCTCAAAATTATTATACAGCGTGGACAGGTGCCGGACGTGCGGGACGTGAATGTCGCGTTGTCAGCGTTGTCGAGCCAGAATCCCCGCGCCGCGTCCCGGATACTCGAGCGAATGATCAGGCTGGGCATCGAGCCCAGCGTCGTGTCGTTCGGGACGGTCATCCATCACGCCCTCCTGAAGGACGACATGACCCTTGTTTCCGCTCTGATCACTCGATCACGGCAAGTTGGGATCGCCCAGCTCGATTACAAGACGATCGGTACCCTCATCCGCTCAGCAATTTCGGTACCTTACGATGAGAAATCTCCCAACCGCCAGCAGCTTCGGAAGGTCGAGGACCTGGTATATTCACTCACCGACGCGGGCTACGCGGTGTCACCCGCCATTGCCACGGATTGTATCCACACCGCCTTACGTGCTGACAAGCCCGTAACGGCGTTCGAGTTCTGGCAGCTCCTCGTCGACGGCAAAGTCGAGCATACGGACAAACAGCAGGTGGCCCTCCGGACCCGCATAGCCCGCAACCTTGTGCGACATGTCAGGGCAGGTGTCCTACGAGAAGCGTCTTCGCGCTCTATGATCTGGGAGCTCGGCCTACGGCCCTCGAGCAACGGCAGGATGAGCTGGCTCGAAGAAGAGGGCACGGAGCAGGAACAGTCATAGGCAGCGGAAGAGGGAGGGACTCGCCTAAAGGCTCCGGACGCTGGTGATCACCGGGGAAGCTCTTTCTGCGTCCGGAACGTTGATGCTGAAGCAGGATGCGGCCTTCACGAGGCCTGCAGCAGCGGCTGGCCAGTGCAGCGACACGGTCATGGGATGCAGGAGCGACGCTCTGTGTCCGTCGCTCGCGCGCGATCGGGAGCGAGTCTTGGTCATTGGGCAGGCTCGCTCATCAAATTCGGGTGCAGTTGTGGTCGCTGCTGGAAGGTGTGTGTAGAATGCGGGGGCGCTGGTTGCGGGGGCAGCAAGCTTTGTTCACGTGGTGGAAACCTTTCTTTTCTTCCAGAACGACCGCGGTGGGCGGTATGTAGGCTGGGGAGTGGAGCTATGCACATGGGCTGGGACGGGTGGCGGCTTGGACTGTCGTCTGTCCGCCTCGCGAGGGCCGGGGTGCAGCGGTGGCGGTAGCGATACGATACTGTAACTGGCTGGCTGGGACGATGTCCTCTGGCCGATAATCTCACTCGTCTGGACACGGACTGCGTGACCATCAGGGATTTGATTCAGTGTTGAACGTTGATCAGGCTCGGTATGTGCTGGGTATGGGAGCTTGGGCCCGTGTGTGTGGAAGCCGTCGAGGAACGGTCGAAACGCCGGAGTTGAACCGCGTGGATTGGACCGGCGGGCAATTGGGCGACCCGTGACGGCCGTGAGGGTCAGAAGCGTCTGGAATGCGCGTGCGCAATGTTTATTGCGTCGAGATAATTGCTGAGGTGGAAGGAGGACACAAGCAGAGAACAAACAGAGCTGATCCGTCAAAAAGACTCCTCTTCGCCTTTATGCCTGGACCTGAAACTACCCCGCATTCCGCCCCGCACTTCGCCTCCTCCTCCTCTTCCGCTCTCCGACGTCGTCCTCGTCGTCTGAAACCATTTCAGCGGCTTATTCCCTGGGCTACCCGTCCTCGATCAGATCAGTCCCAAACCCGGCTGGTGTTTCCCTCGCGTCTGCGCTTGTCTCCCCGCTCCCACCCCTCGCGTCCGCACCCGCCTGTCCTCTCATGGCTCCGTCTCGTGCTAAAAAAGAGTCTGCCTCTCCCACCCCGCCTTCTGACGATGCTGCACCCAAAGATTCGTCCGAAAACAGTAAAATCAAGAGAAAGTCAGTCTCTCTTCCCCCGACATTTCACCGTTCGTTTCAGTGCCCCCCTTGCCGCCTCTTTGCGGTCCTGCCCCCAGCCTCTTGTTCTCTCTTCTCCTGCTACCAGGCTTTAGCCCTTCAACCCTCTTCACTTTGCCACCATTTCCTTTCTACAGCTGCGTTTTCAGTCATCGGCCGCGTTTTCCATGTCCATGCGTTCCACTCGCTCTGCAGACACGAGAGCTAACCCTGATCCTTTGCAAACTAGGCGGCAATCTCAGAGTCCGTATCCCCTTGCGCCATCGAGTACATGACCGCCCTAGGCTGACACTTGCACCACACAGGTTGCGATGCTTGCAGAGCTCGCAAAGTGAGGTGCGCGAGAGAAAACCCCGACGACCCCAAGCAGTCGTGCAAGCACTGCATCGCGCTCGGTATTCCATGCACGTATGACTACCAGCCCAAAAAGAGGGGGCCACCAAATCTGTGAGTATTACAGTCTGCTTCACGCCCACGCGAATGAGAGTACGAGCGCGTTTAGTAGCTACCTCCGACGGCTGCAGGAGGCGCAAGCGGCGGCACAGGCAGCAGCACAGGCTCAAGTGCAGGAGAACGGCAACGGCGAAGTCGTCCATTCTCCGGTGCAGAAGAGCGTGAGCCCCACGCAATCGGTCATGTCGACAAGCCCTCAACTGCCCTCACCGTTCCTCGAGCCAGCGATGAACAACGTGCCATCCTCCCTGCTCCCAGGCGCCCTCACACCTTCGCGATATCCCATTGCCGCAGACAGCTTCCATACGCAATTCTCCGGCATGTCATTTGCCGCCGGCCGTGCCGAGCTAAATGGTCGTCCTTCTCGCAACGAAGAGCCCAACGGCTTCGCAGCCACCGAGCAGTTCAGCACCTACCCGCTGTTCAACTGGTCATACAAGCAGCACCAGCCACTGCCTATACCCCCACCGACTGCTATACCCCCACTCTCTTATTATTACCGCCCACACAGGCTCGAAGATATCGCCCCACGCGACACGATCCTGCTCATCATCGCACTCTTTTTTGACTTTGTCTACCCACTGACACCGTGCGTACACAAGCCAAGCTTCATGGCAGACGTGCACTCTCGGCGCGAGGAGCGAGATCCGCTCTTCTTCGCCCTCGTCATGTCCACCGTGGCATCGACTCTGGTGCAGGTTCCCAGGTCGTACCTGCCGATGGAACGACATGCCGTTCGCAAGCTCGCTCAAACATGCCACGAAGCTAGTCGCCACATCTCTGTAGCGTCTTATGATCCTCCCACGTCGATGCACGTCGTCATCAGATACTTGTGAGCACTGCTCCCAGCCCAATTCATTCGCGCTGATCCCCTTATCATCGACTCAATTAGCGATTGTGTCTACCATTTCTGCGAGGGCCATGACGCTACGCAGCACGCAGCGTTCGGTGAAGCGGCACACATCGCCGTAACGCTGAGAATGCACGAAGAGTCGTCCTATGAGGGCCTCGATCTTGTTGAGTGTGAAGTGCGCCGGAGAACGTTCTGGCTGCTGTTTGGCGGTAAGCTTCCAAGCTAGCGCTTCCACCCCTGCCCTATGACAGCTCAACCGTCACCTCCAGCTGACAAGTCCATGTCCATTCTACTCGGACGACCGATTTGTTTGCGCGACGAGGATACCACGTGCAACTTCCCTCGGGAGCTGGACGACGAATAGTGAGTTCGTTTCCTGCAGATCCAGACGACCGAGATTTAACCAGGCTATACCCGTAATTTTCCTTTGGGTATGTGTTCCACAGCATCACGCCAAGCGCATACCTCCCACAGCCCCACGGCAAGACGGCTCTCGTTTCCGGCCTGAACTACATCTCCCGGATATTTGCATTGCTGGGCGAGATCCTGGTGCGGATCCGGGTGGACAAGCGCTCGCCGCCACAAGGGCAGTTCCTCACGGCGCGATTGGAGGAGGTGCAGGCGCTGCACAACAGGATCATGACCGCGCTGGCGCATGCACCGGAGCCGCTCCGGCTCAAGCAGGCGCTGGGTCACGCCATCTCTCCCGAGTACGGCGGCGCCGGCTTCCGCCAAGCGACATTCGCGGAAGTCAAGGACTTCTTCGATAACCCGAACGCCTCGCGGGCCAACGCGCTCAACCCATTCCTCGTGATGCAGGCGAACCTGTACGTGACTCAGGTGAGTGCTTGTGGTTTTCCATCATCATCTTCCAGAGGCTCATTGTTCCACCCCCACGCAGCAACTCGTGCGCTTCGTGATTGAACAGTATCGTGATGAGCTCATGACCTCCCTGCACGGCCATATTGACGAGTCACGGGTGGCCGAGGATAGGGAGGCAGTGGCGAGTGACCTGCTCAACATCCTGCATAGGCAAGAGGGCTTCTTCGCCTCGGTGGCTATTCCGACATATTGAATGATGTCTCTTTTCAGCATACCCATTCAATCCATCGCGACAAACGGACCTTCTTTGGTAAGCACAAGGCCCGGTTTTAAGTTATATCAATTGTGCCCAGGTGTCTGATGCTGCGTGCAGGTCCACAAGGTGCGCTTCGTCGCTTCCACACTCCTCGACGCCGTGCGCAAGGCGGAGACTGCCCCGGCCTCGGCTGCACGTGCGCACGCCTACCTTTGTGAGTACCTCCGCAAACCCCCTTCGTGGCGTGATCCGCATGACGCTAACCGCGTGCCTGTTCCAGGGGACTTCCTGTCCATCCTATCCGAGATTGAGAGGAACTATTTGTGAGTCTCTTCTGTCCTTCCATCCTCGATCGAGCGCGGGCTCGGGGAAACTGGAAGAGTCCGCTCGCTAACCATTCGACAATGTCCCCCTGCGCAGATTGGACGACGACAGGGACGCTGCCTCGAGTGCCGATGGCATGCCTCTCGTTGGAAGCAACTAGGCTTCCGGCCCCTTTGCCCTTACCGCCTTGGACCATATGTTAGCTGACAGACGATGCTTCGGTTGCCCGCGGTACTCCTCCATACTCGCGCCCATACTCGTGATCATTTTTTACCAGGGCTTGTGTCCCTGTTGTTTATGCAGCCTGTCTAACACGTGGCCTTGTATTTTATTTGCTTACAGTGCTATCCACCACCCCTTTACCCTGCTCTTATAATCTGTCCGTTTAGTGTCTGTATTGCTTGAGTCCCTGGATGTAAAATAAGCAGCTGTATGTTTGTCTTTGGCGACTTCCCTTCCTTTGGGTTCGCTCGCATTTACGCTTCTCGCGATAGGCACCGTAGTACCGAGGCTGCCGGAAACCTTCGAGTGCGACCTCGGGCTAGAACATCTGATTCATGAAGGCACGACTTCGGAAAGAATACGTAGAGACCGTCGGGGGCTGTCATACGAAGCTTGTGCGGCCTTCCGCCGTTCGCGTTGTGTGTGTAATGAGCCGCTGGTATGGAGGCCAGCCACTGGCAGATTAGGTGCCACGACATGAAGCTTTGGAACTGAAACCTGACTTGGAACATGTTCTCGGGCACGCCTGAACCGAGTAACTTTGACTCTGTATGTGTACACGGCCGTCTTTCTTAGGAGCTGGTTGCGCTCGCTATCGTCTGTTCTGGTGAACGAAGATCCCTTCGTTAGCCTGGTGTGCTGAAAATGGGTTAAATATGGTCCAGGTATCACATGTGTATTCCTTATACGGTTTGCTCGGCAAATTGCGTGATTGGCTGGTGTAATCCAGAAATGGGCAACACAATGTTTGCCCTCGAGTTTATGCACAGGGTTTGCGAACCTTTGCTGCGGCCTACTTCCGTCTTCCGTACTTTGCTTCTTCCTATTTTCTCGCAGCTTTGCAAAAATGGAGACGACTGATATCGGCTCGAAAAGCGTGCCTCTCCAGATAACAGAAGGTGCGTTATTTTGTCCCCGAACACCCGCGCCATGTGCTCGAGGACGGCAGCAGTGCTCGCACAGCCCTTCTGGCTCTTCCTCGTCAGTTCAGCAGAGAGATGACCCTGGTTTATTTGTATTTGCAGACGAAGCTGCTGTTTACGACAGACAGATCCGGTTATGGGGCCTCGAGGCCCAACAGAGGTGCGCACGAACCGGCGGTGCCCGCCCCATTGCCTCCGCGATCAGTGCCCGCGGGGGCACGACCTGGGCAGTCCTGCATCGCGCTTTGCACATGTTTGTCCTGAAAGATGACATGTGTCCAGAATGCGCAATGCGACAATCCTCGTCCTCCGCCTCAAGGGCGTCGCGACCGAGACTATCAAAAACATCGTCCTTGCGGGCATCGGCAAGCTCGTCGTCGTCGACACCGAGGATGTCTCCGCGGAGGATCTGAGTGCTGGGTTCTTCTACCGAGACGAGGACATGGGTAAGAAGGTAAGCATCCTCCGGACCTCGCTTGCCAGGTGGCAGGGGCATCTACGGTGCACAGGGCAATCGATAGAAGCCTTTGCGGCAACCCGTGATTCCGTTATCGCCGTCCTCTGTGGCTGGTATTGGTGCTATACGGGGACCTGCTATTCAACATGATCCTGCCCAGTTTCTCCGAGAATTATTGGGTTGGCTGCTGCGATCCTGTGAACGTCACGACAGACAGGGGACACCGTGATCTCTCTATTCTACGCAGTCCTGTTTGCATCGCCGAGCAACGTATATGGCGGTATAGTGGAGCATTGACAGCCAAATAAAGAAAATAATTTGAACTGACTGTATACGCCGCCCCTTACGTACTATTTTCATCATTATTGTAGAACCTTCTGCTGACAGTCTTGCGCAGAGAGTAGACGCGGCAAAGTCCCACATCGAGAGCCTGAACCCATTGGTCACGGTAGAGACATTGCAGGACCCTGCTTCGCTAGAAGAAGGCCTCGACGAGCTAATCAAAGGTGTCGACTTGGTCTGCGTAACGGACTGGGACCGAGAGGGTTTGGTGAGATTCCTGGCTGTCGCCCTGGAAACGTCCTAAGAGCATATTCAGATACGCACCAACGACATCTGCCGGCGACATTCGAAGCCATTCTACGCAGGCGGCACATTTGGCCTATTAGGCTACATTTTCTGCGACCTCCTGCAACACGACTACATTTCACCGTACGCCCACTTTTCTTTCCATTACATCACACTGGCCCTGACAGAGTCTTGCAGGGACCGCTCTGCACCCGCAGGCAAGGAAGCCGTGCAGAAGAATGTAAAACTCACGGCGGCGTATGTTCCGCTGCGCGACGCGCTCGGGCACCGGTGGAAGGGTTTGACGCGCAAGCAGACGAAGGAGCTGAACCCTGCAGTCGTCTTCTCCGTCCTTGGTGCGTATCACCCTCCAGCTAAGTCGTTCTCGGATCGGTACTGACAGTGTGACCGGACAGCGCTGTGGGAATACCAGGCCAAGCATGGCAGACAGCTCCCGGACGACGCCTCGACGGTTGCTGAGCTGGAGGGCATTGCGACGTCCCTGCTGGTTAATGCTGAAGTCAGCAAGCAAGCTCTCCCTGCCATCCCCAGGGAACTGCTCGAGTATGTCACGGAAAGTTTAATGGTGTCTTATTGTGCATTACTCATGCGTGGTACCACAGGACAATTTCGACCACGGCTGTACACGAACTTTCACCCGTATGCGCCGTCGTGGGAGGCATGCTTGCGCAGGACATATTAAAGGCTCTTGCCGCGCGCGAGCCGCCGATAGCAAATTTCTTTACCTTTGATGGCAGCACTGGAGGAGGTACTGTTGCCCGCATGAGCATGCCCTAAGGCTCGGTAACTCTCTGAGGTCATTATGGTGAAATTCATTACGAATGTTCTATACTGCGCGCCATGCGGGAAGTGTTCACAGGACAACTGCTCGTGCTGTAATACGAAGCAAGAACGACGGTAATTGATTGTGCACTGTCCGTCCCACTTTCCCTTGCTATCTCGATTATGGCTCGCCCTTCCCTGTCTCGTTCAGCACCCGGTAGAAATCAGCCACGAGATAGAGGCTCCCGGCAATGATGATGAGACCTTCATCTTCACAATCGGCTGACCCTGCGTCCCGCAGCTGGTTCTCCGCTGCCCATTCCAGCGCCGCGCGCAGCTGGGGCTCTCCTACGTTCTCGTCCTCCCTCTCGGGCGTCCAGACGTCTGCAGCCGGGAGCAGCGAGCGCACGACCTCGCGGAGCTCGGACGGCTTCTCGGACTTGACCCAGGGCATGCCCTCGGGCGGAGTGAACCGTACCAGGGCGACGCGCGTGACGACCTTCACGTGCGCACCGAGGCTGTCCAAGTCTAGCGCGAGCAGCGGAGTGAGCGTCTGCTCCGGGGTCTTTGGCGGCGAGTGCGACAGGGCAAGGACGTATGTGAGGGAAATTGTTCTGCATGGCGCTTCGCTTTGGGACAGCGGTGGGCCAACTGGTTCCATTGGACCAGGCGCTACGAGCGCCGGCGATGGCGGCTTTGGTGGCTTGGTTACAGAGGCGAGCGTCCCCTCGACGAATGAAGCCAGGCGTGCGGCAGATGCGGAGTTGTGCGCGCCGTCCGCAAGGATGACGAACTCCTGTTTGGGAGCGGCGGTGTTTGGGATGCCAGATAAGGGCAGTTGGATGGTATGGAACGAAAGTCGACCGCGCCAGTGTGTGGACTGTATCCCTTGGGAGATGGACAGAGCGGTGATGCGATGCTTGAAGTCCAATGGGTGGCCGCTTTCGAGGAGTGTCAAGATTATGGTGGCCGCCGTGCCAAGATTATCGAGCTGGTGCTCGCCCTGCAATGGCAGGAGTGCATGGATAAAATCCGGATTGTCTAGTATGCCTAGAAGTGCGAACGACACCGGCTGGGAGAACGGCTGCACGCCGTTCTCGCAGTGGAACGCAGCGGGCACGAGCGACGTGGGGCACCGCGGCTGCATGTCGAGCGTCGAGCCCCAGTCCCGCTTCGTCGGGACGATCGCGCGGATTAGGTTTGCGCCAACACGTTCGATGACTTCGCGTACGACGGCTTCGACTTCGGTGCTGTGCTCTGGGCTCTGCGGTCCGAGCACGAACGGCTTGCCAGACCGAGCGATGGCAGCCTTCTCCCTTGCGATCTCGCGGACGTTCGTGCCGAGGAAGGCCTGGTGGTCTAGATCCACTGCCGTGAGCGCAGAGACGAGGACACATTCATCCGGGATGACATTCGTCGCGTCGAGGCGGCCGCCCATGCCGACCTCAAGCACGACAACATCGACTTCTGCTTCCTCAAAGATGACAAGTGCGGTGGCGGTAAGAAGCTCGAAGCTCGAGCAATTTAAACCGCGTTCGTTGTCCGTGGCCTCCACGCGCTTCCTTGTTGATTCGTACACGGACGGGAGCACAGACTCATTGTCGATGGTGATGCAGTCGTGAATGACAGCGAGATGTGGGCTGTTGAACCTACCGACCGAGTAAGACGAAGCGGCGAGGACGGAAGAGAGTAATACGGAGACGCTGCCTTTGCCGTTCGTGCCTGCGATGTGACACGTTGGGCGAGTGTATTTCGGAAGATACGTGAGCAGCTTGCATATTCTGTTGAGAGAAAGGTCTATGCGTCCGGCCATCTGAAAGATAGACTGTTTGACTACGCTCGTCGTTCTGAGTGAAGAAGGGACATGCACTGATCCTGAAACTATTTGTTATCCACTGCAAAGCTGCGCGAGTGATGTAAAGATAGCAGACGCCTAGGAGCCGACGCGAGACCCCGAATACTCCAGTACGTTGCTCAATCGTCCGAAGAGGCTCCGGACCGTTTCACAACCTGTCACAAGCCCTTGCTACCACTCTGGAGATTCAGTTGTGCATGTGCAAGATAATTTGGCTGCCCCCAAGGTGAGTTACGAGACGTGCTCAATTCTAAAGTGGATGGGATGGGATGGGATGGTTTCGAGCCAGCACACGGTGGCTGTAGCTTTCCCGCTGATGGCGTAGATTAGCCGTGAGACATAAGTCAGAAATAGATCTGTTCCTAACCCGCCATCCCGCCCTTGAGTCCCGCTCGCTTCCAAAACAAGTAAATGTATTTGTACAAAGCAAATAGAGGCGGGAGAGGGGGGTCGAGCACCTGGTGGCCAACTCCCTGGTAAAGTGCCCGGCGCTGTCTCTAGCGTAAAGTGCGCTGG